GAGAGGCAAGGGCTTACAGCTGGAGTGTAGGCACGAGGTGTCACAGTGACAGGACAGTGGCCCCTCGAACCAGCCAGCTATGATAAGACCATGGCTGTTCCAGGCAGAGATGCCTGATTTCACCCCCAGGACCCATGGCCATGGAAGAGGCCTCAGCAGATGCACAGGGCAGGCCCGTGGGTGACAGGGCCCAAGTGAGCTGCTTGGCTTCTGGAAGGACAGGTGGCTCCATCCTGGTCCCTCGAAGCCCCACTGCAGGGCACTCCTCCTCTGGGCTGGGGTGAAAGATGGGCATACGTTTGCCTCTGTGGCTTTGCCCTCCATGTGTGCTGCTCCCTACCCCCCACCCTGACAGCCATGGGAGGGACCCGGCTGTCCCTGCCCACTGGACCAGGTGAGCTAGTGCTCTTCACAAGGAAATGTGGACTGGACTTGCCAGCACCAGTATCATGGGGAGGTGACCAGGCAGATGTGAGGGGTGCACAGCCAGCCCCACACGGGTCTCAGCCAAGCCCTTGGGAGACCATCTGCCTGTGGGGTTTGGAACCCTTCGGTGCAGGGCTGACCAGCCATCACCTCTCTAGTCCTCTCAGCCACCCTGGGGGTCCTGCATCCTTGACACATAGCACGGGGCCAAGCAGAGCCAGCTCAGGGCACAGTGCTGTCCAGAATCCCAGGCCCCTCCCTATGGCAGGGCCCTCGTGCAGAGGCAGGAAGATGGGGAGTTTGAGCCCAGCCTGGGCAACCAGTGACTTAGCGTCCCCCTGTCGCAAAATAAGGAATAAAAAAGGCTGGGGGTACAGCTCAGCGCAAAGGCCCTGAGTTCAGACCTCATCCTGCAGGGAGGGCCTATCACCTACAGGCCTGAGAGGCTAGCTGCAGAGGGTGGGGAGGGCCTGAGGTTCCTCCATGTACACTGGACCCTGCCAGGGGCCCTGCTGGCTCCCAGCCTCCTCTCAGACCTTGATCACCCCCTCACCCTGCTGGGACCTGGACTCGGGACCCCATGGCCACCCTGGACCAAGTGTTGCCTGGGAGGCCGGTGCTGGCTGTCATATTTTTAGATGACCCCATTCCCTAGCCGTCCCTGGCACTCAGGGAGGGAGACACCAAGGCTGTCCTGGACCAAGGCCACGAGGGGTGGGAGGGGCCCTGTGTCTCCATCCCATGCCTGCCCTCAAAGCCATCCCTTCCCACAGAGCCCGCACAATGGGGTGTGGCTGGGTTTCTTCATATCACTTCCCTAGGATGCAAACCAAGGCTACCTGGGTGCCCATCATGTGCCTGTCCCAGTTGGGGCTCTCCCTGTGCCCGCAGCACCCGGCTCAGAACCCATTGCATCTTGCAGATGGGGGAAGGAGGCCATAGCAGTCCCCACCCTCGGCCTCCCCTTTGGCCCCTCAAGTGCAGAAGCCCAGCTCTGCCCTGGGAGGGACCCCCCTACCCAGTCCTGGTGGGCAGTCACAGCACATCCCTGGCCTGATGTGGCCAGCGTGACTCATAGAGTGGGTAGTGGGCAAGGAGCTGTTGTCACACTCCCTCCAACAGCCCATCCCTCCCCACCCTCCGCCCTGCAGACACAGGCTAAAAATACCCCCTCCCACGTGGCCACCTGCCCCTGTGTGGCTGGCAGTTCCGTCTCAGGTCTGGAGCTGTCTACAAGGTAGGGCTGGGGTTCCTGGGTAGGCCTGAAGCAGGGGGTGTGGGATGGGGTGCAGGAGAGAGTGTGGGATCGGGCCGGGACACTGAAGTGAGTGCTTGGTTCAGAGGCCTCCACAGGCCTGGCCAGCTCCAGGGCAGGACGGGGCTCCGATCCTCACACTGTTCTGGGTGGAGCAGGAACAGAGAAGCTGGACACCGAGGGTGTAGGCAGGGCCCTGGACTGGGCCCCACAGGCTATGCTGGGCCCTCCTCGGAGGCCAGGGGGTGACTGAGACCCAAGGAGCCCCCTTCTCAGGCTGGCACTCTGGCAGCAGGTGTCAGCAGGCGTCAGCAGGGGCCCAAGGCCCTGGGAAGGGGCTGAGCCTCCTGCCGCCACCACCACTCTCATAGCTGGCGAAGGGTGGCAGCGGCTATGCCTGGAATGCGAAGGCTGTGGGTTGTGGCCAGGAACAGGCCCCTTGGCCCACAGAGTGGTCAGCTGACCCGGCTTCGCCCAGCCAGGGCCACCCGGAGGAGGCATTCAGGAAGGGCACCTGGTGGATCCTGAGCTGTCCTGCCCAGAGTGAGTCCAGTCTGGGCCCCAAAGGTCAAAGTGGGCTCATCCATTCTTCCTGGGTCTGTAGGAAGTGGGCAGGGCACCAGAAGGCCAGGGAGTGGCTGGTCACTGGAGCATGGTTTGTTCTGTGGTGGCGCCCCCTGGTGGATGGACACCTCCCTGCTATGCTTTGGACCTTGGGTGTCTTCAAGGAACAGAGATTGTATCTCTGGGATGGCTTCCTTCAGGCAAAAGTGCAGAATGATTGTGTGCTAACAGGAATGGTTTTTTTTTTTTTTTTTTTTTTGTCTTTTTCATTTTTATCGGTACTGGGGATCGAACTCACGACCGCCTGCAAGGCAGGTGCTTATACTGCTGAGCTAAATCCCCAGCCCCTGTGCTTACAGGAATGAGCACATTTGCTGGTGGAACCTGGGTGCTGGGCTGGAAGCTGCAGCTCCCCCTGGGGGAAGTGGCCTGGGCACCTTTAGCAATGGCCCTGAGCCATGGCCCTGCTTGGCTCCCCCAACCCTGGTTGGGTGCTCTTGTGTGGTGACATCTGCCCCTGTGCTGCCCCCAGGTATGAAGTGACAGCTCTTGCTGAGCCAGGGCTGACCCAGGGTGCCCCTCAAGGAGCAGCATGACATAGAGGGAGCTATGGGAGGACTGGGACACCAGCATCCACCCTCAGCCTCTCCATTGGATAAGGAAACCAGCCAGAGGGGGCATGGCTTGTCCACGGCCACCTGCAAGGTCACTGCAGGTGGACAGTGCCATCAGTGCAGCAGGAAGCCCAAGAGGCCTGCACCGCAGTGTGGCCTCTGCAGAAGAAGCCACCAGGGTGTGGTCGGCCTCTGGCGTTTCCTCCCTGGGCAATGTGAGCAGCACTAGACCTGCGGGACAGGCCCGGTCTGGCCATGGGCGTGGTGCCCACTTGGGTGGCTGAGACTGTGGCTGATTGACTATCCTCTCCAGGAGCTCAGGAGGCGCCTGGCACCTCTTTGGGGACAGAGGCCCACCAAGGACCCCGGCTGGCGACGGCAGCATCATGGTTCGGAATGTGGACGACTTGGACTTTCAACTGCCCTCGCACGCCCAGGACATGCTGGACGGCCTGCAGCAGCTGCGCTCTTTGCCCAAGCTGGCCGATGTCACACTGCTGGTGGGTGACAAGGAGCTGCCCTGCCACCGCGGTCTCCTGGCACTGAGCAGCCCATACTTCCATGCCATGTTTGTGGGCGAGTTTGCTGAGAGTTTCTCGGCACGTGTGGAGCTGCGGGATGTGGAGCCAGCCGTGGTGGGGCAGCTGGTGGACTTCGTGTACACTGGCCGGCTGACCATCACACAGGCCAATGTGGAGGCGCTCACACGCACTGCCTCACGCCTGCACTTCCCCGCCGTGCAAAAGGTCTGTGGCCGCTACCTCCAGCAGCAGCTGGATGCCACCAACTGCCTGGGCATCTGGGAGTTCGGGGAGCAGCAGGGGCTGCTTGGTGTAGCCGCCAAGGCTTGGGCCTTCCTACGGGAGAACTTTGAGGCTGTGGCACAGGAGGATGAGTTCCTGCAGCTTCCCCAGGACCGGCTGGCTGCCTGCCTAGCCAGTGACCTGCTGCAGGTGCAGGCTGAGCGGAGCCGGCTTGAGGCCCTGCTGCGCTGGGTGCGCCATGACCCCCAGCCCCGGGCTGCCCACCTGCCTGGGCTGCTTGGCCTGGTGCGCCTAGGCGCTGTACCCAGGCCCTGCGTGCAGGAACTGCTGGCCACGGAGCCGCTGATCCAGGGGTCACAGGCGTGCCAGGAAGCCCTGTCCCAGGGTCACAGCAGGGTGAGTGATGGGCTGGGGAACCTGCCCTGAGAAACAGGAGGAGCACCTTTGTGACCCCTCACCCAGGGTCAAAGAACAAATGTGCATGTGTGCATGTGTCCTCAAACTCACACCATTCCCAGCATTGCATGGACCACCTGTGTGAGCATCACTGGTCACCTGTCCAGGACAGACTGCCTGGAGCATGCCGGACCCAGAATGTCGGGCGTGGTAGTTCTCTGTGCCTGAGACAGAAGCAGGAGATACAGCTTGAGGGAGGAGAGGTTGATTGTGGCTTTGGATTTCGGTCTGCTCACCTTATGGTGACTAGGATGTGACAGGGGCAGAGGAAGAGGCAGAATCAAAGTCCTCCTTCCACCCCACACTCCACCCTACCACATAAGCTCTACCTCCTAAGGAACACACCCTCTGGGGCAGAGCTGCTAGCGGCTTCACCTTCTGATGAGCAGATGCATTCTTGTGACCCTATCCCTTCCTGGGACCTCAGTGTAATGGGGGCCCAGCCCCGCCCCACAAGCCTAGGGCGTGAGTCCTACTCAGATCATGGCTCAAGGGTCAGGATCCAAAAAGATCCTGTCCAGAGGAGCCCACAGCTCACAGGGCACAGAGATGTGAGGCCAAATGGACAGGCCTGCGGACACCGGTGTGGGAGTGGCCTGTGGGGAGCTGGCGGGCAGTGGGGTACCCAGGGGAGGTGGCTTCAGAGCTGGGACTTAGAGACAGGCAGGCAATTGGTGGGAGGCAGAGGAGGAAATGCCCTCCAGGGACGTGGCACAGCCTGGAACGTGGCAGTGGAGGTGGGTGTGGCAGCTGCCACCTGTCCAGAGGGTGACAATGCAGTCATCAGGGGTGCCACTTCGGCTGGAGCTGGCAGGGACAATGGGAAGGGCAGGTCCTGGGGAGCAGCAGGACTGATGTGGCTGAGCCCAGGCAGGTCGGCTACCAGCACCAGCTCAGGGCCTGTCGGGGACAAAGCTGTGACTCAGACTGACAGTGCAGCATGTGTCAAGCAAAGTGCTAACTCTGGTCCCCATAACCTGGTCTCTAGCTGTAGCTGGGCCCTGCATGGGTGCTACTGATAGGAGGGTCTCGTGGGCTTGAGCAGGGGCCTGGGCAGCGTGATGGTGGAGCCACCCCATGTGACCTGCTGCAAGTGAGCTGGGTGTAGTGATGCCTGCGGCCCAGGACACTTGGGGGTCACCCCAAAGCAGGTGCGGGGAAACTGGGGAGGTGCTGGTGATGGCTGGAAGCAGCGGCTTCTGCCCCGAGGGATACAGGTGTGCTGTCCATGTCACGCAGTGCAGCTGCAGGAATGCACACATGTGAACACACACATAGGTACAGGCAAGGCCTGCACGACCCCACACATTGCAGTCTGGGACATGTGGGTTCATCGTGTCAACTTCCTGCTGCTCCTGCCCACAGGCACTGCCCAGCCCCCCACAGAAGCTGGAGGAGGTGCTGGTGGTGGTGGGCGGCCGGGCCCTGGAGGAGGACGAGGAGGGCAATGAGGAGCCCGCACCCCACACTGGGAACTTTGCCTTCTACGACACCCAGGCCCGTGAGTGCCCTCCCTGTGCCATGCCCAGCACCTGTAGACCTGGGCACCTGCCAAGTCCATGTCCAGGGTGCCCATGAGTGTTGTGGGCTGCAGACAAATCTGGGGCCTTCCTGAAAGTACAGGGGCTAAGCACGGGTCCTGGGGGGGTGCCCTGCTGCCCCCTGCCCTGTGCACCCAGTGACAAAGGCGGGCAGTGGGATGATTCATGGGGGGCGTGAGAGCCCAGGCTCTGCCCCAGTGAGCTTCCCTGTACCTCCCAGATCAGACCCATATTCCCCTGCAACCAAACGGGCTCTATGAGGGGCACCTAGGCAGGAAAGGAGGTGCAGGGGGCCTGGAGTACCTCTTCAGGCCCTCGTGGTCACCTCCTGGGAAAGTGCTCTTGGCTGTGGTCCTGGCTGATGTGGTCCCCTGCCAGTCCATGGTGGGGGCCAGCAGCCGGCGCTGGAAGAAGTCCAGGGGCTGACCTGGCTGGGCTAGGGTGAGCAGGGGGATTTGGCACTGACGTCAGCAAGCAGCTGTCCCGGGCCATCTGGGGTGTGGGGGAACTGGGCTTTCCCACCCGGGGTGACACAGACGTGAGTCAGGGACACTCAGTTCCTGCCCGCAGTGCCAACTCCACCTCCATGAGGCCCAGACTCCACACGTCCCAAGCCCTGACACCGGCATCCCCGGCCTGTTACACCCAGATGCACCCCCTCCCACATTGGCGGTCTCTTGGGTTTTCCCCAAAGCCTTTCTTATCTCTGGTCTCAGTTTACCCCTGGTCACTCACAGAGGCAGGCTCATCATACCTCTGCATCTCGTGTCCCCTCCCTTCCCTGAGAGCCAAGGCTGCCCCCTTTCTAGACAGGGACACTACAGCTGGACTGGGCAGGAGACCTGCTGCAGGGTTAGGGCGTCTGATCACCCCCCAACCTTGAGCCTGGCTGCCGCAGAAAGAGTAAAGGAAGGTCCTTGACATGCTGTGACCCACTAAACTGAGACTACTGACCCCTACCCCATCCAGGCACAGGGTCCATGAGCGTCTTGTGCACCCCAGGATGCTACCCTGTGTCCAGGCTGGTGTTGGGCTCTGAGGGTACTTTGAGGAGATGTGGTCAATGATGGGTGGTCAGGGGTGTCTCTAATCCCACCCCTCATGGCCTGTCCTCATGGCAAGGGAGCTGTGTCAGCACCCAGCCCCTGGACTGGCCACCAACCCTCTGCCTCTCTTTCTGGCAGGTCGCTGGATGGCGCTCCCTGACTTCCCCGACTACCACAAGTGGGGCTTCTCCCTGACAGCGCTCAACAACGATGTCTACGTCACAGGTAGGTAGCCGGGGCCCAGCCAGCACCCTCAAACCAACCCTCCTTTAGCAGAGTCCCTGCTAGTTTAGGTGGGATCCCTCAACCTCCCCAAACACAGGAGAGCTAGGGCTCCTATGCCTGCTGCCTGGGGTCCCCCAGAAGAACTGTGTGACTGCTGAGTCACCCTTGCTTTTCCCCAAGGGACACAGGGTAGGAACCCCAGATCTGTCCCTTGTCTACAAGGATGGAGGGCCCATAGCTGGCTGCCCCTGCAGCCCCAGCCTGGCCCTTGGTCTGACAGCTGGCGGCTCAGCACATTTGGGGTCACAGCCTGGCATGGGAGTGGATATTGTGTCTGGAGACCCCTGCTAGTGGCACCCTTGTGGACAAGGCCTCTCCCAGCAGGTGGTTCCCGAGGCACCAAGACAGATACCTGGTCAACCACACAGGCTTGGTGCTTTCCTCTGAAGGAGGCGGCCTGGAAGGCAGTGGCACCCATGCTGAAGGCCCGCACCAACCACGCCAGCGCAGCACTCAACGGCGAGATCTACGCCATTGGTGGTGAGCTCCTCGCTGGCCCTGGTCCACAGCTGGTTGGAGCCTACTGGGCCTGCAGTCCCCAGTCCCCAACCCAGGGACACTGTTGCCGGTGGCTGTCCAGGGTATGAGGTCAGTGCATCCCATGCCTGGCTCCCAGCAGGCGGCCCTGGGAATCCATGCCCAGTGCTCTCAGTAGCCAGCCCTGGGCTCCTGTGACGCATGTGGGGCAGAGAAGGCAGCAGGGTGAGCCAGGTGCTGTCCAGCTGCCAGCAGGATGACCGCAGGCTCGGCCTTGGCTCAGGGCCCTAGGGAGCCGTGGGGTGAAGGATCCGCTGCGTGCTCCCCATGGAGCCCTGCCTGAGCTAGGGGTGCCTGTCCCCAGGCACCCAGTGAATTCTCGGGCAAGGAGCCTGGAGCATGCAATGAGGGAGGTATTGAAAAGCCATGTCCTTGTGGCTCCAAAGGTCATAAAAGAGCCATGCCTGGCCCTGAGATATTCTAGAGGTCTGCAGAGGCTGAGGTGGGACTTCCTGTCCCCAAACGCCCCCCGCATTGTCATGGCCAGGCTCCATCTTGGTGGGGGGCTGCTCACAGCTCTGGTGTCATCTTACCATCCACCTACATTCCTCCTGGGTCAGGTCCCTGCCCCATGCCACTTCCTGACCATGAGACCTGGTATGAGCACCTAGGCCTCCAAGAGCCTCAGTTTCCCCACCTGTGAAGTGGACAAGTTCCCTGCCCCTCCAAGATGTGCCTGCCTTCCTTGCCCTTCTGGTCCTGGGCAGCCCCCTGCCCTCCTCCCAGTCCCCTGAAGCCCCATCCCCTGCTGACCCTGCAGGCACCACGCTGGGCGTGGTGGAGGTGGAGAGCTATGACCCCTACACAGACAGCTGGACGCCCGTGCAGCCGGCGCTCAAGTACGTCAGCAACTTCTCGGTGGCCAGCTGCCGGGGCCGGCTCTACCTGGTGGGCTCCAGCGCATGCAAGTACAACGCCCTCGCACTGCAGTGCTACAACCCTGTCACAGGTAGGCACCAGGGGCACCGGGTGGGCCCAGATCCCTGGTCAGCTGAGGATGGCAGAGGGAGGGAGGGAGGGGCCAAGGGCTGGGGGATTTAGGGGTCACCTTGCAGAGCCCCCACCTGGTCCTGTGAATGTGAGTCACGGTCTGCCCTGTGCCAGGGTGTGGCCTGCTGGGGGTGCTGTGAGCTCCCTGGCCTGGATGCCACACTGGGTGCCTGGGGATGCCCATGGGACATCCCCAGCTCAGGGGCCCTCAATCCCGGATTGGACCTGCTTCATGCCCTGGATGATGGCGATGACAATTGAGCCTGTTGCACAGTGATGTCAGGGTCCACAAGACGAATGGCCCCGATCGAGGGTTGGAGTACTCATTCCTGGATATGGGAAGGGGGCCGGAAAGGTCCTGTGGGATGGGGTCACCCAGCCAGGGCCCCAGAGGCTGAGAAGTTCCTGGAGGCCCCAAGTCTTGGCTTAGGGAGAGGCAGAGCTTCTTCCCTGGCCCCCAGGGCACTGAGGCAGGGAGAGGCCCCCTGGCCCCGCCAGCAGCACCCCCGGTCCCCTGGTGCAGTGCCCGGTGCTCCACAGATGCCTGGAGTGTGATCGCCTCGCCCTTCCTGCCCAAGTACCTGTCTTCACCGCGCTGCGCAGCGCTGCATGGGGCTCTCTACCTCATCGGCGACAACACCAAAAAGGTCTACACCTATGACCCGGGAGCCAACCTGTGGCAGAAGGTGGGTGTCACCTCCCCCACACTCTGCCATGAACTCAGCAGGGGCAGCCAGAGGCCCAGTGAGTAAAGCCAGGCTCTGCAGGAGGCTTCTCCTTCCATGGGTGGCCACCAGGAGTCAAGTGGGGAGGGGTCTCTGAGTTGCTTGGCCCCTCCTGTGCCCCAGTGCCAGCCTGCACTGCTCCTGCCACCTACAGCGGCCCCTGCACTCCAGCTGCCCACTGCTGTCCCTGAGCCTTGGCACTTTGCTGACCTTTACCTCGCTATGCAGCCCAGCATGCACTGAGGAGCGGTGAGCTCCCAGGGTGTACCAGTGGCCCACAAGGGACGTGGTGGGGTGGTCCCCCCCTGCTGTCCCCTGTCCCCACCAAGGCCCTTGGCCACTACCTCTGTCCTCAGGTGCAGTCCCAGCACAGCCTGCATGAGAACGGTGCCCTAGTGCCCCTGGGTGACGCGCTGTATGTGACAGGCGGCCGATGGCAGGGCATGGAGGGCGACTACCACGTGGAGATGGAGGCCTACGACACGGTGCGGGATGCCTGGACTCGCCACGGCGCCCTGCCCCGCCTCTGGCTCTACCATGGGGCCTCTGCCATCTTCCTGGATGTCTCCAAGTGGACACAGCCCTTCCACCCGGCCCCAGAGCCCTAGCCCACAAGGCGTTGAAGGTCCTGGCCCTGAAGGGCCCCAAGCAAGGTCTTGTGATCCTGAAAATGGCCCCACGATACATACTTGCTTGTCCACTCAGGGCTGCAGCCCCTTTGGGCCCCGAGCTGGGTGCCAGTTGCTAAGGAACACAGCACAGTTCAGGGACATGGCCTTGGTCACTGGAGCCATGACCCCAAACTCCAAGCTGCCTGGTGTGTGGGTGGTCAGGGTCCCGGGGAGGTAGCCCAGGCCCAGGGCAGCTCCTGGGCAGCTCTGCCTCCTCTGCATCCCTATGCTGGGTTTTGGGGTTGTGCAGCAGCAGTGTGGGAACCAGAAGAAGCCCCAGGACTTGGGGCAGGTCCTCCGGCGTGGGGGCCTGATCGTCCTCCCATGATGCATCACTATGCCAGGCGGTCTCCTCAAGACAGGCCTGCCCTGTGCCCACCACATTGGGCATGGCATCTCTGTGGGCTGCCCACCCTGCTCCCTGATCACCCTGCCCGGCTCCACTAAGAAAGCCACTTCAAAAGTCACAGGGAACGGTGCGGGGCGGGGGGGGGGGGTGTTACAGGACAAAGAGCCGAAGTCCTCAGGCCAGTTTCAGGGGGGCTTTCATCAACACAGGCCCCACGGGGTATAAGCTGCCTCAAGGAAAGGTTCGTGGTGCTGAGTCCCTTCAGAGAGGTGGCAGGCTATGTCTGGTGGCCTCTGCTGCCAGCCACAATGGCACAGGCAGCTGGGCCTACTCCAGGGCCTCAGAGCATTTCTGGGGACCCCAGGGCTGGCTCAGCACCCTGGGCCCTGTATTTGTAACCAAGGACACAATAAAGGACTCTCCCTGGCTTAGGGTTGTGCCCATCTGTCACAGCTTGGTCCAGGTGGCTCAGGAGTTGGCCTGGGCTTGACTTACAAGACTTGGGTAGCACCTATCCCCCACTGTAGGCTCCTACTCCAGGTCTGGCCCACGGGGACCAGGAGCTCGAGCCACAGAGTGGGGTCCAACACCAGCCCCACCGGAAAGATCAGGGCTTTTCAGGAACCCCTGGCCATGGGTTGGGAGGAAAGAGCCAGGGCTCTCTGAGGAAGCAGGTTGCAGGGAGGCCACCCAGATTGAAGCCCCCAAAGCCAGGCATGGTGCCCCACCCCTATGCCAAACACTCAGGAGGCTGAAGCAGGAGGATCAGAAGTCTCAGGCCAGCCTGGGCAATTTAGTGAGGTGTTGTCTCAAAATAATAGTGGAGATTGCAAGGAGCTGGGCTTGCCTACCTGGTTAGAGGCAGGCAGGCAGGAATTATTGGAAAGTGAAGCCTGCTTGGTGTTGTGAGTAGGACTGGGAGCCCTGAGTGGGGAGCACATGATTGTGGGGGGCACACCCCTCCTACACCTCCCACCAAGGCCTCAGCTTTGCTCAGCTGTGGCTGACATTAGGGGACAGTGCATCCCCAGATTCCCAGCTGGAAGCTGTGAACCCCCAGTCGGGAAGGGCAGAGTTCAGGAAGGGTGACTCTGGCTGGGGACTGCACCCCCCCACCCCCGCCTCCGGGCCACAGGGCACAGGTGCACATCCCGCACCTCCATTTCCTCAGGTCCCCAACATCATTGCCTGAGGCCGTGTTCCAGGCCCCGGGGATAAACCCCAGTGGGGTGTCGGGTGACCCGGCGGGGGACTCCAAAGGCCACACAGCGAGATGACTTCAGCCCGCAGCATCTGCAGGCCCGAGGAGCCTTTTTCCCATGACCTCATTGTGAGGAGAAGTGAGACACAGGTTGGGATGAGGGCTCCAGGCTGTGGCAGCCAGGTCGAGGCCACGAGGATGGCCCAAGAATGAGGCTTGGGTTTCAGAGGGACACCTGTTCTGGACCCCCGGTTCCCTGGCACCATCCCCACTTCTGAACCTAGGCCTGCTCCCTGCCTGCTTGATCTTGCCTGATCTGCCTCTTGTGAGAGCAAAGTTTTCTGGAAAGGGAGCCCCAGAAACACAGGGGGTCCTGCCTGAAGGTCCAGCATGTGCTGCTCTGTCACCTCCCTCACCCCACCAGGCCGGGTCATCACCACCGCAGGACGGCATTGCAGGAGGCGGCACCAGCACCAGAACAGATCAGATTTGGGCCAGTGCAGAGCCCGTGATGTCATGGGACTGCTCAATGCTTGGGACAATAGCTGTTTCCAGGGAAACAGCTTTTTTCCTGGGTCCTGCTCCTTTTGCTGGCACTGCGGAGGGGATGATGTCACTTGAGCACCTTAGGGTTCCATCTCCCAAACCCAGTCCCCGAGTGTCAAAGGTGACAGAACTGAAGCCTCACCTGCCTGTATGTGGGGCAGGTCACATCATGTCCAGGTAGAACCGCAGTCAGGCAGAGGGAACCTCGGGGCAGATCTGGCCCAAAAGGAAGAGATAAGGCCCTGTGACCCCCACAGCCTTCAAAGTCGCCCTGGGCTCAGGCTCCGCATCAACCAGAGCAGGAAGACCCCAATGGCAAGGAGCACTGGCTGCGTCTGTGTCCAGTGAGCTGGCCTCCACCACCCTGTGCTGTGCATCCCTGGCCAGCTGGCCACCTCTTTGGGCTGCCCTGGGGGCCTGCAAAGGTGATATGGTGCTGGGTGTGCACAGGGTTCTCCAGAGACCAGGAGGGGCCCTGCATGGAGCCGGTGCTCTGAGTACAGGAGTTCAAGCTGGGCACACACGCTTCTGTGCCTGCTCCTCCAAGGACCCCAATAGGGCCAGCACAGACAGACACCCAGCAGGAACAAAGGTCCTTAATCATGTAAATCTGCTGTCCACTTAGCTAGAAACTCAGATGCTGCTGAGCCCATGGGAGCCCAGCGTTCCTCAGGTGCAGACCTACAATTTCCACGAGCGTTAGTTAATCCCAGTGTTTTTAAAAACTGTGCATCAGCTTTTAAAGACAGAACTTCTGTGCGGTCCTTCCCTGCCTGACAGCTGTGATGAGCAAGTCCCTGGGTCTTATGCCCAGGGAAGCGAGCTCTCAGGGAGATGGCCACCAGCATCTTCACAGCCTCACAGAAAAGGCTGAATTCAGCGAGCCTAACACTGAACACTGTGCTTTCTCGAAAATGAAGAGTGCGAAACAAATGACTAATGAAAACGAAGCACTTACACACAGTGGAGTACTACCCTGCCATAAAGAAGGTTAAGAAAATGAACCTGCCATTACACACCTATAATCTAGTACTGGGGAGGCTGAGGCAGAAGGACGGCTGTGAGTTTGAGGTCAGCTGGACTGTGTAGCAAGACGCTGGTCTCAAAAAGATGGGGGGAAAGGAGCAGGGGTCAGCACCTCGACACCATAATGTTAAGTGAAATAAATCAGATATATAAACTTAAATATCCCCTGGTTTCTTTTTCTATAAGAAACCCAAAATAACAAGGAGCACAAAATTAAAGACGAACAGGGAGACGGCACTCTTGCAAATGAGAAGGACAGTGAGACATGGAGGGAAGAGTCAAACTGTGTGCAGGGAGAACTGCTTATAGGACACAGAATTTATAATATTGTTATTGACAGTCACCCGGAGTTAAATACAAGCAAGGACAGGAAATCTGTCCACAGCATCGGAGATCTAGAAAATCCAGCCAAGGGCTTAGATCCCACAGCAATGTCCCTCGTGAGTCCAGCTGAAGACCTAGAGCCCATGACAATGCCTCCCACAAGTCCAACTTGAGGCCCAGAGCCGGTGACAAGGACTCACGCAAGTCTGTTTCATGGATCTACACTGGGAAGGCCCAAAGGTCAGAGGTGGAAGCCAGAAAAGTCTGCGCCAGTGAGGTGAAGGAGCTGTGCTGGTGGGATGAGGGTTCTACACTGGAGCTGAGAAGTCACACTCAAAATAAGGACCAGGGATGCCCTGAAAAGCACCACAGCCATCCTCAGTGACACAGAGGTCCTGAGTTTTGACGATGAGAACAGTCAAGTACACGTCAGAGACCAATGTGCAAGCTTCTCCTGGAGATTAAACAGCACACATCTTCCTCTCAGAAGCCAGGAAGCGATGCTCAATGTAAGGAGCAAAGTCCCCCAAAGTGAACCACAGCCACTCTCAGCAACAAGGTCCCAAGCTCCTCTGATGAGAATGGCCAAATTCATATTAGATGAGCCAGCATAACAAGCTCCTCCGGGAGAACCAACAATTCCAAACAGCAACACATGAGAACCCACAATGCCCAGTTTTTCCTTTCCACATCTCCCTTTATGCTGGCAGCTTTCCTCAGGTGGGCCCTGTACACCCAGCACCTTTAATTCAACTGGTGTTGACCACCAGTACCTAGTCCATAACAGTGATGTCCATGCATCAGTCCCCAGGATGAACACTATCATTGCATACTGAAAACGCCCACTAACATAAGTACAAGACTTTGGGAGCCCACGTTTCCCTCACCCACCTCCGGTACAGGGCCTAGTGCGCTGCCTCATATGTGTCCAGGAAAGGTGACTCAAAGCAGGGTTTCCAGGGCCATCCTCTGAGGCTGGGGCCTTCACCTGCGCCGTTCTGGAGCTCCCATCCACCCCCAGGTGACAGGACACACACATGCAGGCTCCTGCCCAGGAGGGAGTGCTGTGCATGCAGGGCTTCCCCTTTGTCCACTCCGACCCCAGGAGTGTGTGTGCGGCCTGCAGGTGCCTGGCTTCCATTTTCCAGGCCTGATGACAGCGCCCCTGAGGGGGCGGCCAACTGCCCAGGGGCCTGCAGGGTGGGCTTCACCTGCGCTGACCCTGACAGGCCCTGTTCATCCCCCCACACCGGTGGACAAGGCAGGGGTCAGTGCTCCCCACCCTGCCCTATCGGTGCAGGGCAGCTGCTCCTCTGTTGAGTGGCTTGGTGGCCCCAGGCCTTGCAGGTCCCCAGTCCCGGCTGCCGCACGCTCCATTTCTCCGCAGGTCGGATCGGGTAGTTGCAGGGCGCCACGTTCCCCGGCCAGCTAATACCGGGGAGCGAAGAGTGGGCTGGTTCGTGCGCGGGCAGAGGCAGTGCCCTACCCCCCTGTGCCCTTCACGCCCTGCAGCGCGCGCGGGCACCGGGAGGGGGCGCAGCGGGAGGGCGCGCGCGGGATTTGGGCAGATAAAAGGCCCGGGTCCAAGCGCTCACCCGCTGTCCACATGGCCCTGGCCCGACGCACCGCCGGCGCGCTCCTGCTGCTCATCCACATGGCGCCGCTGCTCGTCCATGCGGGCCTCGGCACCCCGGAGCCCGCAGGGAGCCACACGCACCCGCACCTGCAGCCGCCGCCCAGGACCCTGCTGCCTGCCAAGAGCCGCGTGCGTCCTCCCGCCCGCCCGCCGGTAAGATGGGGCTGCCTGTGTCCCCGGGAGCCGCTGTCCCCTTATGGGAACCTGGTCTGGGCATGGGGACCCTTCCTTGTTCAAACTGAAATTCCACCACATCAGGGAAGGAAGCTGGGAAAGTGGAAAGAACTCCCTCCTAGTGACTCTGGGCAGCCCAGGTGTGCCGGGGACGCACCTGCAGGTCCCCGAAGTCCTCTGCAGGACAAAGTGCTCCCGGGAGGCCTAGGGCCCCACCTTCCCTCTTCTGGCTTTTTTTGCTGGGTGACTCTTGGCGAGGAAGCAGCCATCTCAAGCTGCACTCTGAGGTGCCTTCCTGCCCAGTGCCAGCGCCTGGGTTGCAGGTCTGAGTGGATTTGGCAGCAGCTCCCAGTCATTACCAGATAGCGGCCTCTAAGTCAGGGAGGGTGGGGTTTCTGGTCTCCCTGTTCTCTGGGTGTCTGTGACCCCACGCAGGGCTCCAGCCCCAGGGACCCACTCAGGAGCCTGACCAAGAAGGTACCCACTAAGGAGAGGAGACACACAGAGGCCTCCCAGACCCCACCCACCCTGCAGGGAGCCACAGCCCAGGTGGATGGAGGCCTCTGGGGGCCAGCCACAGCCTCAGGGACTCCAGGAAGGGACAGAGCTGGGGCTACCAGGTGGGTATGGGCCCTGGGCCTCCTGGAACCCAAGATCAACAAGGCTTAACGCTCCCCCCCCCCCAAACCAGGTGGGGCCCAAGTCACCAGGATCACTGGTCCAGCTGGAAGGGTCAGTTTGGAGCCCTGCCATGGCCTGTATGCAGAATCTGTACCATGTAGAGCCACTCAGGGAATCCAGGTCTTTGGAGGATGAGGGGCAGTGCTGAGAGAGGACCAAGGGCCTGGACACCTTGTCCACCCCCTCTGGCAGCAGGGTATATAAGAAACATACATATGTATGTTTCTTGGCAGGGACCAGCTGAGAAGTCACAGGCTGAGACTTAGGGCTCAGGGCTGTCTTGGGCCAAAGGGCCTGGGCAGCTGTAAGATCCTGAGCGTTGCCATTAGGCATCAGATCTACACGCATAACCTCATCTAAGCCTGGCTGAGCCGTCTCCTTCCTGGCTGGCATCCCTGCCTGGAGCTGGAGCCAAGGATGCTGCCCAGTGGGCCCAAGGCCTCCACCAGGAACTGAAGTTCCTCCCTGAATCCACCTGTATCAGGACCTGCCAGGCACCACTCACACAGGGAGGGGGTTCCTGGAGCTGTTGCCCTTGCTCGGGTTGGGACTCAGGAGTGCAGGGAAGATGAGCAGCTCGATGTCTCATCTGGTCCTTGCCACTGTGTCCTCTGCCAAAGTTGCCTCCCTGGGGAGGACCAGGGGAGCTGGCAGCTGGGGGCCCCAACAGTCACAGCCACCTCTTCTTGGGCACCCTCAGCACTAGTCTGGTGCAGAGCAGGTCTGAGGGGTTACTGTGAGGACACCCTGGGGGGTCTGTGTTCCAGGAGCCCGGCACTGAGCGTGCACACAGCGTGGACCCCCGGGATGCCTGGATGCTGTTTATCAGGCAGAGTGACAAGGGCATCAACAGCAAGAGGAGCAGAGGCAAGGCCCGGGGGCCAAAGGTAAACCGCCCTGTCTATCACACCTGTCAGCACCCTTCATGCACCCCAATGTTTACAGCTGTCCCCTGTCCCCTCCCATCAGCTGGGCTCTGCTCTCACTCTGCCTTGGCCCTGGCCTGGCAGGGACCTGGCACCTGGCCCCAATGGCCAGCTCCTGCTCTGAGCCCCAGAGTGGGCCCTGTACCCAGGGCCGGGAGCTCTGGACCAGGACCTTGTTGCCCACTGAGGTCCTTACCACACTGAGTTCTGCCACAGTGGGAGTGCCAGGGACTGGGTGGGCAGTTGACATGGCCTTGCCCACCTCCCTAGTCCTCTGTGCCACCCACCCTGCTCCTTGCCCCTTCCAGGGTTGGGTCCCGACCTGGCCTACCTGGGTGCTGGGCCCTCGGCTGGGGAACTTGCTGATGATGGCTGAGTCTGAGACACAGGTCTCAGACAGTGGCTTCTGGGACCCCCAAGGGACTCACCCTGTCAGTCCCCACCCTGGGACAGCTCTCCCACCATCCTCAGAGACAGAGGAGACACTCAGGCTCTCCACTCCTGCTCAACATCCTCATCACCAAGGTTCCCTTCCAGCTTGGCCTGCCAGGGCCACCTGGCCCCCCTGGCCCCCAGGGGCCACCAGGTCCCCTCATCCTGCCAGAGGCACTGCTGAAGGAGTTCCAGCTGCTGCTCAAAGGTAAGGGTGCTATGGGGCTATCACCCGGTCTGGATGGTTGCCTGGGTGTGTGTGTGTGGAAGGCTCATGGAGGAGGGTGGGAGTGGCTACCCTGCCCAGGGCACAGGGGACCAGAATCCAGGGCCGTGCCTAGGCTCTCTGCACTGTGGGCAGCTGCTGCCTGTGGCTTACATGACAGAAGCTAAATATAGAATGAAGAATGAGAGTCCTTTCCCCTCTAACCCTGGGTAGCTTGTTCGTTTTTAAACATCACTTTCAGATGGGCATGGTGGTGCACCCCTGTGACCAGCACTCAGGAAGCTGAGGCAGGAGAATGGCTGCTTTATACCAGGCCAGCCTGGGCTGCATAGTGGGACCTTGTCTCAAAAACCCAAAACAAATCCCGACAAAATACTTTCAATGCCTTTTTGAAGGGCTAGATGTTACTTCCGGTGCAGCTGTAAAAGTTATTTATTCACACTCAGCTTCTTCCCCAAAATGTGGATAAGTCTGCGTATGGTGACTGGAGGATCAGCATGCAGGGTGGGTGCTGGGCAAAGATGAGGGCACTGAGCAGGCAGCTACCAGATCAGAACGCAGTGTCCCAAGGCCTGTGGTATGCCCTGTGACTCTAGACTCATGTGTGGTCTCCTCCCGGGTATGGGGTCCCAGGCACCCACCTGCTCGCTCTGTGTCAGGCGCTGTGCAGCAGCGCGAGCACGTGGAGAGTGAGCTGTGCACGCGGGGCCCCGCTGAGTTAGCAGTCACCCAAGGGGAGGACGACGACGTGGACGCGGAGGCGGAGCTGGCACTGCCTGCTGCACTCCCAGCCCCGCGCGTGGAGGCCGCTTTCCACTGCCGCCTGCGCCGGGACGCAGAGGTGGAGCGGCGCACGCTGCATGAGCTCAGCGTCTACTACCTGGTGAGTGGCGCTGTCCAAGCGGGGTCAGCCGAGATCCAGGCGGGACCCCAGGTGACCGACCATCCATGCACCCCACAGCCCGACACAGAGGGCGCCTTCCGCCGCGGCCCGGGCCTGAACCTGACCAGCGGCCAGTACACAGCACCCGTGGCCGGCTTCTACACGCTGGCTGCCACGCTGCACGTGGGTGAGGTGCGGGCGAGGGTGGGGGGTGCTTGTCCTGCTCCCTACACCAGACCCCAAAGTGATGGTCACGCCCACCCGCCCACAGCGCTGGCGGAGCAGCCACGACGGGTTTCACCACGCCCTCGGGACCGCCTGCGCCTGCTCATCTGCATCCAGTCCCGCTGCCAGCGCAACGCGTGAGTGCAGAGCTCCCCTGACCAGCTGGTCTGTCCTCTCCAGCACCCAGGAGGCCTAACCCTGCCAACCGCCTCTCTGCTGCACCGCACACCTAGGGGAATGGAGGTGGCACCAATGCCCTCCCCAGAGGCCTCTCCCCGTCACTCCCACCCTGCACCCGGGAACTCTCCTCTGGGAATGTACTGCTCAGCGCTCCACTGCCCCATCTGGTCCCCAAGGGCAGTTCTTGCCCCGTCCCTGTCCTCTGGCACAGGGCCCAGGCACACGGATGCTGACATGTATGGAAAAGGTGTGAATTAATGGGGAAACTGAGGCTTCCAGCTTTGAAAGCCCTGTGTGTAGTGGCCAGCTTTTTGTCACTTGTGGCCACTCTGCCACCTCCGACTGCCAGCAGTGACAGGTTTCCCAGTGGAGCAAGGGCTTTGCTGCTCCTTACTTGACTCTGGCCTTGAAGATGCCTCCCACTGCCTGTCTGCTCCTCCTGGGGACCCCGTGGACACATTGATTCCCCTGGGAAAGGGTTGGCAATTGTGAGGTCACCATGGTTGAAGGCAGTGGTCTTTGGGGCAGGCTGACCCTCTCTCTGTCTTGGCCACAGCTCCCTAGAGGCCATCATGGGCCTGGAGGGCAGCGTTGAGCTCTTCACCATCTCCGTAAATGGCGTGCTGTACCTGCAGGTGAGTAGGCCAGCTGAGTGCATGGCAGCGTCAGGGCTGTGGCCACAGGCAGCCGGTGCCAGGCCACACCCTGAGTGCCAGCACAGGTCTGGGTAGAGCCAGGCTCCAGCTCCCAATCTCCCTCCAAAGCCCACCCTTCCCTAGGAGGCCTGGGCCCTTCTGCTGGGGGCACTGCCAGCCACCCTGCCCTATGGGGGGCTATGCAGGGTGGGCAGAGCTTTGTGGTGCTGGGAAGCCCAAGAGGTCATTCCGTACACTAAACCCTGCAGGGGTCTCCTCAGCGCTGTGGGGATGTGGCCAGGGCTGGGGAAGCTCGCACACAAGTGGGATCTCCAAAGGAGAGAGAAGCAACACACCTGTCAATCTAGGTGGGGGCACCTGTGTCGCTCCAGTCCCTGAGCCAGCTGTGCTGGAGGCTGTGGTCTGACAGCTTGGCTGGTGGCCTCCTGGACCCTGTGCCTAGGAGCCCATTGGGCCGCCAGGCAGCAGGGCCTGTGTCCTGCTCTATGGCAGGGGAGGGCAGGGAGAGGAGGCAACGGCCAGCCAGGGAGCGGCCGTGTGCTGGGCTGGGCTGACCCCAGGGCACTTGCCACTCCCCGCTCCTGGCAGGTGGGCCAGTACACCTCTGTCTTCCTGGACAACGCCAGCGGCTCAGCCCTCACTGTGCGTGGCGGCTCCCACTTCAGTGCCGTCCTCCTGGGCGTGTGAGTGTTCCTCTGCCTCCGAATGGCACCCACACAGGGTGGGGGTCAAAGTGGCCATGTGCAGGAGAAAGCCCACGCAGGACTCTGGCCACCGCAGATGATACACAAGTTGGTGTCCTGGGAGGCAGCAGCTTCCTGACCTGTCTTGCAAAGGGGAAGGCCGCTGTCACCCTGGAAATTGCATATGCACAACACCTGCCAGGATCCTGCTGCAGACCATGGCCCCTCAGGCCTCTCCCATCCCATACTCTCTGCACCAAGGGGTCCAAGCAGGGCCCATGCAGAGCCGAGGGGCCGTCAAGGGGAGGAGCCCTGGGCTGCTGCCCCCCCTGTCCCAGCTGGTCCCACACACCCCTTGCCTGCAAGGCCCTGGTTGGCCTGCTGTAAGCGCTGACCCCCAAGACTTGCTGGGGACCCTTAGCACAACAGCTGAGGGCCCACAGGACGATGAAGAGGACCTCTAGGGGTCTGAGGGTTGTAACCATCTCCCTCAGAGGCTGTTTGAAGTTCTGCCCACTGCTGGGCCTCGGGGAGATACAGCACACCTTGAGGGTACACCCCAGCCACATGCAGACCACCAGTCAGGCAGCAAGGCCAGGACTGGCCCTGTAGTTCTGGGATGCTCATACTGTGGGCTCGTGGGGGGGGGGGGGGCATGAGCCCCTGCAGACTTACACTCCCAGTTTCCCAAGGGCCAGTAACAAGGCCTCAAGCAGGTAGTGACAGGGATGGGAACCATGAGTGGCTTCCAGGGCACCAGTCCAATCTGGCTGGGATGAGCAGGCCTGGGGAGATGGGCAGCAGTCAGCCAGTCATGGAACCTTCCAGGCAGCCTCAGGACGAGGTGACCACAGCCAGGCTGAAGGGCCCTGGCTCCTTGGCCCACACTCCAGAACCAAACATGCCATGTCAGGTGGCCTGGTGACACTGCAGACTAAGTTCTGCTCATGGCCTACCCAGCCCGATTCTCAGTAGCACTGGAACACACCCTACCAGGAAGCGCCCAGCGGCCACACAGATAAGGGTGGCACGGGTGTGCCCTTTTCTGGATTCACTGTGAACCTGGTGGGCAGATGTGGCAGTTATCTTCCCCCTGAGAAAGCCATGTGGGCACCTATCTCACTCTCCACGTAAGCGTGGCACCCAGCAGCCTGTCAGGTGTTTGCTACAGGGTATTGCTGGGCGGGCACATGTATGGGACCAACTTGGACATGTGTCACACAATATGCCAAGCTGTAAACCCAGGGCAGAACTGAAACTCACCTGGGCTGGCCAGGGAGGGAGTGGGGAGGGACTGTGGGGTCAGGCATGTGAGTCCCAGCCCTGGGATACAGAGGGCCATCTGGTTTGCTGTAAGGAAACTACCAAATACACTGCTTCCTAACTACAAATGCTGAGGTCCTGTGTTTCAGTTCTGCCATGTTGTCCGAAGTCCCAGTCCCCAAGTGAACAGAACAGCTGGCTTCTAGCCCCTCTGGAAGGGGCAACACCGGAGCCTCTGTTCACTATTGGTGATGCCCACGGGCCCCAAAGCAACTGCGGCTCACATACCGCATCAACAGAGTGGCCGGGTGATAAGGCTGTGCACTGCATCAGGGCCAGTGAACACTAGTAGATAGGCTTTGCAGAGGCAAGATCTCAGTCCCACGTCCTGCGGAGCCCGTGCAGACACACTCCAAGAGCAGGAGACACTGACAACGACACGTTCCACATACCAACAGGCACTGGAAGGTGTCTTGGAGCATTGGAGCCAGCCCCTCACAAGAGCTTCTCCACTGAACCCTGGCACAGGGAGCCCCTCAGGTGAGCAAGGCCCCTGGCTTGTACTGTCCCAAGGTGAGAAAACAACTCCAAGCCATCCCAGATGGCATGGGTGCTGCTTGGTATACACCCCAGGGAGCCCTGAGGGCTATCAGAGCCAGTGCTCCTGTGTGAGAGATGGCATCTTTACAGGTAGCTGCATTCCTCAGGCCAATGCCTGATGCAGAGGCCCAGGCCCTGGCCAAGCCTGACTCCTTGTATCAGTGATGGGATATGAGAGGGCTCATTCCTGGTCCCAGCTCGTCTGTACTGGGCACCACTGTCTGGGGCTCATCTTGAGGTGAATGCACGACGAGGGCCTGCAGGGCCTAACTCCCGAGGCTGTGTCAGCATGAGCCAGCCCGAGTGACCTCCAGGACTCAAGACAGGAAGGGACCAGAGCGTACTCTGGAGCAGACACTCAACCGGAAGAGCCAATCACTCTGGAATAAGGGAACTTTAAAAGGCGAGGGAAAAAAGAAAGAAACCTTTATTTACAGCCATGGGAGTCCCACAGGAGTGCGCAGACACGCAGCACACGCACGTAGTGGCACCTGCAGGACAGCCCGCCCAGCCCTCAGTGCCCTATCTGCACCACCATGACGGTCACGTTGTCTGCAGAGCCCCGCTGCACTGCCTTGTTGGCCAGCCTGTTGCACGCAGCCTCGTAGCGGGCATCTACAGCGGGTTTCCCTTCCCGGGTCTGAATCTTCTCATCCTACCGAAAGAGAAGGGGCCCAAGTGGATGGTCAGCACCTTGACTGATCTGAGAACCCATCATGCTCAGGGTGCACATGCTGTCTGGGGCCCAGCTGCAGGAGCAGGTCACTGAGACGCTGCCTTGGGAAAGGTCTGACACTCTTCCTAACCTCTGCCTCCTTTGCCCACCACGTCCTTCCATCACAGTGCTCTTGCCTTGGAGCCAGCAACCAATGGACTGACCACTCTGAAACCATGTGCCTAATCGAGCTCCTTCAAGCTGTGGGTGTCAGGTACTGTGTCTCAGAAACAGGGAAGCTGACCAAAAAGACAAGCCTCTCAAGACACAGCAGCCAAGGGATGACCTGCTCTTCCTCATGGGGCTGGCAGAATGAAGTGACTTGAGTTCCTGGGCACTGACAAAGTGCAAAGGGTGGCCCTGAACAAAGGACATGGAGTTGGGACAACTGTCACCCTCTGGTGACATTCCTCACCTCCAGGCAGGACAAGATGAAGTTCACGGCTTCTTCTGGGGTAAAGACCTTGAAGAGCCCATCACAGGCCAGCAAAATGAACCTACCACCCCGGGAAGAAGCATAAATGAGTTTAGCAGCAAACTATAGAAACAAAGTGGCCCAGAGATTTCTTAAAATCAACTTTGGGCCCCCCATGGTCTCTACCCTTGAGCCTGAACACCTCCAGTGCTAAGCACTGTGCTGAGAATCAGAGAGAACCCAAGGGCGCCAAGGCCAGGTGAATACACCTGGATCAATGGTCACAGTCTTGCGCCATCCCTCAAGGATGTGAAGCTGAGCTGAGCTGAGCTGAGCCCTAAGTGAGGCACACCGGAAGGTCTAAGACCCCAGGGGACCCCAGAGTCAGACTGTTCAACACTCAAAGCCCATGTTCCCTGCAGAATGCTGTCAAGGCCTCAAGCACCAAGGCTCCCACACAGCTGCTGCCCTCCTGCTCCGGGCACAGCTCTGGATGGCTACCGGCTTCTGCACACTGCAGCACCCTTTTCTTTTCTCTCTGAAAGCAATAACTTAGGCAGCATGTTCCAGGAACACCTCCACGCCTGAGGCAGGGTGGGGCTGAGGACACACTGGCTCTTGCCCCTCCGTGTACAGTCAGAGCCGGGATAACAAAAGGAAGCTGCCCTGTGAAGGCCAGGTCTCTGGCTCTGCAGCCCTGGGAGGTGGTGGTGGTTGGGCCCAGCAATAGTGCTGCCTCGGCTCCTGCTTGCTCTCAGTTCAGTGAGTCCCGTTTTCCTGCACTTTCCTCCACTCCTTCCTGCTACTACCATACTTCCGCCCTGGCCCCAACCTGGCTCTGTGCCAGGCTGCAGGCTCCCTGGCACTGTGACCCAAGCTCTGACTAGAACTCCTTGAGGCTTCCCCTCAGTGACAGTATGCCCTGTTTTAGGCGTGTGGAAGGGAGACATCCACACAGTCTCTCATCCCATCTTGGCAAGCCCCTCTTGAAGCCGCTCAATTCTCTACCAACCATGAGCTAAAATCCAAAGCCTCTGTAGAACTCTCTCCCCAAAACACCCTCTTTGTCTCAACTCTCCGTGTCCTCCAAGCCCCCTGCTGCCATTACTGGCACCTGCCTCGCTTTCACACTGTCATTTGGACAGCAGTAAGGCCTTCCCCACAGCAAGGCCCCCATGGCCAGCCTTCTTCACACTGCTAGGACACCTGACTGCAAGGTCTGTCCCCCTGAGTGCCCCAACTACTACTCACATACTGTCCCACAGCCCAGCACAGTGCGGAGACACTGCTGTCACCCCCACAGGCACCCCTGCAGCAGAGGCTGGACGCCATCTGGGAACAACCACACATGCTACGCGTATGCATACTAGGCCTTTGGGAAGGTGACTTTACCTGTCATTGGGAGTCAGCTGGCAGCGTCTGATATCAGGCACAGATGTAACCCCACAGCGCTTGTACTGCCCATCCCCAATGGAGCGGGACACCTCCAGCACGCCCAAGACACGCCCATCCCTAAAAGGAGGGGAAGAATATCAGATGCCACCTGACAGAGCGTGGATCCACACAACTTAGAAGCTGACCCTCAAGGCAGGAAATGGATGAGTGTAAGATCTAGGCTTGGCCACATCCCTGACCAGCAGTGCCGCTTTTGTGTCTCCATGCGGCCACTAGCGTTTGTGATTCCAGGCACTTCCTAGGCTGCTCTGCGTGGGTGGCCTGGGCCCCTCACACACCCATCCAGTGTGGGCTGGACCCCTGCAGTGACAAGGCTGGGTTGCCACCTTTCCTTCCCAGTGCTGAGCACAGTCCCGGGTCCAAGTCCTCCATTCCCAAGCAGGAACAACAGGAGAGCATGACAGCCAGCAGGGCTGGGCCCAGGAGAAGACTGGCATCACTGGAAACGCCTCAGTAACAATATGGACAGTGGTCTGCTCCTGCCTGACTCCTGTGACACCCCACAGGGGACACGTGACATGTGCCACTCAGCTGGCAGGGCAAAGCAAAACCCAGGAGACTGAGCAGGAAGCCCACCCATTTACCCTGCAGGGTTCTGCTAAGGACAAGCTGGTACTAGGCTGCGGCCCCATGGCTCAGGGCCCTCCTGCAACCCAGCCTACTGCCCCAGGGCCTCCCAGGCATGCCCCACGTATCTGTTCCTACAACCTCTGCATTCTGGGCACCATCGGATTTGGGGATTCATGAAGGTTCTCCTTTCACTAACTGCTAAAAATTCACCCTCCTGGTCTCCAGGTGTTCCCCTAGGAAGGCTCACAGGAAGTGGCTAAGTTCAACCTGCCACACCAATCTGCTGGCCCTAGGAGCCAGACCTCCCCAGACTGGGCCCCTGGCCCTCACACACTTCCAGGCCTGGCTTTGCTGCTTTACTTCTTTCCATTTCAATGCCCACTCAACTGGGGACGCATGCTCCCTTCAGTGGACTCGCTGCTCAGCACAGCCCCAGATCTCAGCCATGTCCTCAGGCTGGAACAGGAAGTTCCAGGCTTTCCCTCACAACCACAGACCAGAGGCTGAGATAACCTCAGGATCTCTGGCATGTGAGTCAGGTTGGGGACACACTGAGATCCACTGGGCCAACCTGTGACAGAGGCCTATGAAGCTGAGGCCCGGCAGTGCAGGTGCCAGCTTCTGGCTTCCAGGAGAATGGCAAATGCCACAGCTGTTGTGTGAGCAGGATGGGTACCTCAGGGACAAGTGGAAGACCTACTTCAGGATGTTGAGAAGCCAGCACTAAGCCCAGCGCTGGGCGAGGCATCGACAGGTATAAGTCTGAAGGCTCCTGCAAGGGCCTCCCCACCTGCTCAGACCCATGGCACAGACACCTCCTGGGTAGGAAGGTAAGGAAATGAGAATACAAGTGTGGATTTGCTTATTTTTCTGAGACACCCCAGAGGCAAAACAGGAAACACAGTGAAAGGGTCAGGATGAAAGCATGACATTTCCACACTCTGAGTCAGATAGCAGGAGGTCCCCAGCTGTGGTGCCCATCCCTTATCAGACCCTAGGCAGCACAGTCTGGTGCACCAGGCACCTCATACTGCCCCTCTCCAAAACCACCTCCTCCTTCTGAGCCGGAACTGTCCCCTAGCAGGAAGCACTGCCTCCCACCCTCTCCACACCAGCAACCCTTCGACTACTGGGGACCGTGATTCCTTGAGGACACTGGGTACGGAATCACCTGCCCTCTGCTTAGCTCCATCTACATGGCCCATTGTCCCTGCCCTCCCCCTTGCAGCTCTGATGTGGGGGTGTTCCAGTGCAGTGACCACTACTGCAGTAAACAAAAGTGCATGAGCAGCGGAACCCCGTTCTCAGTTTTTCAGGGCACACCCCCAGGCATACCCTGGGGCGCAGGGTAATTCTGTTTGGTGTTCATTGGTGGCTGTGGGGACGGACCTGAGAGCTTCTCTGCGGAGTCCCAGCCCCAGCCCCTATGAGAGACAGCATGTTGTTCAAGTGCCCAGATTGGTCTGGAACCAACCGTCTGGGTTCTGAGGCACAGCTGCACTGTGATCCATGTGCTGTGACACGTAACACTCTTGCCAGCAGGGCCAGGCGTTTCAAATTCCCCACACAATCCATAAAGGAGACAGAGCCCCCCAAAGTGAGCACAAGAAAGCTAATGATGGGGCTGGGGATTTAGCTCAGTGGCATAAGCGCCTGCCTTGCAAGCAGGCAGTCGTGAGTTCGATGCCTAGTACCAATAAAAACGAAAAAGACAAAAAAAAAAGAAAGCTAATGATCACAACCAATCTACTGAAACCACGGTGATGACAACGACTTCACCTGCCACACAGCACTGGACAGTGACTCTACAGTGAGGCTCACTCCACACAAGAGGGCAACTGGCAGCGCCTCAGTCTCATTACCACCACAATTCTGAAGGCTTTTGAGAAACACACAGTAATGTTATTAGGAACTACAATCTCCAGCATAAGAGAAAAGAAGTACAAATATTAAGTCAAACAAAAAGAGGAAAAACCCTGTGACAGTAACTGTGACAATCAGCAGTGTAAGTCATCACTTTAAATGTGCTGTTTCCCAGTTGTCCTTTGAAGGGATTTAATTAAAAACACATCTTGATGAAATGAACACCCCTGCAGCTGGGTTCTGGTGCTTAAAAGATGAAGACACACACATGAAAGGACACAGGAGCCGCCCTGAGGCAGTGCCCATGCCTGCCCTGAGATGACAGGAGGAGCAAGCACCCAGCCCTGCAGAGGGAGCACTGTCTCAGCACACTGGGACCCACAGGTGGGGAAATGGACCCTGTTGCGGACCACTCACCCACCCTGCAAGTGAGCAGGGCAGGCATGGGGTGGGTTGGGGTGGGGACTCCACATTCACTCTGCTCCCCAGAAGAGGATATATCGCTCCCTCCTGGTGAGGCAGAGACTTCTTCATAGATGCCTGCTGGCAGCAGGAAGGACTGCAGGGGAAAGCACGTTGCTTGTGCAATCCTTAATGAACTGGTGACTCATTCACACTCGATTATGATTACCAAGGGGCACTAACGCTGTCGGTGACAGATGACAGGAGCTTGTCAATCACACAGGGAACCACACCACAGCTAAGTGCTCACTGGGAGGGGGGTAGAGGGCACAGGACTACTAGGTTACCCCATTCCCCCACAACATGCCCTCTTACGTTGAAAAAGGCTTCGGACCCAACCTCCGGTTTACAGAAAACACCTGACAACTGTACAGTGAAACAACAGGCAAACTCTAAGCACTGGGTCAGTGCTGGCCTGGACTGACACGGCTCAGAGCCTAGCAGGATATTCGAGGCCAAGGGAAATGTATGCAGGTGACTTAAGAAACAAAGACAGGTGTCTACTGGGGAACTCGGGACACAGGGGTATAGACAACCTACTCTAACCCAGCATTGCTCTCAGCTGTGTCAAAGGGGTCACCAATAGCTCCAGAATGTCTTTACCTTCAGGAGATACGTGTCTAAGTACTTTGGTGTTATACCTTCATGTCTGCACATAGCTTTCAAGTCTCTTATACACACACACATACCACACACAGAGAGACAGAGCAAACACGTAAATGTTACCTGATGTTCTAGGTGGCAGTGAAATTTGCTTTACTAGTTTAAAGTTTTGTTCCATGTTTGAAAATGTTAACAAAAAATGGGGTTGGGAGGGTGGCCCTGGCCCAGATTTGAGAGCAGATCCAAGCAGGCGCTACTGCTCAGGGGCAAAGAGTCACTGCAGGTCTCTGATGCGGGCCTTGCCAGGTGAGCCCTCTGGGCATCTAAACATTGCTCTTGGGTACAGAGGAGCAGTCAGAGGGCAGAACCCAAGAGGACCACAGAGCTATCGGCCTGGCGCCACTGCTGCCCACTGTAAACTGAAGCCAGTGTGAGTACAATCTCCTCACTCAGGCTGGGGTTTTAAACCAACCCCAAGAGGACGGACTCCCCTCCAGGGGCATGCTAACACCACTGGCTGAACTGGGCTCAGCGTGTGCACACATATACCACACACAGACAATTCACTACAGGCTCATGCTCACCGCTACTTCTGTATCCAACAGAACACAAAACTAGTGGTCAGACCAGAAATACTTCAGTCAAGTTCATCATGCAGTGCACTTAAGAGTAGAATTCTCTCAGGGATGAAAGCTCTCATTTAGCATCCTGGGAGATGGCAGAGGACAAATCGGGGCAGGCACGTGATCCTCAATGATTCAGAAACTGTGAAGGTAGAACCAGGTGGTACACAGTTCTCTGCACCAGGGAAACTGTTCCTGAGAGCCCAAAGGTGTCAGCATCCTCTGAAGTTCACCTGTGTCCGAGGCGCCATGTCTATTTCCTGGATTCAAGCAGTGGAGAGCACAGGCTCGGCCCTCCTTACCCTGCAGTCATTCTGTTTAACCATTTTAGATTTTTCTATCTGGGGAACTCAAAACTGTTAACCCACTTGGTGTAACAACTGAACATATTATATACTTAAAATGGTTCCTAGGTTCAGAGAAAATATAGCAAGTGGAGAACATTAACTGGAGGCAGGGTCTGTCTTTTTGTAAATGTAAGTCATGTTTCCTGTGTACAAACTGCTCTGCTTGGACACAAACGAAAGCCAACCACAGTCATCCAGTGGTAGACCACGTATGTCACCAGTGCTAGACCGCAGACACGGTCTTATCATGCTCAAGACTGTGACACAGAAGTGTGACTTCTAGAAGGTCTTCTGTAGCCAAGAGCCCTCTTGCCCTGGGCCACCATCGGCCCTTTGGTTACCTGACATTTCCTCCAGCCTTCTGTATTCTCATTCGTTCTTCATACTGGGTTGGATTATGCTCTTTGCTGAGGCTTAAGGCTGCATGTTTCTGACTCTCCTCGTTGTAACGACATAGGATTGCCTGGGAAGAGGGGTATTGTAGCAGTCATGAAATGCAGTGAGCAAGATGTAAAGTTACCAGCCAAAAGAGGTTAACAATGGAGCCAGCTGCCTGCTGGCAAACAGAAGTTCAGAGAACTGCACATCAAATGTGTGTCAAACAGCACAAATGAGTGACAGCACCCCAGATGGGGAGTGGTCACAGTCTCAGCCCCAATTCTGGTGCTAAATGGATGATCACAGCCAGTGTTCACCATGGCTGCTGTCACAGCTGTGACATGAAAGGCAGGCATGAGCCTGCGTGTCCAAGAGACAAACACGAGGGCAGGGGTCTGCACCTGCACATTCTCACTACCCACAGGCTCACTGTGCAGTGTCACGGAGGACACAGCCAGAGTATCAGTGCCATACCTCCAGACACCTGCACGGTCAGGATTCACACTGCCCCGGTTTCACAACTGTGTGTGTGTCTGCATGTGTGCACACATGCACACTGGTTTTCCTTCTGCTTGCTTTGAAGTCACTTGGTCTAAACTCCCATGTCCAAGAGTCAGTCCACCAGAGAACAGAGGGCCCAGGACATAAACTCCACCAGGAGGGGCCATCATGCTCCCTGCTGCAGTCCCACAGAAGAATCAACAGCCCCGAGGCCCTCTTGTGGGGGACGCTGGGTCAGAAAAGGCTGCTGGTGTGGGCAGTCACTGTGTGTCTGAAGGAGCACTGGGCTGGCTGGACATGGCAACGGCACTGCACTGCTCACAAGTGGAGCAGGGATGCTTGGAGCCAGCCCTGAGAACTTCATGTCACTGCCGTCAACCAGCACCACTGGAGAAAGCCACTCTGGGCTCTCGCTGGCCATGGTGCCCTGGGTTCACTGGTACTTTTCTAGCTACAACTTTCAAGTTTCAAGAAATCACAATGACCTGGAGAGGAAGGAGTAAATACTTCTCAAGCAGTACCATCTGAGGGGTCACAGAAATGAGTATCCAAGCTACTGGGATGCTGATTAAATTCCAAGCCACAGTACCCCTTAGCGTACACACATGTGCACAAGTGCATGGGGGAAAAGAAAGCAGCGCTGGTACATTAACCCTTCCCAGAGGACAAACCACTGTGGCGTAGCTGCTGGTTCTGTTCCCCCAGGAGTCGTACTGCACAGTCCGGCACCAACTCCACCAAAAGGTTCTACTGGCCACCATCAAACGTTCATATTGTTAAGGTTCCCCCAAGGACCATGCCATCACCTAGGTGGATGACCCAGAGCCACATACCCGACTGTCTCCGAGGTTGGCGATGTACAGGGTGTTGTCCACAGCCAGGACACAGGTGGCAGTGGATCCATCCTTCCAGGCAGGCTTCCTGGGGAAGACACCAGAAAGGCGATCACCACCATCTGACTCCAAAGTGGATGCTTCCCTGACCCTCACAGCCAAGTCTGGGTACAGCCGTGTCCCTCAAGTTAAAGGCTTAGTTCCCAGGAGGTGCCTCCAGGAAGTGCTGTGGGCTTTGAGGAGAAACCCAGTGGGAGGCCCATGTCAGCAGATATTCCTGGGAAGAGGATTGTGGGACTTCACTGCATTGTTCCCTCCATGGGGTGGTGGGACTGCACTGGGTCTTCCTCTGCTTCTGGGCTGACTCAAGCTACTCCCATGATCTGCACTAAGCCCAAACCAATGGGGCCAATCCATCTTGCACTTTTAAGTCCAAAATAAAACTAGCATTTCTCAAGTATTCTGCACCAGGTATTATGTGTCAGCAGTGATATAAAGCTGACTGGACTCACTGGCTTCTGCTTTTTCTCAGGTAATGATTCAAAGAGCTTTCTGGGTGCCGGGCACTTTAAACACAGGGAGTGTTACTATTAAGCCCTGTCCAAAGACCTGAAATGTGGCCAAGGACTGCCGCACACTGGTCCTTCTGAACCAAGTTGTACTTACTGGCTCGAAGCCTGTTTAAGGAACTCTTCATCAGTATGCTTGAAAGTATCCAAAAGGCATCTCTTCACCGTTTTCTCTACACTGACCACATCTCCTATGACACAGAGCCAAAGAACAGTCTCTCAAAGAGGGAAGATCACCTTCCCACTGTCATTTAGCTTCTGAACTTTCCACAAATCAGCTGAATTCTACACATAAGAACAATCTGTCTCCTCCACATGGACTGGACTTGCTAACTTCCCCTGTAGCAAAGCAGCGAAGATACTCACTGCACCCTGGACGATTCAAGGGAGACCTGAGAAGTACCAGCCGCTCAGGGAGTGCAGCATGGCCATACCACTCAGCCTCAGGCCACTCTGCCTGCCACGTGACACTTTCAATGGAGGGCATTATTACTGGGTGCAGTGACCACACATCTGTAACTCCAGCTGCCCTGAGGGCTGAGACAGGCAGACTGTGACTTAAGACCAGGCTGGCAACTCAGTGAGACTCTGCTGGATACAATTAGGGCAATACAACTCTGCATTTGACCCCCAGTGCTGGAAAGACTGATCAGTGACTCCTCCCCAAGGCCAAACACCATATCTGAGACTTACATCGCCACCCATACAAGCTCCAAAAGCATGTTAGCTGATTTACTTCACAGTCTCACCTTTAGGGAACTTCCTGATCAAATTCTGATGTAAATTCTGTGCAGCAAATTTTGAGGCTCGAATTCCTCCATGTCCATCAAAAACAGCAAAATACGAGACCCGAGTACTGGAAGAATTAATTGAGAATCAACGAAATTCACACAGCAAACATCATACATCCTCAATAAAGCTTTTAAAAGCTCATCTCAGGTAATGAACTGAAATGAACTAAAGACAAAGTCACACTAGTAAGACACCAGTCACCCTGTCACAAGTGGAAAAAAACTAGCCAGGGACAGAGCCCAGCAGCACAGTGTCTGCCTGGTAAGCATAACATCCTTAGATTCAGGGGCTGGGGATTTAGCTCAGCAGCATAAGCACCTGCCTTGCAAGCAGGTGGTCGTGAGTTCGATCCCGGGTACCGAGAAAAAGTTAAAGGTAAAAAAAAAAAAAAAAAAAGATCCTTAGATTCCCAGTACCAAAACAAAAAAAAAAAAAAAAAAAAAGAAAAACAGGAGAAAAGAAAAAAGCTGGATTACTAACTGAAAAATATTGTAACTCTCACTTTCCAAAAAAGCCCCCAACCACAGTTAACTGACTTCTCAGTGAGGACAAAATCAAAATTGGGAACTCTTTTCTTACTTAAATCAGACTTAGCTTTAAACATTACCAGTTACTGGTCCAAGATAGTCAAGTATGTCTTTAAAACATCAATGAAGTTCCAGAATTGTTACTCAAATTTTAATATCTAATTTTTAAACCCAAACCCTCCATTGCAGTTTTATTCCTACGCCCTTTCATGTTTTGCCAGGAAACTCAATGAATGGAATAAAAGGAAACAAGAAAACCGCTCCAAGCAGCACATGGCAGGCCTTGAGAAGTGACACTCATTCTGTAGCACTGCTTCGGGGTTCCCTTTCAGTGCAGGCCATCACGGGCCCTGAAGGAGCTGCCCTTGTCTGGCTCACAGCTCGGCACTATCAGCCACAGCCTGGGGTCCTCTGGGGTGGCAGAGCTGGTAAAGTATGACTTGCACTCACCGAAAGGATGCACATTTCTGGACGCTGCAGGCCCTGTTCTGGCCCTGCAGTGATGCCCGGCACACCCCAAGCTCCCAAGCCCCCAAAACCCCAAGCAGCCCTGAGCACGGTGTGCATGCCTTCTTTTTGCTTGCGATCAGCTGCTTGGCAGCAGCATCGCCCCCTCCTTCGTACCACAGGATTTCAGCTCCTAGATAGAACCCACCAGCACACAGCAAGGCAACAACCAACAGTGCCACATTACATGTAGTACACATGTAACCGCAGAGAGTGGAAACTATACACATGTGGCTGTGATGATGCTGTGTAGTTACTATGTCTGTAAAATGGAGCACGCCAACAGCACAGCATGCCCTGCCTTCTGAGTTTCTGCTCTGTGCCTAAGGTGTCATTTCAGTTGGCATGTCTATAGCTTGTTGTCTTTTTTCCTCAATACCACTTAAAACTGTTTGTTCTTCTGGGACCCTGATAACCTAAATCGCCTTGCACTAATGCCAGTCAGACTTTAATCAACGGCTTCTGGAGCTACCCACCAGAACCTAGACTAGGCAGCTGTCAGAAGCTGCCCCAGGCCCGCCCCATGGCAGTCCCTGCACAAGACTGCAGGCTGCTGACAGACACCTGCTCAGCAGTGTCTGGAACTATACCCACCGGGTGCCAGCAGCAGCCTCCTCCCCAAACTATGACAAGAATCTCCTCGGGCATAGACAACTGTCCCCTAGGAGACAAAAACAGCTAGAGCTGAGACCACTGTGCAGAAGGAATTCAGGTCACCTGTCAGTCTCTGTAGCAACCAGACACTCACATGAGGGAGGAAGGAGGGTTGCACTCCTCAGTGATGTCATTCAGGATGACGTGGGCGTCCTGCATCTCCTCCCTCTCACCCTTCCGCTCAGCCACATAGCCTTTCAGATCAAAGATCACCGAAGAGCCTAGGAAAAGAGAACAAAAAGCTAATACAAAACTGTGCCCTGCCTCAGGAAGCCCTAGTCCCAGAGCAAACAAGAACTGCGGCAGCTTTCCTTGGCGACCTCTACAGGTGCAGTGCACACAAACAAGCAGCAGCCCTTGGGCATGTCCCCAGCTGCAAGTCTCTGCTGGGCAGGCTGACCTGGGCAGACACACGAGGACAGCCAGTGAGCACAAAAGGGCTGTGCCTGAGGAACACAGCACCACAGCACCAGGGCCAGGGCAGAGATGCCCATCTCAGGGAGGGGAAGGAGCCCATGAAAATCCAAAGGAGTAATAATTTAGAGGACAGAAAAATTCTCACATTTGGAAAAGTTTGTCCCAAATGTCACATTAGGGACCACAAAAACATGTATTTTCATGCTCAAGGCTGGTGAATGTCAGCAAATGGTTAAGATGGTTGCTTTTACTTCAACTGAGGATGCAAGGAAAGGACTCTAATTGGGCACAGAACCTGGCTGTACTTCACATGTTCATGATGGGTGTTACATGCATGCTGTCCTCCAGCAGGGAACGTGCCCCAGCAATGGGACCACCTCTAGCTGTCTGACAGGACAGCCACGCCCATACATACGCCAGGGGTTCAAGCTGGTGGGAAGTGTTAAAAGCCAGGTTCATCTAAGCTCATTCTCTGGCACCTGAAGCCACTAAGTAATAAAACACAGAGAGCCACCCTGCAGGAAGGCTAGGCTGAAGCCCGTACGTTGGCAGCAGAAGTGGATCTTTTCACTCCCTCCCTACATACTCCTAAAGCCCTGAATGATGTAATCTATGCAGGAGAACAAGCAGTCACTATGGGAAACAAAAATCCACAGCTATTTCTCTTCAGTTAATGCTGATCAGTAAGTCATAACCAAAGATTGGGAGTCAGAGATGGAGCAGTCAATAAGCTTGCCATTCCCTATAGACAGCTAAGGCAAAACTCGTGTGCTTACAAGGAGCAAATGCGGTGTCCCAAGTTAGGGCCAGGCATGCATGAGAAAAGGCAAAGCAGAAAGACCAAAGGCAGCCTTGGAAACAGTTCCACAAAAAGGAAACCCTGACTTAGATTCAAATATAGAAGTATAATTAGAAAGCTGAAGGGGCTGGGGATTTAGCTCAGCGGCATAAGCGCCTGCCTTGCAAGCAGGCAGTCGTGAGATTGATCCCTGGTACCAATAAAAACGAAAAAGACAAAAAAAAGAAAGCTGAAACTATTTTTGCTCTGGGTTGTTTTAAAATATGAAGTCTAATACATGTGTTTTCAAACTGTCTGAAAACCTTTACAAACTTTCTTTTCCACAAGCTCTCCGCTGCCGTCCTCTCCCTCGGAGGCTTTCCGCTTTGCTCCTGTCCCTTCATTCTTTGCCAGCTGGGAAACTGATGCAGTGAGAGAACCTGGGAATAAAGGAAAAGCCAGAGAGAAACACAGCTGTCTACTGTCAGAAACTGCCACCACCAGACTGAGTTCTGCCCCAGCCCTGGCAAAGGGATGACACCTCCAGCAAGGACCAGCAGACATGGCAGCTGGGAGGACACAGGCAGTGCCAGGCCCCACAATGGGAGAACACAGCAACAAATAGGTCCCGAGTGAGTGACCCTGAAAGAACTTGTACAACAGGCTTCTCAATAAAAATTATAAATTTAAATTAATATGGGAAAATGTGCATGCATATGTTTGGCCTATAACATATACAGGTTTTACATCCAAAGACCCTTACTGATAATAGCACCATTTCCCAAATCTATAAATAAATGGACATACCTTATACAAGTTCAAAAAAGCAGCAAGTATTCAAAAGGCTCAAAACGAGGTAAAAGGCTTTATCCAAAAGGCAAGCCAGGGTTGCTGCAGCCTCTCTCTCTCTGTACTCAGAGCCACACCTCACAGTACCTGCAGTGCTTATGTGTGTGGAATCCAAAGGGTCTAAGCTCAGAGAGGTGGGTTCTGGGGAACTGACTCCGAGATCCCTTGGCCTCTAAGCCAGTTCTCATCAGTGACACAGGAAGACATTGCTACACTGCTACCCAGGACAGCAGGCTCCAAACAGCCTACCAATGGCAGCCTCTACTAGCAAATTCACCCATACAGTCTCTGCAGTCAAGTAGAAAGGTACCACATACTCAACTGCTCTTTCCTGACATTTCAGTGCTCAGGAAGAAGAAACAGTTTACTGGAACTATATGACCTAGTACATGGTCAATTTTTGTAAATGACTCTTGCTTGCCTAAGAAGAATATTTGGTCTCCTCAGGAAATCCAAAATATCAGGTGCATGGTCATGTATATACAAAGACACAAACCCCTAAGCATGTTAGCTAGTGGAACTATGTAAGTCTTCTAAAGGCTTACTAGTTTACTGTCTTTTTCCCTCTAAATAACTAAGAGATAACTAAATGGAATCTTCACTTCTCTTGCAAGACCCAGGAAGCACCTTGTTTGCACTGTGAACTGTCACTGGAACTCAGAGTACTGTCAGTGCTGGTAAGTTTCAGGCTAAATGGCATGACCATGCTGTAATTTTGGGTATGAGGCTATAGTCCTGAGAACTTGAAAATTCTTATGTAGGTGATTATAATATGTTTTCTAAGATATAAGGAGCATATAACGTAATCTTTCAACGCAGAGCCCAGGCCCATTGATTTCATGGTAATAAATTAGTGATAGAAAAAACCTAGTTGGAATAGCAGCCCATGTTCTACCTGACAACAAAAGGCAAGTTTTATACCAGAAGATAACTGTACACCACACAGGACCACCTGAACCTCACTGGCCCTGCCTCTACACAAGAAGCTCCAGTGCAACACAATAATAAATCTGCAGCTGTGTGCTCCACTCCTCTGGTCTACTCAACAAGGACACAAACAGAATGTTAGACACTGTCAGGTGCAGTTAGACTGTGTGCTAACAGGCTCAATACGTTCAGGCCACTCAAAAACAAAACACAACAAACAGAGGAAGGATTCTAAATTTTTTTTAAAAAAGATTCATAATAGGGCTGAGGTATAGCTCAATGGTATAGCAGTTGTCTAGTATGCTTGAGATCTTAGGTTCAGTCCTCAGTACTGCAAAATAAGTAAGCTAAATTAAAGATTAATGCCAAGGTTCAGGGTAAACTACAGAACTCTTCATTCTTAAAAGTGTGTTCTAGTATGTTGAGCCAAGAAGTTAACAGCTGAGCGTGGGTTGTACACACATATAACCCCAAAACTGAGAGAGGGTGAGCCAGGAGGATTGTATGTTTAAATCTTGCCTGGGCAACTTTGCAAGACCTTGTCTCAAAATCTTAAAAAAGCAAATTGATAAAAGGGCTGGTGATGTAACTGAGCAGTTGGGTTCCCCTGAGTTCAATCCTCATTATCATAAGATAATCACCAAAAGGCGATGTAAAAGTAAGTAGATGTTTGCTTCCTAATGATGGTGTCTATTCAGTTTTTAAAACTTCATGCTGTCATCCAAAATCCTGTTAAAAGCTATATATAAACCCTGCCTATGAGGAAAGTATATGTTTTTTCCACTGGCACTTTGGAATCGGTTTCTCTCTTACCTGACTTGCCACTGCCAGCAGGAGGGAGATCGTCGAAGAGCAAGGGTCCCGCAGATCCTGAAACACAGCAGAACGCGGAGTGACCCCACAAAGAATAGTAAGGCTTCCGTTTCAGAATCCATCCCACCAGGACACCTATGCAGGTTATAGAAATAAACTCAGGACTCTTGCGTCAATCCAGTGGCAACTCATACTGCAGTGAGTAATATCTTGAACCTATTTTAAAGTCCTATTACTTCAAAGGAAATAAAAAATTCTGCCTTGAAAAGTTGAATTGTATTTCAGCTAGCACAATCAATTTTCAAACGAACCAGAGAAAACTGCTCCACATTTAGGCAGCACTTCTCAGGGCTAGTGACTAACAGATTTTTCTGCCTTACCTGATGCCATGGATTCAAAACTTAAGACAGTCCAACACCTAAAACATCTGTGTATTGAAAATGGGGGAAAGGGAGAAAGATTGAGACAACTACAATCCCAGGATGAGCAGAGACGTTGACACACACCTGGGAGAGTCTGAAGACTGTACCTGAGTCAGTACTGCTGGCCGGGGGGAGGCCATCGAAGAGCAATGATCCCTTCGGAGCATCTTTCCCTACAACACAAAAAAACCTTTTCAGGGAGACATGGTGAGCACCCAGGACAGACTTTCAAAAGGGAAAACATGGTGCTCCCCACTTTGAGGTCAGTCTGCTATTGTATTCAAACTCCTTCCTGTTGGACAAAATTTATTTATTTTCTTTTATTTTTATTTTGGTACCAGGGATTGAACTCAAGACCTCGTGCTTGCCAGGCAGGTGCTTATGTCACTGAGCTAAATCCCCAGCCCTGACAAAATTTATTTTAAAAAGTTATTTTCCAGACAGCTATATTGTTAAAGTGAATGAGTGAAGTCTCATCAGACATTTTAAGATCCACTAGATATTTTAAGGAAAATAAGTATCTTTCCTGCTAATAGAGGAGTTTCAGATACTCAAGGTAGACGACCTCAGGAGAAAGCCAGGGAAATGTTTATCTAAAAACCTGAAGATTCATGTACTGCAAAAGCAGATGTCTTAAATTTTATGTCCCATTATTTTTTCCACATAAAACTTAACCACCACTGCTTAACTCTCTAGCTGTTCTCCAAAATTCTATTTAAGCTTTTAAACATATGAGATGCCATACAGGAATACAGGAGAAATGACTGAAAATGAAAGGATGGTTGTTCCCCAACCCATGATCTAACTGTCCAGTTTGTCACCCGAGGTCAAATGTAGTCCAAAAATACTAATTGGAAAAGTATGGAAATAATTGCTTCCTTTGCCAACTGTACAGCACCCAAAGTAATCTGCTGAAAGTGTGTGCCATTGCAGGCCATCCTATGCAGCTGTGACTTGCTCTTCAGCCAGGGTATCCTTTCCCTGTATGCTACATGCCATGCAGTCACTTCAGGGCATGGTCACTCAGTAGCCCTCATGCTTGTCAGGTCAACTGTCCCAATAGCTCACTGCATGGTTTACATAACCTTTATTTTACTTAATAATGTGTGTAAAGCACAAAATTTCATTACAGTACACTGCTATAATTGTTCTATTTCATTTCTGTTGTCAAACTCTTCTGTGCCTAACTTGTAAATTTAAATACATCATAGATATGTATCTACAGGGGAAAACACAGTCCATACAGAGTTTATAACTATCTTTGGTTTAAGCAACTACCCTGTTCTTGGAACATATACCCCTCGATGAGGAGAAGGTACCACACAGCCCATTCACTGCCTACAGAGTGCAATCCACTGACCAAACACATAGGCTGTCAAGTACAAAAATATACACGTTTAAAAACTAACTCACTTTAACAAACTTATAATCTTTAACATGCTGACAATGGGGCTGTAATCTGAATGTCCTGTTGCTGGGTACCTTGAACCACCAGTGGTACCCACGTAACTGTACCACTTATATCATCAGTGGTACAAGCTGGTGTTCAGAATGTGTTAAAGAGGTTCCCCCATGGCTGGGGATTTAGCTCAGCAGCACAATCGCATGCCTGACAAGCCCAAGGTCATAAGTTCTATCCCTGGTACCAAAAAAAAAAAAAAAAAGAAGTTTGCCCATATTGTCTTTTCTTTTGAAAACAATTTAAAAATTATAAAATTATAAACTCCAAGGAAGGAAACTTCTTGAGGGATATTTAGGCAAGAAGTATTTAAATACATAAGAAATCCCTGTGTTAACAAAAAACAACTCTTTTGCTTTGTGCTCTTATTACAAATGAAAAAAATATATCCTAATACCATAGAGTCACCCAAAATAAGACAAATTGTGAATACTTTCCCTTTCCTTACCGGTGACGTAAGGACCTTATGGAAAGTGTGAAGTTAAATCCTCCCCTGGTATCTGGGAGAGATGGTGGTGGGACTCCTCACAGATAACAAAGCCCAAGGATGCCCAAGTCTCTTGTGTGAAATGGGAACTTCTTTGCATACAACCTAGGAATATCTTCCTGTACACTTTAAATCACCTCTACCATACCTGTAATACCTAATGAAATGTAAATACTAAGTAGCTGTTAGATGTACTGTTCAAGTAAAAAAAAAAAAAAAAAAAGGCTGTACCTGTTCAGTACAGATGCAATTTTTAAAATTTTTCTAATCCACAGTTGGTAGATTCCATGCAGACACAGGGGGGTGACTATACTACAAGATACAGGACATTAAAACATATTTATGATAACCAGGTACTCAATGTGCTACTCCCTCGTGCAGGCCTACAGCTAAATGCCCATTTTCCTAACAAGGCTCCCAATGTGTATGGCAGGACCCAGCACAACCCCACTGCATCAGCAGCCAGGGAACTTAGGAGAGAGAAATGTATGTCACAGGGCAGATACAGTCTGAAGAGCAACAGGCCCCTCCCTCAGCCCACCCAAACACGGTCTTCTGTTGCCCCTGTCCAGCGGAAACCATCTTCTTTACCCAAGTAATAAATACATTTTTGGTTCTCCTGTGCCATTTCCAGCTTAGTGCTAGCCTGGCCCCCTCCTTTCTCTACAGCACCTAGTCAGTTCCCCAAACTAGCACCACTCCCAGAGAATGCCCTTAATGTTTTTTTTCTGACTCTAGACTATAACAAGAGAGACTACAACCAAACACAGATCACCTTATATTCTGCTGGCTACACTGAGAAACACTTGGAAACACAGTACAGGTCCTGTCTGCAAGGCATTATAGTAGGCAGCACTGGTTTTATTTACTGATGAGGAAACTGAGGAAGTGAGGTCAGACACTTGATCAAGATTGGTGCGGCCAGAGGAGTAGACCGGTCTCCCAGCCCGTGCTGCTGCTGTACCAGGCCACTACACCATAAAGGTCGCCTTTCTAGGAATAGGAACTTCACTCCACGAAGATCACATCATCTCACCCTCACAGTGATAACCGAGAGGCTCAGTAAGATTCCTGGGGCACCTTTTGTATCACCAAACAATGAAACCAAAGGTTTGCACCTGGAATTTGTAGGGAGGGGTAGTGGCACTGGGGATGAATCCAGGGCCTTTGTACTGAACTATATCCCTAGCTCACTTTATAGTTTTTGAGACAGGATCTTGCTAAATGGGCTGGGCTTATCATCCTTGCCATCCTCTTGCCTCAGCCTTCTAAAGTAAGACTAGGACTACAAGCCTCAGCCTTGCAGAGTAAGACTAGGACTAGACACATAAACTATCACACCTAGCTGTGCTGAATTATTTAAAAAAAAAAAAAAACTTTAGATCAGTGATCCTAGTGACATAAGAGAACATCTGATTAGCCAAAACCTTACATTCTATTTTGAAGGCACAAAGTTCAAACTATTGTGGGCTGTTACCATTGGATAACTGTAACCTGATCTAAAACTTTGGAAGCCCCACCACCTAATTCTAACAAAGAAATAAGATTGAAAACATTTTTCCATTATAATCTTGTCTCTTTTTTTCATTATCTACATTCTAAAGCTAAGTCTACCTGAAGTCATATATTATGTGAGAAAACTGCTCAGGAATCAATCATATTCAGATTAGGTAAAAGTTTCTATGTATAAAAAAGTAATAGACCGGCTGGGCATGGTGGAACACGCCTGTAATCCTAGCACTCGGGAGGCTGAGGGAGGAGGAATGCTGGCAAGTTCAAGACCAGCCTGAGCTACAAAGTAAGCTCAAGGCCAGCCTGAACTGCATAGCAAGACTCTGTCTCAAAAAGATGGAAAAAAACAAACAAACAGACTTTAAAAGATTTTACCTAAATTGTTTTTAAATTCTTGAATGTTCTTTCAACTACAAAAGTAACACAGATATTTCCTAAACACAAGAGCAAAAAAAAAAAAAACTAGGTAGTGAAGGCTGGCTCTATCTTAATCCCCTTCCACAATGACACCAGTATACACTTTCCACATTTCTTTCTGCTCACATGTATGTGTATGTGCATTTTAATTTTTAAAAGCTAGAAGCAAACTCTACCCAATACTCCACATACCTCATTCACATGGCTCACTGGACCAAGGAGCTCCAGGCCGATGTACCTGACTGAATGCTCACCACAGCTGCATACTGCTCCACCCATCTGAGTCCCTTCCTGAGATGCATTCAGATTGTTTCCAACACAACAAACAACTTTACACAAACAAGCTTTTTTTTTTTGTCTTTTTGAAACAGGGCTTCACTATGCAGTTAGGCTGGCCTTAAACTCAATTTGTGCCCCAGACTAGCCTCCAACTTGCAGCAATTCTCAGTGTGCGGCATCATGACAAAACCTCCACATACATTCTTAAACTATCAGACTGCTGGTCAAAGGATACAAGCAGTTTAAATTTCACAGATACTGAAATTTTTCCCCTCAAATGCTGTGATAACTTCCACTCTCACCACACTTTATGAAAAATCCCTTTTTCAATATAATACTTTCACCATTTCTACTAACCTATGGGTGGAAAAATATGTCAGTGATTTGACATTCTTTTCCTCAGTGATTACAGAAACTGAGTTCTGTAAATGGTCAGGATACATCCTCTGGCCATTTTTCTAGTGGGTTAATCTATCTTTTTCTTATTAATTTTGTGAGGTTTTCACTTACTAAGTACCCATAATGATTACTAAATTATTGTTTCAGTTTGCCATACTGGTATCTTTTGTCCTATTGAAACTTAAAATTTTTATATAATAGAATTCATTTTAGTTTTTTTTTTTCATTTTAGTTTTATGACTTGAGGTTCTTCTACAATTTTACAATTAGTTTGTTTCTTCTAATACCTTTACGCCTGTATTATATCTCCAACTTTTTAAAAGAAAAGTTTCAAATGTCTGTCAAAAATATTCAGTCCTTATGAATAAAAAAGATGTGGTATTTTCATATAAGGGTACTACTCTGCTATAAGGCCGTTTTGGGGGGGAGGTGGTATCAAACTCAGGACCTTGGGCTTACCAGACTACCCTGCCATAAAGAAGGATAAACTCAAGGCATTTATAGGTAAATGGATGCAACTAGAGACCATACTTACAGGTGAAATAAATCAAACTTGCATGTGTAAACATCGTATTGTCTTTCCAGTACAGGAAACTAATAAAGTTTAAAAGATCCAAAATCTACAATAGATATCGTGAAATGGAAAAGAATTGCTTAAACAGAAAGAACAACTGGGATGAGTAAAAGGAGAAAAGAAAAGAAAACAAAGGGAAAGAAAAGAAATATATGCATACTAAAGATAGCTAAGATAATCATACTATCAATTTTTTAAAATAAATTTTTATTTAAGAAATTTCAAGTGAATTCTTTAATACTCATCAAGATCACTTAATGATGGGGCTGGGGATTTAGCTCAGCGGCATAAGCACCTGCCTTGCAAGCAGGCAGTCGTGAGTTCGATCCCTGGTACCGATAAAAACGAAAAAGACAAAAAAAAAAAAAAAAAAGATCACTTAATGAGGCTGTCTTCAAGACAGCCCTTTTTAAAGGAATTTGATGTCTAATCCAGTCATTCCATCTGCTTTGCAGCAATTATCGCCAGTTGAATTATGGACAATGACAACTTCAAAACTCCTGGGATCTTATTATCCAAATTTCTTCTGGCAATTTGTGTTTTAGGAGTATCTACTATAGATGGATCTGCTGCCTTGCTCCGACATCTTCTCTAAAATATGCATGAATTCACATTCATTTCCTAAGCCATTCAGAGTAGTACAGACCTTAATGACAGGTTGACAGATCTCAAATGACAGGTTGACAGGGACCTCCATGAATCCAAATTCTGTCTGAAATACACTGCAAATATCTAAAGTTAAAAGTAAAAGTATTAGGTCCTCATGCTGTCTTGTCAGAGGTCTAAGAAATAGACTTGGCGAGCACAACAAAACCAGTGTTACTCTATGAGGTGTTTCCAACAGTGTGCAGTCACAGGAGAAGCTCCCATCAGGTCAGACCTCAAGCTGATTTCTTTAGTTCACTGAAAAAAATGAACTGTGCTTGTACTGTTTGATCAATTATTCATGCCTATATCCTATAATCTGAGCAACTACTTTGACATTAACAATATGCAATACGGGGAGTGGGAGGAAAAAAAAAAAAACAATATGCAATACTGTTAACCAGTGTTAATTTCCTATTTTGAAATTCTATATCATTGTTTTATTTATTTTTCTCTTTAAAATAAAGTATTCAGTTCTTGGGGCTGGGGATTTAGCTCAGCAGCATAAGCACCTGCCTTGCAAGCAGGCAGTCGTGAGTTCGATTCCCGGTACCGACAGGAAGGAAAAAGACAAAAAATAAAATCGAATAAAGTATTCAGTTCTTGACAGCAAACTACCAGTCTGAGTGCTCGGGGCTGAACCCACAAGTCACAAGCATGTGCTCTGCCACTAAGCCCCACCTTTGCCTTCCCTTCAGCTTTACAAGCCAGGGTGGAACAAAATAAAACTGGGAGCAAGTTACTGTATTTTGAAAGCAACTTAAAAAATCAACTTTCTTCTTCTTCTTTTGGTGGTAATATGATTGAACTCAAGAGATGTCACACCGAGCTACAAGCCTAGTTCTTTTTAAATTTTTTCATTTCAATATTGACTGGTTAAATTGCTAAGTGGTCCATTCTGGACTTTCAATCCTCCTTGACCATGGGATGACAGGAGGTGGCACCCTTTCTCAAAGAGGGAAAGGGTTACCGAAGGCACTGGGTTAATACGAGATAGACTTGAAACTGGTGGCATTTCCCAGACAACTGCTTTTGGAGCTTGTGAAAATAACTAGATCTAGTATAGTTCCTTGCATCAGCTCAGAAATCCGTGGCACCTGTACATATGGTAGAGCCCAGGGTGCAGTTTATGTTTCTGTTCATGTCAGCAATCAGCATAATTTACTGAAACAAAGGAAGGTTAATAAAAATACTTTTAAAAAATGTGAAATCTGATTCTGTGCTCATTCAAATGATTTGCTAAACTTGTCAAATATCATCTTGCTGGTTTTAACTGTCTGTTAAGGCAATTTTGGATCCTAATTCTGTCACTTACTTCGGTACTTAATTCTCCTCAGCTTTCTGACATATGTGGAAATTCTGAAAGCACATATTCTTTGCCTTAAAGCTACTTTTAAAAATGAACTCAAGGGGCCAGGCGTGGTGGCACACTCCAGTAATCCCAGCACTTGGGAGGCTAAGGCAGGAGAATCATTGCAAGTTCGGGACCATCCTAGGCTACAAAGTGAGCCCAAGGCCAGCCTGAACAGCATAGCGAGACCCTATCTCATAAAGACCAAAATAATAAATAAATTAAAAAAATAAAACTCGGGTTGGGTGGTGCACACTCTGTAATCCCAGTTTTGGGGAAGGTGAGACAGGAGTGCTTCGAGTTCAAGGACAGCCTGGGCTACACAGCAGGTCCTTGTCTCAAAACAAAAACAACAAAAAAATCACCCACTTAGCCTAGCAGGCCCAATAAGAGTATGTGTGTTCTGGTGAATGCACTCTCCAGGAAGGGGGCTTAAAACACCGCTCAGCGCTTCTGCCATCCCATCAGCAAGGGTAGGAAGCTGAGCCTGGAAAGAATTGGGATGTAGCCTCCCATGAATATGGCGACAGGCTGTTAAGTGCCAACTTGTATGGCTTCAAGTTGTTTGGGCATCGTCTGACGTAAAGGGGCCTTCCCCTGTGAACAGACCCAAATTAATTTTAGGTAAAAAGTAATAAAGACCAAAATGACAGGCTGACAGGGTCCCCACAAATCCAAATTCTGCCCAAAATACACTGCTTAGTTGGACTCCATCCGCAGATAAATGACTGCCTGCCCAAAGCCAGTTTCTACCCACAACTGTAACTTGTAGTTCCCTAGAAATGATTAAGTCATACCAGACCCAACACGCAGTTGTCTAAATGCTCCTGTCCCAATAGATTGGGCAAGGGATACAAGCACAGTAACAGAGCCATTAGGAGACAAGGGCGAAAGGAGAGACTGCAAAATGGCCCGTCTGGCCCTGCACACGCGAACGCCAGAAGCCAGGCCCCAGGAGGGCAGAGCCCCTCTCCTGCAGCCGAAGCCCTGTTAGTTCGCCCTGAGCGCCTCTCTGGAGCACTTCGTTCCCTTCCTCGGTTCTGTGTGCAAGTAACAGGTCTCCCTGTCCTCAGGAGCCCAAATGCACCCCGCCCCCTTCCCTAATCGCTCTTGCCGGCTTTGTAGCCTCACTTTTGGGGCGTTCAGCAATACCCAGTCAGGAACTCGCGCCAGTTTTAAATTTTAACCACGAGCTCAGAACTCAGCTCTCTAAAAGACAGCAATGGCTGGTTCTTCCTCGCCCTCCGATTTTCTACTGCACAGGTGCCCGAGCTGCTGTGTGCCGACCCCCCGGGCTGGCGGGGCCCCATCTTCCGGAATGGAAGAGCGGACTCGGGCGCCGGCCCCGAAGGACTCCAAGGCGTGTGGACCTGCCGGCCTGGGAACACGGACTTGGTTCCGCCGAGTACGCCCACATATGGCCCTGCACAGTGTCTGCAGCTGGGCGTCCCGCAAGCACACCGCGCCCCCCCCCCTCGCCCGAGCGCGAAGCTGCAGGCCTGCGACGCGAGCTCCCGAGCCCCGAGCCCAGCGCCGGCGCCGCCCCTGCCCGCCGCGGGCCGCGACCGCGACCGAGGGGACCCCCGGGGCCTGGACTCGCAGGCCAAGCCACGGAGACCGCGGGGCCGTGAGCGTGACGGGGCGGCGCGTCCTCCCTGCGCGAAGATGGCGGAGGCAAAGGGGCTCCCCGTCGCGGGGCGCGCGGCACAGAGGCTCTGCCGCGCACTCAGGCCGCCGCCTCCCTCGCTCCCTCCCCGCGCCGCTTACCGGCAGCTGCGTGCGGTGAGCGCTCGGGCTCCGGCAGATCCCCGAACAGGTCCATGGCGCAAGCGGGGCGGCGACAGACGCGCGGCCCGAGCAGAGGCCGGGCTCCACACCCGGGCGGTGGCGGAGGCGAAGCGGGCGCGACGGTGCCGTCAGTCACCGGGCCGGCCCGGGGCGCCACCAATTGGCGCGCGGCGTGGCCGGCCGCCCCAGAGTGCTGCGCGCGGGGAGGGCGGGGCGGCAGAAACGCATGCGCAAAGCTTTCGAGTGGACTCCTGTGCTGTTTGCATCCTAGCGGCCGAAATTCCCTGGGGTCTCTGTGCTTAGGATTTGGGCGAGACCCGGGCCTGCGGCTCCTTGGCGTGGACATTCGACTTCTTTAGATTTTGTTGAGTTGCTGGCCACCCCAGCTGGTCGAGAGCGCAAGTACAACTCTAATGACCTCTGAGGTCCAGGAGAGCGTTGTGGAGCGGCCGATGTCCTCGCCCCACCTGGCCTGCCTCGACTCCTGGCCCACACTGGAGACCGAAAAACCGAGGCTTGGACGGAGTGGCCCTGTGCAACAGGTGGAAACATCAACACCACCGTAAGGTGCAGGCGCGAGAGGAGGCCTGCTGTACCTGGCTGCACCCATCGGGCTTCAACAGGATGCCCCTGCCCAGCCATGGAAAAACAAGCAGTCACGACCAGCACTCCTGAACATAAACTGTTTCTTGCACAATCGACGTCAGTCTGTGATGTTTATAAGTACTGAACACAGACAAAAATAAAATTGTAGGAGCTAGGGATTTAGCTCAGCGGCATAAGCACCTGCCTGGCAAGTATGAGAGCGTGAGTTCGATCCCCAGTACCAAAAAAAAAAAAAAAAAAAAAAAAATTGTCCAAGCTACAGAAACAACAGACACCCGCCGTCTCGATCAGGAAATCCAGTCATGGAATTAAATCCTCTTCCTGACACCCAAATGCCAGAGGAAAGTCCCCCTTCCTTAGTTTCTCCAAGATAAATGGACACAAACTCAAATTTCACAAGACCTTTCCAACATCCTCTTCCTGACTTGCCATGTCCTCCAGTCTCCCTCTTGTCTCCCTTGATGCTATTGCAGTTACAAACCTGACTGTTCACCTCCAGTGTGGTCATCCCTCACTAGAGTACACTGAAGCTGCCCAGCAAACCTCAGAGCCTTGTGGGGGATTTGGTTGTGCCTCAAGGTCCAGGGCATGGAGACTGGGAGATGAAGACAGCACGTCTGTGGTGATTGTTATGCAGCTGTGGATAATGAATGCACTTGGTATTATCACATCCTATCAGTGTTAGCCCGAAATGCCTTCTCTTTTTTTTTGCTACTGGAAATCGAACCCAGGACATCACACTTGCCAGGCAGGTGCTGTGCCGCTGAGCTATATGCTTGGCCCCCAAATGCCTTTTGACTCCATTCCCTCGAATCTATTCCTGTGTCACCAAACTACAGCCCTGTTGGGAGCCACCACATTGCCGAGCCGCCGCATATAGCGATCATGCGGCCTGTGGTAAAGAGTAAAGCCTGAGTTAGATTACCCCTCCCATCGAGCACGTTAGTTTCCTGCTTACCACGTAAACAACCCGCTCAATAATATGTTAGCCAATCAGCTTGCCTTGCTTACTTTAATATGATTGGACACTGTATCCGTATATATACTGGTGCCACCCCTGGGGGGAAGTAGAAGCCCGGAAGGAGCCTCGGAGAGCGGACCGGTAGAGGCTTCGGAGCGAAGCACGGAAGGAGCCGTGGGGAGCGGACCAGAGGAGGCTTCGGCTGGGAGCGATCCCAGGGCAGGCTGTACGGAGAGAAAATAAAAGAAAAGGTTGTCCACTGCCAGACTTTGTCGTGTGTCCTTCCTGCCGGCCGGGAGCGACATCGACACAGCCCCTTTCAGATTTCTCCTCACCCTTTTTTTGTCAGTCCCTTGTACTTCTCTTTCAGTCTCTTGTCCCAGGACATTTTTGTCATGTGGGACCCTCGGCTTGGAATTTCTCCCCTTCTCCTGTGTAAATTCCATTCCTTAGATTTCATCTGCATCACCAAGTCTTTAGGAAAAGCTTTCCAGAATGTTCTGAGTAGTGAAACCCCACTCACATACTCTTACAGCACTTCTCCTTTATCAAAATTGTCACAGTTGCCATTTATACCTATTTATGCAATTGTTTCATTAATACCTGTTTCTCCTATCAGAACATAACCTGCAGGAGGTCAGGAACTATGCCTGGTTTTGCCATTACTGTATTCCCGGCACCTGGCACAAAACAGATGCTCAAAAACACTAGATGGATGAGCAAATAAAAAATAGTTTCATTTTTGATGTGGTGACACATTGTGTAGGTTTGGACAAATGTATAATGACATGTATTCACCATCACAGTGACAGTATTTTCATTGCCTTCAAAATGAAATATACCCTTCTTGTTCTATCATTGCCTAGCAACCACTAATCTGTCTCCTAGTTTTGCCTTTCCAAAGTGTCATATATTTGGAACCAGGCAGCTGGAGTTGTGGCTCTAGCTTAGTGATACAGTGTGTTTGGTGTGCACAGGTCCCTGCTTCTGGAGGGCACCTCACCTTGTTCCAACTCTTCAGCTGAATGTTAAGCCTGTGTCCTACATACTAATGATTAGGCTGTGTCTGCTCCACGACCTTGCTCCCTATGGGGTGAAGCTGCCTTTGGAAGCTCCTGTGAGTTATAAGGGCACACGCAGTCCTGATGGACTGTTCCCAGTGTCCCTCAGCAGGATATGCCTCCTCCTGCCTCCTCTGCTGACCCCACCTGGGCTGCAGAGCTTGTTGAGACCCCAGTAAAGCCACACATCTTGACTGTTCCAGTAGAACATGAGGACAACAAGCTTCCAGAAGTCCCAGGAATCAGAGCATTGGTATGGACAGGAATGAAGCCAAAGCATTTCACACAGAAAGTGCTGTATGGGCCAGCCCTGAAGACCAGTGCACAGGAAAACAGGGATGTGGTGACAATGCCTGCTAAGGATAGAGGGACAGAAAGTGGTGACGGGGCTCAGAGGTAATACTAAGAAGTTCTCAGTTGACCCACAGAGAATTAGGCCATGATACTTGTGCATCTGCAGAATCAGGCTCTGGAAAGGACTGGCCCTGAGGAGCAGACCTCTGTGTGTAGTCTTCTGACAAGCACCACCATCCTCCAGGGAAGAAGTAAGCACCCAGCTAAGAGCACAGCAGCAGACTAGGTGGAAAGGGACAGGGTATGAGATGTAGACTCTTCTTGGATTTGCTACTTCTGGCTATTGAGGAACTAGCAGCTGCAGTCCCAGACACTGCTTGAAGGGTGTCTCTGCAGACCATCAGGTTCCCAGCCTGAGGGAATGAGGACAGCTGTGTCACTCTCAGGGATCCAGGACACGAAAAGAGATAAATGTTTGAAGGAAAGCTGAGTTCACAACTGAATTTAAATTTGGAATACCCAGAAAGTGATATCCAGGGGAATTTGGATGAATTCACTGAGAGCTCTATAGAGAGGACCAGGCTGGGAGTAACTTCTTGGAATCAGTAGGTGAAGCCATGGAGATCATAGACTGTAAGGCAGAGATAGAAAAGAGATGCGGGACAGAAATATTTAAGAGGCCAGCACTTTCTGTCTAGCTGAGAGCAAGTGGCCCTCCTAGAATCCAAGAAGGAATGGTTGAAATGGAGGCAAGAAAATAAGGGAAGAGTCCTTAAGGGGCACCAGGTTGTAGACAGTGACAAACGTTGCAATGTTTCGCTGAGAGAACTGAAGAGTCCACTCAGGAGTGAAAACTCATTGGGGCCTCTGCCCAAAATCCTCAGGAGACTGTCGGGAAATGTGGCCATTCTGAAATTTTGGAAAGGGCAGTGAGGAAGTGAAAATTAGCGTGAAGACTTTTCCAGGAAAGCTGAGCATGCAGGACGTGGCAGATAAATAACCAGGGATCTCAGCGTGAATACTGGTTTCCTATGGTAGGGCAGCTGGGATAGAAGGTTGGAGCATAGGAACTCAGCATCAGGGAAAAAGGTGAGGTCTGTGGTAAGGGCTATTAGACGCCCAGGGCACAGTCAAGGTTCCCAGGCCAAGGTGGGCAGGGTCTAGCACAAAGAAGAGGGTTGCCAGGGGTAGTCTGGTGACACAGATGCCTGGAGCAGAACCACATGGCCAAAGGGCACTGCCTTGGAGGGAGGGTGGTGTTTTCCTATGGGATGGAGGAGCAAAGCCTAGGCGCTTCCCCGGAGAACTCAGAGACGGCTGGGCTTCGAGCTGGAACCTTCATCCCTTCCTGCATGCTAAAAACCGAGTGCAATCGGTGAGACCCGGTTCCGCCATGCTACCAGCACAGCCTGTACTACAGGCCTTGGACGCCAGCAGCGCCAGTCTGGCCGCAGAAGCCTCTGGGAATGGGCCGGAACTACATCTCCCAGAAGGCCCTGAGGGCGCCGCAGCGGGCCTTGGATGGACAAGGCGTGGCCAAGGCTTCGGCTTCGAGGAGCGTTTCCGAGCGTCGCCGAGCACTTCCGAAAGCAAGCACTGTGGGATCCAGCCTTTGCTGGCCGCGGAGTTCAGGCTCTCTCATTCCGGAATCTCTCGCCGTTCCTCAGCGCCTACTCCCAGCGGTGCCGAAGGGCTAGGAGAGGCTCAAATTTGGGGGACGGGGGCTTTGAGCCCGACAAGGTCGATCCTAGCTCTCAGGTCCGTGGCAAAGGCCTGAGTGCAGAGCAGAGCGTGGGCGCGGGCCCGAGGCAGCGAGAAAGACAAGTGCAGTAGAGGTCCTGGGTCCGGTGCTTGGAAGTCGGGGGAGAGGAAGAGAAAGAAGTCGAGTGCGACCTGGAGACTTTGCGGGGGATGCTGACGCCCCGATGCCTTTGGGGGCGAGGATCGGCGGGGTCGTCATTGGTGAGTTTGGAGGGACACTGAGCAGGCAGGAAGATTCGGGAGCCAGCAGGCTGCAAGAGGGACCAGTGGAGAGCGGGTAGAGGAGGCCACGGGAGGGCTGAGGACAGAGCTTTGGGGCCGAAGTGGTCGCATCCAGGGGTGAACGAACAGATAGGGACCTACACAGGGAGCTGCAGCGGTCCCCCTGGGGGTTGAAGGGTGGAGAGTGAGAACCCAGTGGAGGCTGAGTTGGAGCTAGAGCGTGACAGCTGGATTGGGGAAGAGGAACGTGGCCTGGAATGTCCTGACTGCTTTCAGTCCCTGACGGGAGAGAGGAGAACGGGAGAGAAGAGAACGAGGTGCTGAAGCGCAGAGGAGCGATGCTCCGAAGTAATTCTGCTTGAAGTTGGAGTGCCTGATCCAGCTGTTGGGTGGGTGTGGTAGGCAGAATAACACTGCCTCCCCCAGATCCACATCATAATCCCCATAACCTGTGATTATGTTGCTTTATTTTTAAATCAGATTTTATTGGTACATTTTAAGATATACATCACGGTCACATTCATCATAGAGAATTTGTACAATATGTTGCTTTTGATGGCAAAATGTGATTAAGGACTGTGCAAATGTGATTAAGGATTAAGCTACAGACTTTGGGATTAGAAAGATTATCCTAGTTTATTCAAGTGGGTTGGATGCAGTTAGGAAACAGGAGCAAGAGTTAGGAGATGGGACAGTGGAGGATCAGATGGGACATGTCGCTGGCTTTGAAAGTCAAGAAAGGGGCCATCACTTCTTGCCTTTGAAGAGTAAGGCCTCAAGCTTCTAGGAAGGGACATAGCACTGCCTGGTGACACTTTGATTATTAGATCCCAGGGTTCCTGTGTGGGACTCCTGTGGAACCACCAAATAATAAAAGTGTGTTTCAAGCACCGTGCTTGTGGCCCTTCACTGGGGTAGCCATTGAAAACTGATGAAGAGGGCCAGGGACGCGGAATGAGGAGGACAAACCACCCACAAGGGAGTGTGGGAGGCAGGGTGAAGTAACTGAGTAGGAAAGCAGGGTGCCAAGCTGTGCCACAGGCAAGAGCAGCTGTCACCCCAGGGGGCGGTGGCGGTCACCACTGTGGGAGCCGTTTTTATTGCACTGACTTTGCTGATGAGGGGGCAGGAGAATTTCAGACATTCACTAGCATAAGTGCTGGGAAAAGAAACACGTTCAGTTTAGCATACCCCATCAGTGAGAGGTCATACTCCTGAAGGCTGGAGGCGAGTTCCAGGTCAGGGGGCACAGGGTCTGAGTCTGGGGTCCTCACAGCACTTTCCCTCAGGTCATCCTCCAGCCTCCTGATCCAGTGCTCCCCCCCTGGCCACCTTCTAGGGCCTTGGAAGCTGTGGTGAGGATGGAAGTTGTAGCAGACTGTTCCTTCAGAGTTGTCCCTGGCAAATGCTCCCCAGATGGCACAGATCAATCCTGGTGGCCTCTGGGTGTGTTGAGAGCCACAGGAGCCATACGGCTCATGGGAAGACCTGTTGTACCCGTGTCTCCACTTGCTTCAGTCTGTTGGGGGTGATGAAAATAACCCCAGGAATAACACTGCTAGGCCTCTGTTACTCTCTTTTAGACTCTCACCCCCTTACACCAACATCTTAGCTTGATATAATTAACTACATCAGGTTGTAGCCCAGTGGCTGAGGTCTGCAACTGAGTGGCAAGGAAGCCAGGGTGAACCCCCAGCTTTGAAACACCTCTGGTGGCCAGGGAAAGATACTCTTGAAGAAAGGCACATGGCACAAGAGGGGACCTAGACATCAGTCCTGCATCCACACATCTCTGCCTGCCTAGGCAGTGCCAAGCTGCTCTGGGGGCCTGAAGCAGGAGGGGATAGGTTAACCATGCAGTGATTGCTGCTGGCTATCCATCCCATTGCCCTCTGTCCCCAGGGATTCTGACCTTCTGAACCCAGTTGATCTCGGGTTCAAGCTGCCTGGGGCTATGGCATCCTCACTTCAAGCCATGATCTACATAGGTCTCCTTTCCCTGAAGTCACCGGCACCAAAGGAGAGCTCTGAGTCTAGAAAAGTTACAGTCTAATACAAGAAAACTGATGTATATCATGTGCATGGACCCTAAACCAGGTCTTTGAAAGACACTTCTAAGCCAAAGGGCAAGCAGGTGGGTCCAGAAGCCAGTGAACAAGAGAAACAGGGACCTGTCCCTTCCCTGTCACTGCATTGCCCTGGAACAAACCACACGCTTCTAGAATAGTTTTCCAGGGCACACACATTTCCAGGGAGAGGAGGCCAGGTCTGAGGGCCTGCCCAGAAACTGGCAGGGCTCCACTACCACCTGACTAGTGAAAAACCATGAGAGAATTTAAAAGACATTCACTGGCATGGGGAGGGGATGTGCTCAGTTTACATTCTCTCCTCCAACACATTAATGACATAGCACCAGGAGTACCTCCAAGGCAGCTAGCTTCAAAGTCCTTTATTTAATTAAGTCAAAACATCCCCGGGCAACCAAGTAAGCAAACTCAAGTGTGCTACAAGCAAGCTTGTGCAGAGCTGCTCCTAGTGCTGCTGCAAGGTGTACCACCTTTCCTATGAGGTCTCCTGAGGCCAGAGCTGTCAGGACCTAAGTGCCCCTGTCCAGAACACTAGTTCCCAGTCCCCAGGAGAGAACCAACACCACACCTGTTACCTCTGCCAATAAACCACAGACTGCCTGGGGAAGCTGGGGCAGGCAAATGACAGCCAGCCCTCCTAGCTCTAAGCAATTCCTCCTGCTGGCAGCTCCTCCCCTCCACCCACCCCACAGCTGCAAGGTCCTTTAAAGTGTCTCCCTCAGAAAACAGGTCCAGGGACCTCCCTGGGCTGGGCATCAGGGGCTGCCCTCAAGCCATCCACCAGAAGAGATCAGACCTGGGACAGCCCCATACCTGAACCTTAGGGAGGAGGGAGTGGGGCTTGGGAATGCCCGGCCCACCCCGCAGATCCTTGCTGACACTGGTCACCAGGGCCTCCAGACGCTCTGGGATAGTTGGGCTACAGTCAGGCTGCTCAAGGCTATGGGCACCAAGCCCCGCCCCTCAGCAGGTGCCCGACTCAGCTCAGCCTCTGGAACCACCTCTAGGTCGGAACAGAGGTCGTCCCCGGGAGAGGTGGGGCTGGGCAGTGGGGAGCCCGGGGCTCCATTTGGCCCGGCCAGGGCATCCCCCAGCAGATCGCGGAAGCTGCTCCCCTCGCGCAGCGGCATGGACTCCAGCAAGTGGTTCAGGAGCTCGGCAGCGACTGTGGCGTCGATGGCCTGGCACGTGGACACGAACGTGTGCACTTCATGCATGCACTGGATGTAGCCGGCGGCGAAACGCTCGCTGGCTTCTGCCTGCAGCTGCTCACGCTCTGCGCCACGGACCAGAGTGAGACACAGCGGTGAGTTCCGATGCCGAAACCCGCCCGGCCCTGAGAGGAGGGAAGCGCCCCGAGTCCCGCTGCCACTCACCGCGTGCACGGCCCCGCAGCGCGCCCTGCACGCGACGCACCGTCAACTCCAGCACCTCGGCGTTCTCCAGCTTGGCCTGCACCTGCGGGGGCCGGGCGGTGAGCGCGCAGCAAACCAGGGACCCGCGCACCCCGCACCCTGCGCCCGCCGCACCTCGGCGCCCGCCAGCAGCAGCCGCAGCTCCTGCAGGCTCTCGTTGATCCGCGCGCGCCGCTTCTTCTCCACCAGGGGCTTCCGGGCCTGCGGGAAGCGGGCACTGAGCCCTGGCCCCAGGCAGCCGCCCACCGCCCGCCGCCCGCCCGGCCCCAGCCCGAACCTTGCGGTTCCCCCGCGCCTCCCAGCGGTCCTCGTCCTCGCGGCCTGCACGGTCCCGGCCGGGCACCTGGTACGGAGCCATGACCCGCGGTGCCGGGAACGGTGAGCGCCCGCGCCCCGCGCCCCGCTCCGCCACGCGACAGCAGAGACAGAGCGCTTGCCGCTTCGCGTCTTCCGGCTCACGGAGGCCCCGCCCCGTTTATAGTATCTCATTTGCATCTCAATGTGCCGATTGGCTGTGTGGGTCCGGAGCTGCCAGCCTCGAGGCGCGCCGCGGCCAATGGGAGTGGCGCGCTTTGTCCGGCCTGGGCCGGCAGCTGGCGGGGCGGGCCCTAGGCAAAGGCCTGGTGACCCCGGGGGCGCCACGCGGGGGCTGCTGCGCCCGCGAGCTCTGCTTCCCTCCCCCTGCTGCGTGAGGACCCGGGTCTGCGAGCGGCGACAGAGGCTGTGGGCCATGCGCTCCCTCTGTGCGTCCACCCCAGCGCGCCTTGTCTTTCCCGACTCACCAAAGGCGTGGGGCGGGACGCGCGCGGGGCGGGACGCGCGCGGGGCGGGCCGGGTGGGCGCGCAGCTGGCAGGCGGAGGCCAGTAGGGTAGTGGGGTTGGGTTAGGGTTAGGGTCAGGGCTTGAGCGGACACCCGCAGCCTTCCACTCGTGCAGAATCCTGGGGGCGGGGCGGGGCACCGCGGTCCTTTATACTGGGCTCTGTTCCTCCCCCCCCCTCTCCTCACCGCCGCCTGTCCTTTCTGGCTCCCTCCCAATGCCCATCACATGCCCATTCTTCCCTGTTACTGTCCTGAGCCTTCTGAGCATCCCTATTTCTCTGGCTCCTTCGACCCTGCCCCCTGCCTTATGCCCCGGACTCCCCAGTCTCCTCCGTGGCCCCCTCCCCGTCCGGCCCTGGAGCTGCTGTCTGGCCCGCGTAACTTGATGCCCGTGACAGTTGGCAGCTGCAGCCGCGCCAAGAGCGACAGGTGCTGGCCGCGCCTTTGTCTCGTTGGCTTTGTCCAGCGGCCGCGGGCACGCTTGTGTCTCCAGACGCCTGGGACCCCAGGCCCAGGCAGCCCATCTGCCAGCCCCGCCTCGCCGGTGGGGGGACCGGTGGAGGGACGGAGGCGGGAGTGGCAGGGACCTGATTACCTCTGTGGGGTCTGGATCTCTCTGGCCCTGGCCAGCTGTTGGGTGCCACGCCTTGTTGCCTTGGCCCTATCACACACTGGACCTTCCCTAAAGACCTTGGTTTCGCTAGGGGACCATACAGAGCCCCTCTGCATGTCCCTTCAGAGACTACTACTCTCCTGTGCTGGGAGCATCAGGGTCTGCTGTGAGCCCCTGTGTGCTCTAGAGTCTGGTCTAGGATACCCCTGACCCCAAGGAAGGGCTGTGTGGGAAAAGGCGTTGAGGGGGTGTCCTTAGCCCCTGCGGAGGGGAATACCCGGGAGGAGCTCTGGCACGAGACAGGACTGCACAGAGATGCCCACCCTCCCAAACGTGGGCCTGACAGGTATCAGGTGTCAGGGCTGTGAATTGTGTGAAAGTAACCTGCCCAGCCTCTGGGAGCACTCTGGGACTTCCTGTTCACACCCACCTGTTCCCACTCTGGGTTAATCTGTGTGTTCTTCAGGACTCCCCTGGCCTGTCATCCCATGTCCAGCTGTTACCTGTCTCCCCCAAGCTCAACAGCCTGGCTGTCTTCCACCCACCCTCGTGGGTCACTCGAGACTCCTAGGGTGAAGGCTGAAAGGGTGAGTGCTGCAGAGGTGGGTCCCAGGGGAGCCTGGAGCTGCCTTTCCTTAGTCGTCCTCTCCCAGGAAAGAAGACTCCTAAGTGAGGACAGCTGAATTTTCATTACTTGGAGAAACAGGAAAGAATAAATTCAGCAGTATTTCTTCGACTCCCAAATGTGCAAAGTACTTCAAACTCCTCCCATTATCTGAGAGAAGGAGGTGAAACACATTTCAGAACTGCATAAAACACAGTTCCCATGGGGACAGCAGGAACAGGGACCTGGAAGGTTTCTGGGAAAGGACCCATGGGTCACCTCGTTAACTGAGGATTTGAGTGTAGGGGATCAGAGGACACGATAGAGGCAAATCATGGAGAGAAGGCATCGAGGAAGTGCAGGAAAAACAAGGAGTTGTCCAAGAAAAGAAATGTAGTATTAATACAACTGGGTTTAGGAGCTAAGAATTCTTTCACAGTCACAATAATGAAACACTCTTTACAGATTTTCAACATTTAGTCCAGGCATAGTGGCACATGCCTGTAATCTCAGCACTCGGGAGGCACGAGGATTGCTGTGAGTTAGGAGGCCAGTGCAGGCTACAAAATGAGTTTAAGGCCAGCCGGAACTGCATAGTGAAACACTGTCTCAAAATAAAAAAAAAAAAATTCAAGATTTAGAATCAATCTACAGAGAATGCAAGTTTATGGTTATAGGTCATCAAAGCAGGGAGCAGGGAGAGGAGACTGTCTAGAGTTAAAGGAAGAGACTGTCTAGAGAAAGGAAGCCATGGGGTATGCCCAGCACTCTTGTAGGAAGGACCAGAGGATGCAGCTGGGTGTTTGTCAGTGGAGGCCTTGGTTGGAGTGGAAGTTGGCTGACGCCCCATCTACAAAATCAGCCTTTCCCTTACTGGGCCCATCCATGATTTTGGATTTTGTGTCCCAGAAGCCCGGCTACCCCATCCTGGGGCCACCACACCCTCCCTTCTTTGGGTGTGTCCTAGCTGAGCACACTAGCTAGTGGGTGGCTCCACTTCCTGCCATTTGTCCCTTGAACTGATCCAGCCTTTAAAGTTTGGCTGGGTGCAGACTTCCTGAGCATTTGGACCCTTTGATCCCCTGAGAGCCAGGAACAGAGGCCAGCAGAGGCTTGGCAGGGCCATGGTGGCCACCAGTGAGCAGTGTGAGTCAAGTGGCAGACCATAAATCCACAGGGGAACAAAAGCAACTGCCAGCCTGCAGACGTCCAGGCCCTGGTGGCAATCTGCCCCAGTCTGAGAGGATCTCCTTTTGGTTTGGAAGGAGACCAATGGCCTTGGGGTCAGATGGTGCAGAAAAATGCAGTTAAGTTGTGGAAGGTGCTCGGTTCCGTGAGCAGCTGCCTCTGGTCCCTGGCGGCTGAGGGTGGTATGCAGAGCTCTGTGCTGGCCAGGACTTTGCTATCCCCCATCAGCCCTTGGCAGGAGACAGCTGGCTTTCTGGAGGTGGGGCATGAGGTCCAGCATCATTCTCCCCTGTGTTCCAGCCCCTTCTTCAGCCCTGTGGCCAGGTCTCCTGAGGTACCATCACTATAGAAAGACAAGTGGAGGGGGGGAAGAAGTGTACGCTGTCTCCAACAGGGACATAAAGCATTTCTGTGTGGTGTGCTCTGGCTCGTATCTTCAGCACTGTGGTCAGCACACAGACAGCCTGCCCAGCTGCTGCGGAGGAAGGTAGGAAGAGAAGGGACAGAATGCGTGCTGGCATCATCTGCGTCAAAGAAAGCACCGCGCCCTGGCCAGTGGGGTAGGGACAGAGGGAGAGCGACACAGAAGGAGCCTGGTGAGAAGCCTCAAGGGGGTTTGGGAACCAAAGATTGCCCAATGTGGAACTTCTGGAGGTCTTTCATATAAGTTCTGCTGGTTCCTCCTCCTCCCCAGCAGTTTCTGACTGCACTGCATTAAACACACATGCAGGGCAGCTGCAGCCCGGGGGCAGAGCCTGTGCTGGGCACACTGGAGGCAAGGCCTCAGGTCGGATCCTCGGCAGCACAGAACAAACAGGCAAAATACACATGCAGGTGAAAATAAAAATATACCTGCTTTATTTCTAAAAGGCAAAAAAGTCATAAAAAGACACAAGCAGTCACACGAATATATTGCACTGGGTGAGGGAAGTTTGGTTTGCACACGAACAAACCACTTGTCCGGCAAGGCTCAACAAACCATTACACAAACTCTGAGTGTATACTCATGGACCTCGTCAGGAATAGATGAAAAGAAGGCTCAGTTTAAATAGAGAGGAGGTCCTGTGACATCCGTGTAAGCACACACACCAAAAAAAAAAAAAACCACGACCCGGCCTGGCAGCATGTAAACAGATCCATGACGCTGTCCTGTTAAGTCAGTGCCCTAGCAGTTAACAATCATGAACATACATTAAATAGTAAAATAACGCTGAGGGTAAACATTTGTGACAGCAGAGAGGATGTTTTGGCAGTTTTGTGTTAAGGTAAGTGCAGCCTTAGGTGATCATCTACCCCTGGCTGTGGAGATAGGCAGGCAGTCACCTGTAACATTTAACTTCTAGGAAAGTGCAGGCTCCTGGCTTCTCCTGGCATCTTCAGGTGATATTGTCTTATAAATTAAAACATGGAAGTATTCTGTACTTAGGAGGCTGAGGCAGGAGGATCATTGTGTTTGAGGCCAGCTTGAGATACGCAATGGGTTCAAGGCCAGCCTGAGCTACATAGCAAGATCCTGTCTCAAAAATCAAACAAACAAAAAACAAAGTTCTTGCATTTATAAAAAGTAGGATTAATATTCAGGTGTGAAGCGGTTTACTATGAAAGTCAGCTGTGGACAAGCAGTGGCCACCTTTCCCAAAGCCATGTCTCTACTGAGGGGCCGGACAACCTGCTTCCTTTCCAGGTCAGAACTTGGGCAGTTTTAAGCCAGGTGGCTGAGAGCGGTGCCTTCTGCTTCACACCAGGCACCGATGTCAGGCTTTCCCAGGTGGTCTCCAGGAAGTCTAGTGCAGTGTGTGGTTTGGTAAAGCTGGATGGGGTGGCCTCCTTTTCCCCGGGTTCTGATGACCTAAATGCCAACACCGGTGCCAGGACAGAGGCCAGAAGCTACACATCATGGCCGGCCAGGCTCATGGGTGTGCAGGGCAGGGTGAGTGCAAGGGACCCAGAAGCCACAGGTATGGTCAGCCGGCTCCCAGTGGGCATGGGCTCCTCTTTGCGAAAGTGGCTTTAACTCTGCCAGGCTGGAGCTAAGCTCTGAGACTTCGAGGGAGAAACCAACACAGCAGGTCCCTAATGCCACCGCCAAAGTTCACAGTGGGAGCTCATTGTGAAGACACAACACGGCTGACAACGTGTCCTCCTCTATGCGTCAGCCACAATGGTCTAAAAAGTCTATGTGAATGGTGCAGAAATACACCGAGGGTCCGTGTGGGTATGAATTCCCTGGAATTAGTCACACACACACACACAGACCCTTAGGCTGCGTCGCCCAGAGCCAGCTCCGTGCCAACAAAAGTCGAGTCCCACTGGAAGGTCCACCCCGTGGGACGGGAGGTAACGCTGGGCAGTTGCACTGCTTCGAACTTTCCAGGAAATTCCAGAAGAGACCAGGATCGGCTGATGAGTGCCAGCAGACACCTGCCTGCACCAGTGACACCTCCGGCGACAACTCCAGCAAACACAGTCCCGAGGACAGACATTTGACCCAAACTGAATGCACCGGGGACAAACAAAGCTGGAAGCTTCCGCTCAGAGCTGTAGTGGCTTCCTGGGGGTCTGTTGCAGCCTGTTCCTATGCCTGGGGACACCTTCAGGGGCCAGTAGGTGCTGGCACACTGGATGGATGTCCTGTCACAGAGGGGATGTCTGAGGACATAGGAGCCACCTCCATGTGCTCAGAGAACTCAGTCCCTTCAAGGTCCACAGCAACCTGAGCCTCGCTCCATCCCTCAAGCCCCACCCCCTTACAGCCTGAAGTCACAGCTTCTGAAAGCTGGTTTTTTTCTAAAACAAACAAAAAAAAGCAACATAAGTAAATATGTCCAATCATCAGAAGCAAACGTCTCCAAGCACCATCTAATGTTGATCACACAGTCACAGGAGTTACAGCTGCTCCTCCTTGTGACCCACAGGATGTCCCTTCTCTTCCTCTTTGGTGTCTAAGGCATCGCTGAGCCCCATGGAGGGAACATCCTCGTCATACAGCACACACAAGTTGCCTTTCTCCTCGTTTTCACAGTAAACACATTCCTTAGAAGAAAAAAGGTAACATCAGTGAGGCACCTGTGACCTATTATCTTGGTTGCTGTCATTCAGTATGTATGAAGTCTGGGGTGGGGAGACTGCAAGGACTAGGCCACCTGTGACCACTTAGGGAGACTGTCTCAAAATAAAATGTATTATTTTTCATCTTTGCAGTACTGGGGATTGAGCTCCAGCCCTATGCACTGATATATAGCCCTAGCTATTTTTTTTTTTTTTTGTCTTTTTCGTTTTTATCGGTACCAGGGATCGAACTCACGACTGCCTGCTTGCAAGGCAGGCGCTGAGCTGAGCTAAATCCCCAGCCCCGAGCCCTAGCTATTTTCAAACAAAAATTTTTTGAGTCTATGTAGTTCAGGCTGGTCTTGATCTCATGGCAATCCTCCTGCCTCAGCCTCCTGAGTGCTAGGGGTACAGGTATGCACTACCATGCCTGCTGTCAAAATGAAATTTTAAAAAAGGAAATCAGCAGTCCCTGGGCTCAATTTCTAGTACCAGAAAAAAAATCAAGATGCTGGTGGACAATGTCAGCTGTCATAGCTGTGAGGCAACAGATGCAAAGCCTTACCTAGAGAGCTGGATTCCAGTCAGGACAGCGAGCTAAACTGGAAGTGCTAGCGGCCCAGGGCAGGAAAAAGTGCTGCACTAGGTGGGACAAGGTGTGAGGCTGTGCGGAGGACAGTGGTCTGGACTGGGCTTTTGGGAAAGGGCACGCAGGAGACTGCAGAAGGTTCACTGCTGACCTTCCTGCAAGCGCAAAGGCTTCTGAGACCAGGGCACAAAGGCATGGTGGCCACCTCTCAATGTCATTGCTATATCTCAAGGATACCCAAGCACCCACAGCATGGAACCAAGGCCTCCAGAAGCTGCAGATGTACTGCTTTCTGTGTCACCAAGGACCTGGGCTGGGACCACCCTTGGCTGTTCTCCAACTGCTGACTTCCGGTCTCTGTGATATATGAACACTGTGTGAAGCCACCAGATCCTGGGGTCATTGCTGGGCCACACAGGTGATACAGAGGCAAGTGAGAAAGGACTGAAGGAAGCTGGAGAGAGGAAAGAGGATTCCCAGCAGAGGAAGGGCAGTGCAAGGGTCCTGCAGGAGGTGCTTGCCCAGAAGTCAGGAGACCAGAGCAGAGGAGAGCAGGGTAGAGGGAAGAGAAGTGGGAGAGGTGTGGGGAGCAAGCTTGTGTGACTGTGTGGCTATATATTCTGACTGACCCATCACAAGAGACTGGAAGGGATTTAGGCTGAGAGGTGCTGCAATTTGACTTGGGGAGCATGGGGAGCAGTGAGTGCCAGGAAGCCACTCTGGGTGCAGGCAAAGTGCTATTCTTCAGGCCGGGGTACAGGGCGGCTGGTGCTGTTCACCCCAAGGCTGACCCTCTGCTCTGTCAACACAAGACCGCAAGCAAGGGGAGACCAGGACAGCTCCACAGCCAAGGTGATTGGGGTGGGGCCCTCGAGTGAGGGGGAAGGAGGGGCAGCAGCGTGCTCTGGTATAACCAGCAGCGGGACTCTGGATACATCAAGGTCCACAGGGAGTACCTATAACCCCAGCATACTGAAGGTTGAGGAAGGAGGGCTGGGTGCTGAGTTCAGTCCACGGAATTTAGTGAGACCCCATCTCAAAATACAGAATTAAAAAACAGCCAAGACATGCATAGCTCAGTCCCAAGGCCCCAGGTTCAATCCCCAGTTCCAAACAAACAAACAAAAAACCCAAAGAGCTCCACAGGGTACGGGCCTGGAGGTAGATGTCACAGAATGTGCACACACACACACCAAGAATGTGGTCACTCATGGAATCTGGACTGAGGAGATGCAGACCCCAGACCTAGGCCGAGGAGACCTAGAGGCTGGTGAAGGCACCAGCTATGCAGGATGGCAAGTGGCTGTCACTGGCTGCCAGTGGCTTGCAAGTGGACTGGACACTGTCATTGCCCTCAGCTGCTGGAGACCTGGGACCTGAACAAGGGCAGCCCTGGCTGTGGTGCTGGGGGTAAAGCTTCCCGGCGTTAGGAGACAACGATGGGGAACTTTCAGGAGGGGGCGGTGCAGGGGTGGCATCAAGGGTTTCACTGCCAGGAAAGGGGTTTGGACCTGTTAAACAGTAAACAGAACTGAAGAAGGGGCAAAGCCTCATTCCCGAGAGCCCAGGATCCTGGAAGGCCCTTCCCTGCAGGAGACTTAGGCTTGCAGCACCTTTTCTGAAATAAACGCTATGACGTTTTGAATTCCAACACAGAGTCCCCTTTGTGAGCCACTGCAGCACAGTTAGAGGGTGGGGCCTGAGCTTACCGCCACATCGATGGCTGCAGGCAGACCACCTGTCTGCACCCACGGGTGCACCTCTCGCAGCTCCCGCCTCTGGCCCTCCGTGAATCGGGGCTGAGACCTCTGCAGCAGCTGCAGCTTCTCTCTGTCCTCCTTTAACACCGACTCCAGGTCCCTTCCCGGAGAGGTAGGGCGGGTGAGTCGCAGGCAGATTCATTTTCCACCCCTCTCCCTCTCTCAATGTTGTAATGAGGTCTTGGAAGTTTTTGTTTCATGTTTAAGATAAATTATTGTGCTTATCTTTTTTTGTTTTTGGTACTGGGGATGGAACTCATGCCCTTGTGCTTCCAGGCAGGCCCTCTGCCATTGAGCTAAATCCCTGGCCTGATCTACCTGTTTTTGAGACAGGGTCTCACTCTGCAGTTCAGGCTGGTTTCATACCCACTGGGTAGCCCAGGGCGGCCCTGAACATGCATCAATCCTTCTGCTTCAGCCTCCAGAGTGTTGGGGTCACAGGCATGTGCCACCACACACAGGAACTTACTTCCCTTGGTTAAAATTACTTAATCTCCCTAGCGACTACTTGTACTCTTCCTATGAAAAGGATACTCTAGACCAAGGTTCCAACTTCTCTTTAAAACAGCTAGAGCATCAGCCAGGGCAGCTACTGCTGGTGCAGCGGGCTAAACTGGGGACTCTGACCACCATACCTGGCCCCGGCCGACACTGGCCTGTACTACAGCTGTCCGGAGACAGAACTGGGTCTCCCCTGACTGAAAGAACCCTGGCCTACTGCCTTTCCTGCCTTGAAGCCCCTGCTTTGGGTCCTTCACAGGGGCAAGGGAGACGAGGGTCTTCCTGCAGCCAGTGGGACTCCATCGTGCAGCAGAGCCCAAAGCTGTCACGGATGTCAGGCTTGGAGACCAGCAAGGGCTGCTGCCGCTCACCAACCACACTGCCAGGCCAGGCTGCACTGCAGGTCCTGGGAGCCCTGCTCTCCTCTCACCCTTGCTTAGTCTGTGTAGGACAGGGCTCATTCCTACTCCTACTCTGAGACTCCTTTCCCTGGCGTGGTCTGGTCCCAGAGATGCCTAAGTGGTTACCGGGAGGGCAGCTGGTACGTCATCATCACACTGTCATTGGTGTCCGCCATCAGCAGCCAGATGGGGTCCTGCAGGACATACTTGATGAGATGCTTGCTCTCCTCCGCGTCCGCGTTCACTTTTGCTTTGTGGTTGTTCTCTGAGGAGTCGATGCTGCCAAAGTACTTGCTGGTGTGACTTGTGTCACTGCTGCCTGTGGAAATGTGAGTGTGGCAGGTCACACTGGGACGCAGCAAAGAAGCCCAGTGTGAGGTGCGATGTGGTCACAACTTGGAGAACTAGGGTTCTGTTGGGTAACAGGGCCCATGGAAATGGATCTTGCCTTTGCCTTCAGTGCCTGAAGGGGATCCTTGCCCGGGCCCTGAGCATGGGTGATACTCTCAGAGCCCAGCCTTTGTCTCCTGGGCTCATGCTGTCTGCAGCCCTGGGGGCTGAGGGATGTGGAAGTCCGTGGGAGCAGTGTCCTGGGTTGAGGAACAGCCCGCAGTGCCCCCTAGGGACTGGCACAGGCCTGCAGCCCAGGAACAGGGAGCTGGGGTCTGAGTTCAATGCGTACAACTCAGTGGCCTGTAAGACGATAGATCAGTAAGGCCCAAGCCCAGCTGATTCAGGAGGGCAAACCGTTTCTGAGCACCCAAAGGTTGACCCAGCAAGGGCTACCAGGCTGAGGTCTGTAGTGTCACTGAAACCAGAAGCAAATAGGTAAGATGTAGAACTCTGATGGCCAGGCCCTCCATGTGCCCAGGACATGTGCAGGGGTACATGTCTACACGTGTCCCTCTGGGGAGCGACAGGGTGATGTGGCCCTGAGCTCAGGTGCCAGCCTGTGATTCTGGTGCTGACCCACGGCCCAGGACCCCCATACCTGCCCCGTTTCGGGATGCATCACAACCCAGTGAACTGGAGCCCACGGAATCCGAGGTGGCGGAGGCCCCACTCCCAGACAGCGCTGACCCTGTGGCCGAGCAGAGGTCCTCGCTCAGCAGGAGGTTGAGCAGGTCGCTGGACGTGGAAAGGGCATCACTGTTCTGAGCATCTGAGGGTTCATCGTGCTTTGGGCACAGGGGGAAGACAGCAGTGTCCATGGGACTCGGTCACGCAAGGCCCATACTGCCAGGCTGGGGGGGCCAGGGGCTGTGGGGCCAAGTGAGGGTTTTGCTGCAGCTACTGAATCAAACAGGAGCTGGGGACAGTACCAGGCTGTGGGCTTGGGCCCTGGTGAAGGACCTACAAGCCCATGGTTTCATGGACAGCAGACCTAGAACATGGCAAGGCTGGCACTCCTCACTGTGCCCAAGACCTCAGAAACAGCACCCTGTGGGTGGGAGGCACCTGGAGCCCTGTGTACTTATACTCGGCTGACACGCACACACACTGAGTTCCCTGGGAAACGCACAAACACAGCATAGTGCCACGCCAGGGCACTCAAGGCCCTGGGATGGGGACCTAGGATCACGCTTCCTTTCTTCCCCTTCTTCCCCAGAAGCCAGACTCTCTGTCACTTTGTTCCAAGAAGGCTGACGCTGTTGCCTAAGTGACTGGTTTTTCTTGGACGACTCACTGAAGCGTCCAGGCCCACAAACTCACTTGAGCCACATGCTGTGGTCTGGACAGCACTGGTCCAGACAACCCATCATTCTCTGCTCAGATCTCAAGGGGATCAGAGCTGACACTCGCCTCTGAGAGGGCTGTGCAGTTGGGGAACAGTAATGCCCAGCAACCATATGGTTGGGAGGAGCCTCAGGTACACCCAGATGCCTGTGCCTATACCCGCTTTGGAGGAGGAGCCCCAGGAATCCTTACTGTTGGAGGTGCTTTAGGCTGCCGATCATGAGCAGGTGTGCAGTCTGGGCCAGCTGTCACTGTCCCTGTGGCCCCTGTGCTGCCCTCAGGTGCCTCTTCTAGCTGCAGCAGGTTGAGCTGCAGGGGCGAGCTGCCACGGGACTGGAAGAGCGGTGGGGAAGCTCTGCTTGTGGCCAAAGTGGCTGCTGGTGGGGTGGCAGGGGTAGCTGGGCAGGAGCACGGCTGCTGGGGGAGTGAGGTCTGACTGGGGCACTCGGGCTGCGAGGCAGGAGTCATCTCAGAGGGGAGCGTGGGGTGGCCTGGAAAGAAGGCCTGGGGCAGGCTTGTGGTGGCTGGGAAGGGGTAGCTGGGGAGCATGAAGGCCACGACAGGGGCCATGGGGGCGGGAAAAGGCAGGGGCTGCACTGCAAACTCGTGCTGGGTGCCCATGGCCACTGTGGGCACTGGGAAGCTGGCATGGGGCACTGCTGGCGGGGTTGCCCCTGGTGCAGGCACTATTCCTGGTGCTGGGAACACGGGCAGGGAGTAAGAGGGCACAGGGGTAGGGAAGGGCACCGCAGAGCAGCTGGACTGAGATGTGTCTGATGGTGACCAGGCAGTGGCATTCAGGCCCACTAGTGGGGGTCGGGGCGGTGGGGGCCCTCCAGATCCCGTGCTTTCGGAGGAGTCACGAGGCTTGGCCCATTTGGACTTCAGTTTTCTGTTCTTGCCAGTTTTTTTCCAAGAAGAATCTATTCCAGCAGCATTTCTTAGTCCAGGAGCCACTGAAATGTGGAAAAGCAACCAGAGTTACAATTACAAATTTATGTGATTCCTTTCCATCAACTCTCAGAGATTCACAGGACTGTGGAAACCTAGGACCACTTTTAATTGCAGAATTGTATTATTCCCTCCTTTCTCCTAGCATTACGACACTTTTAAGATAAGTAGTATTAAATGGGCCCTATTTGTTCAAACTAAAAAGAAAGACAATTTGAAAGCTGGAAAGTTTCTGCTGTTTCCCAAAACCTGGACAAAAAATTTGGTTTGTGAAACCTGGTAAATAGAACCACAAGCCTTCCGTACTTTTCAGTGTGACAAATTTGAGCAGTGCTATTCCCTAAAGAGAGGCATTTCCAGTTTCACTGTCCAAGCCTGAGTAGAGTCAAAGCTCAGAGGACGACTCCAATGTGGATCCCAAGTTCCCCAAAGGCCCACATGTTCAAGGCTGGGTCCCCAGTCCTGGCAGAACCTTTATGGACAGGGCCTAATGGGAGGAAGTGAGGTTACTAGGGGCATAGCCTGGGGGACATGGAACCTCACCCTTCTTTTTTCTCCACTTTGCTTCCTGGCTGCCATGAGATAAACAGCTTCTTCAACACATATTCCAGTATGATATACTGCATCACCTCAGGTCCAAAGCAACAGAGATGAGACAGAAACTGTAAGCCAAACAAACCTTTCCTCCCTATAAATTGGATCTCTGGTATTTTGTCAGTGAGGGAAAGCTGACTGACAGTCACATTTATCCTCAGAACCACACTCTTGGCAGATGCTGCTGAGATAAGGCTTTTTGCAGGAGGATGAGGGCCTGAACCTTAATGGAAGGGACCTTGGGGTGTCCTCAGTGTTTCTGGGGGGTCCCAGGAACCTGTTTTCTTCTCTCTTCAGGCAGAGTAACTTGAACCTTGGGCAGAAGCTATGTGAGATGTCTCCTGTCTATGGGGCCAGGGAGTTCTGCACTGTTATGGTTTGTGGCTGGATGTTACCCCAAAGCCTCATGCAGTCATGGGGGTAGTCTTTCAAAGATGGCTGAGCCTAGGGTTTTGTGATTGGTTTGTTGTCCAGCACTGGGATTGGTGGTGTGAGTGCTGCTCTTGCTTTGGGGCAGGTAGCTTGCATACAGTATGAGGGAGGGAAGGCAAGCTTTTGGAATCTGCTGCAGCCACTGTGAACGGCTGCCCCTCAGCCACACCACCCTGTCTTGCAGCCAGCTGAGTATGGACTGAAGCCTCTACCAACTGTGAGCTAAATAAACCTTTCTTTCCCTAATTTTGGATGTCAGATATTTTATCTCAGCAATGAGAGAAAAGTAATCAAAAACATGTACCTTTATTACAGCTGAAGGCAAACAGCCCCACTGTTACAATTTAGAACTGAAATGGCCATCCCAAATCTCACGTGTGTGAGAAAATCTCACGTGAGTGGATGGTGGAGGTGCTATACTCATCAGTAGATTCATCCACTGAGTTCCTAGCTGAATGTGCCGACAGGAGGAGGGGCCTGCACGGAGCAGGTCTCTGGGACCTGAGCCGGAGGGGTGTATTCTTGTCCCCTCTCCCTAGTTCCTCCCTTCTCCCTACATCCCGACTGCCATGGGGCCAGCAGCTTTTCCTTTGTCCAGCCCGTCTGCCATCTGGTCCAGCCTTGGAGCCAGCCAACCATGGACGGAGACCACAGCCAAGGCAGATCTCTCCTTCTCTAGACTATAGTCACTGTGTATTTTGCCCCAGTGATGAGGAAGTGACTAAGACCACGCCAGCTGCTGTGTGAGCGGAGTTTTGAGATTCAGCCTCTATTTGCAGTTTTCTTACTGGAAATCTGTCCCCTGGAGGGAGCTGTGGCTAAAGCACTGAGGCCTTGAGGTTATGATGTCCAGGTCTGGGGAGGGCAGTCCTGAGCAGCCATTGTGCGGTCTGTACAGACTGCTAGGTGTAGGGGCTATCGCTCTGCTCCATGCTGGCCTGTGGGTCTCTGCTTGGGGCTGGGAGTGTCTTTTTCTCATTGTCATAGAGTTCTCGTGGGCTGTCAGTGGCCTCCATGAGGAAGTAAAACAAGTATTAGAAAAGCCAGGTGTGGTGGTGCATGCCTGTAATCCCAGCAGTCTGGAGGTTGAGGCAGGAAGATTGTTGTGGGTTTGAGACTAGCCTGGCTACAAAATGAGCACAAGGTCAATCTGAACTGCATAGTGAGTGAGACATTGTATCAAAAAGACAAACAACAGCAACAACAACAACAACAAAAAAAACCCCAAAATACAAACCCCCAAAACAAAGAAACAAATATCAGAAGAGCCCTAACCATGTTGCAGCTCTGCAGCAGAATGTGTGCTTCACATGCCCAGGGCCTGGAACGTGATTGCCAGGATGTGCCCCCCCACCCTCCCAAAAAAAAGGAAAAGAAAAGACTCAGCCCTGCTGGAGGTTGGGCTCCTCTATACCTCATGCATGTTCCCTCAATGTCTGCCCAAGGCCCGGGGAACAAGGTCTTGGTGTCCCCCAGGCTTACTGATTCTGAGCCCATTGCCCCAGGGAAGACAGTGGTATCTCTGGCCAGGGCAGCCCCATCTGTGGGGTACGGGCAGGAGGCAGGGTCCCATTCATGGGATGTTGGCAGGAAGTGGGGTCACAGCCCAGGCCCTGACTGGGGGGTCCCAGTAGGTAACTGAGATAAAGCTCCAGATCAGAAGTGGGTGAAGAAGCTAGGCTATTTCAGTTCACCCCTTGCCTGTAAACACCCACAGGTTTCTGGCCAGAAGAGTACCTTCTTGTACCATGGGGCCTCAGGGGACTGCAGTGTGGGCCTGGGGCTTGCCTGGCCAGAGAGAAGGGAGGCTTTGCTCCCTCTATCCTCTGGGGTCTTCTCACAGACTGCCCACCAGCACCGTACTCATTCCTCTGGGGCTAATGTGCTGCTTCCCCCAGGGTCCTGTCTGGAGACCAGGGTAGGGTCCCTACCCTCAGGAAGCTCCCTAACAAGGAAGGTGAGGCAGCTCAGCAATGGCCCTGACCAGCACTCTGCAGGGCTGGCCCAGAACTGTGTCCTTTTCACAGTGCCATTCCCCTGGGGACAAGAGGTTCTGTCTTTAAAACATCCCCTATGCAAAGCCCTACAGAATCAGCTGGTGTCACCAGGGGCTATGTGACACATGGACTGGTCCAGCCTGGGGACACGTTAGGTCCTGAGAACAGCTGGACCTGGTGCTGCTGAGAAAAGCGCTTTTGGGTCCCTTGTTCAGCTTGCTGTGGCCACTTACCGCGCTCGCTTGACTGCCCCCGGGTCCTCTCTTGCAGGTAGTGCTGGCAGTGGGCCTGCAGGATGCCCAGCCGCCGTACCTCACGGAACTTCTGCAGGAAGCTCTGCTCCTCCTTCTGTGTGTGTGAGGCCAGCACCTCCTTGGTAAGACCCAGCCTCTGAAGGGGCCCCTTCTCCTGGCTGTGGCCACCTGGCAGGCAATCCAGGGACTCAGGCCCACTGGTGGCATCTTCCACTGTCTCTGAAAGGAGAAAGCATCCCTTGGCTGTCACCCATACTGTGCTCATAGATGGCACAGATCTTCTGATCACAGAGTGACTATGCGATAACCCCAGCATGAGGAAGGACCTCTGGCTCCCGAGGAAACTCATGCTAAGAGGTCACGAGTGTGACAGCAAAGCCTGGCTCCCAGCACTCAGGATGCAGGGATTTGGAGAGACTCCCAGGCTGGCCTTGACACCCAGAACAAACAGCAGGGTTGGGGCCATGTCTGTCTGGGGTTGGGGTTTGGCAAGGTGGCAGCTGTTGCCACATAGCCTATAAGGGCAGACAGGGCGGGCATCTGACAGTCCTGAGGAGGAGGCTTGGGTTGGAACCTCTGGCAGGTACCTCATTCCTCCTCAGCTCCACTCCCTGCCAAGGCCCACACTCAAGGTGCATTTTCCTGAGTCTTCTGAGGGGCAGGAGACTCAGCCAAGAATGCCTAGGGCTGGAGGTCTTGTCAAGACCCACCCTGGTTCCCAACCCTCACCGGCAAGCAAGGCTCTGGGGCCACCCAGAGGTCCCAAGCAGGGACGGGTCCCAGAATTGTCATGGCACTGCTGAGGGAGAGGCTGCTGGGGTCCCGGCTGATTTTCAGGAACCTCGTAGGGCTCCGCTGAGAAGCTTAGTCGAACTTAAACGTTTATGGAAGTGAAACATCATAAGCTGTTCGTAAGCTCAGCCCTTTCCTGACACCCTCCGGAACCCACCAACGTACCCAGCTCTGGCTGCAGCTTTTTGTCCCCGACGTGGACGATTGTGCTGCTGTAGCTGCACTGGCTGGTGAGGGACACCACACTCTCGGCCTTGCCAGGCAGTGCCAGTGAGCTCAGGCGGGCGCTCACCTCTGCATGGCTGCTCACCTTGGAGGTGGCCTCTGCACGGGAGAGTGGGAGCAGACATAGACATGAATCAGGATGAGCTGCTCTGCCATAGAAGGAGACATGGGTGACCAGGGGCCCCGTGTCAGGCCACAGTACTCATACCGTGGACACGTGGGGTTGGTGCACGCATACGAGAAGGGTGGCACAGGAGAATACTGGGCAGGAGCAGCTTCTCACTGAGACCCCAGGGCCCCTGGGTGAGGGTCAGCAGTGGGGAAACTTGGGGACCTGTCTGGACCCGCAGCCCCCAGTGGCCTGTGGCAAGGGACTTCTCACAAGCAGGATGTGGCGGGAATGCAAGCAGTTACTGCTCTGTGTGTGACTACCCAATCCCTCACAGGCTGAGATCCTGCTGGTGACCCTGCAACACAGCCCACAATGTTCAGCTGAAGCTGACACAGGGCTGGTCCTTTGGTGACAATGCGAAACCTGCTCGGTTGCACTAGTAGGGCTCAGGTGTCCCCAGACCTCCAGCAGCCTGAGCAGACTCCTGCTGTCAATGCCTAATGTTCCAAGACCAGAATCGCCCTGCCCTTCAGCTTGTAAAAGGCTGCAAACTCCCGAGCTACTGCGCTCTGTTTAAAAACAACCAACGGCCTCACTCTGTACCCTCAAAGTAGTCTGATTTGTAGGCAAGGGAAGGCATGTGATCCCCTGGGGTGAAAGTAAGCTCACTGGACAGCTTGGGGCAGACAGGTACCTCCAGTGTGCAGCCCGGGGCTGACCGTGGCCTTGCGGGAAGGGATGTTTGCAGGGAACTCGCACTTCCTCTTCAGGGTGGTGGCCTCAGTGCAGCTCTCCAAATACCTGTGTGGGCAGGGGTGGGGTCTTCAGCCAGCAGGAGGTGTGGGCAGCAGTGTTGTCCCCCCGCCAGGGGAAGGTGGGAAGCAGCTGGATACCTCATGACGCCATCCAGGCAGCTGATCTGCTGGTAGGAACAGGTGGGCTGGTCCTTGCAAGCCAGCTCCTCAGGGAAGCCTATCTTGGGCAAGCTGGCCCCAGAGCTGTCCTCTGCGACAGGCACTGCTTTCACCTGAGCCAAGGCACTACTTTGCAGTTCTGAAAAAAAATAAAAAGTGACGCGGCAGTTCTTTCATCTACCACTCTACACCTGCTTTATGAAGCGTTTTACTGCTACTCAGAGACAGGCTGGGGACAAAGAACATGCTTCACAGGCTGCACGTGAGGTGACAGGTTGCCATCTACCAGCCAGCACCGCTGGGAATGCCAGGCACCCTGCATAGGGAGCTCAGAGCAGCTGCACGCAGCCAGGCCTGCTTCTCTCTGGGGTTCAGGCTTAGGAGGAGCAAGGCCAGGCATTAGAGGAACTCTAACCTTAGCAGCCAGCAAGGTGCCAGGGCCTTATGCTGCATTTTCAAACGGAACGCTGGCAGGGAGGCTCACACGACAGCCACCTGGGCTCCATTCTGCAGCTTTGGGCTATCCCACCAGCGACACCAAGTGCCTGCCACCCCTGAGCCTCAAGCAGAGAGCCAGGTCCTCACGGCCCAGCACCACACCTTTCGGTACAGGCAGGGTCAATTTCAAGAACTGTGTACTGCAGAACCAACTCTCAGAGACACTGTGTGCACACGTGCATGCTGCTCACACTGGAGAACTGGAGGGCGAGCAAAGCACACCAGGCAGGTAGGGCCTGAGTGGGCAGAGATACCAGCTTCACAGCTCCACAGCCCGTGGGCAACAGACACCCACTTGGGATGCCGGTCCCTGCCCCTCTGCTAAACTCGCCACTGCTTCTCTCCACTCCACTAATGCACTGGGAAGGAAAGGGAGATTTTTTTTTTTACCTGTAACAGACTTTTTCTTTTGTTTTCCAGACTCATGGGGAAATTGACCTTTGGTTTTGGTCTTGTTACTGTTCTTACAAATCTCCTTGAAGAAAAACAAAACAAACGTTATTTATTCTAGCAGACCTGTCCCCAGTGGGCTTGGGGCATGGTGGGAATTGTTCTCGAGACACAGAGAAGGTGCAGTAGATCTGAGCGACAAATCAGAGATGCGGAACCTGGTGGGACATCATAATGACCCTGAAGATTAGCAAGACACAAAGCCCAGTGGTATGGGAGATGCTCCTCTCTACCTCCACTTAAACCTTCACTTCTGCTTGTGTCGCCTCCCTACAGATATTTTCTTCCAAGTGTGTAACCACAATTGTGACCTTCAACTCAAAGCGATGACAATACGGCCCCCAAGGGAAGACCCCGTGCTGAGTGGCAAGAACAGAAAGGGACATACGGCTCTCCGGTGCCGGGCCTCCTCATGGCCAGTGCTGTCGCTGGATGAGGTCTGACTCATGAGCTGCTCGTGGGATCCATTGCTGCCCAGGCTCCCGTAGCCACTGGAGCCGCTGTGGGGCACAGGCTACAGAAGAGCAGACAGCGTGTGGTGGATATGGGGCCCTGGGCCTCCCCATAGCGCTTCACAGAGAGGGTGCCTGCCCGAGGTCACATGGGGAGACCTCCTGGCCTCTCTCCAGGGCAGACTCCTGGCTTCCACTTGGAGCATCCACCCGAGATGCCTTGAGCAGGGATTTGCTCAACCTGTCCTCAGCGCATACCTGTAGCTATCGACGGTCCTACTAGAAAAAAACTCAGGGCAGGGATGTAGCTCAGCGGCACAGTACCTGCCTGCTAAATGCAAAGTTGTGAGTCCTATCTTCTGTAGCTCCCCCCAAAAGAAAAGTCCTGCTAGGCCCCGTGGTCTCCAACAGAGTCTGAGGCATGCTTAGAGGTGGTGCTGACAGGGCTGCACTGCTCTTTCTGAGTAGCAGTGCCCTGCGTGCCACGGTGCTGGTGCCCGGCCTTCTGGATAAGCTGCGCCCCCACCATAAGAGGTCACCCAGGGTTTCGGTGGGAGCTGGTCTAGGTCTGGGGCCCTCCTCCCTCCAGCTGCTGGCTCCCAAACAGACGCTGGGTTGCAAGGCTGGGAAAAGCTTGAGGGTGTGTGTGGAGAACTCAGCAGCAGAGACTATGCCCAAACAGCCCTCAGGGACACCCAGGAAAGACGGACAGAGCCATCTGGGTGGGTGATTCACAACCGGGGCGTGTGGGCCACAGAACGGTGCGAGATTGAGAGAGCGCAGGGACCACCCACCTGCAGCAGCAGCCTGTGTATCTGCTCCGTCAGCTCCTGGATGTTGGGGTACAGGGCCTTCTCCTCCACACAAGGGAGCACCGCGAACACATCCTCATTCAAAGGGCCCCTGTGTGGTTTCAACGCATCCTGTTGCAAGGGCCCCTAGGACCTCTGGGATGTGTCCCCTCCTGCTCCCTGGCAGGTGAGTGGCCAGGACCTAGGCCTGCTCTCTGGGCCCCACCTCCACCCACTGCTGGCAGAAGTAAGGCCAGGCCAAGCCAGACCCTGGGGAGCAGAGTGCAGGGGGCACTCACACCCTGACTTTGTGCCTCCCGATGATGAAGGAGATCTTCCGGCTCCAGGGGTTGATGAAGCTGGACCAGCTGCTGTCCAGTGTGATGTACTCCCCGTTCCGGGCGCGGAACCGGAGAGGAGAATAGTCAAAGGGCTGTCCACCGGACTGCAGGACTGGAGGAGAACCCGAGTCAGGGCTGCAGTGTGAGCACTTCTCCAGCCCCACATTGGCCCTTAACTGCAACAAGGATGGTTTCCCACATCACTGAGTCTGAGGGCTGGGCTTGGTAGTGACATGTGCTGTCCCCTCCCTTGGCCAGTCTGTGACTTCCTAGCCACTGCTGAACAGGTGTCCCCTTGCCATTGCTGAAGCCAATAGCAAAGGCAACAAGGGGCCCCACATGAGCTCTCCTCCCCTGACTCTGCCTATAGCTGAGGCACTGGGACTCAGGACGGGAGCAGGACATCCCCTTCCCTGTGTCCTCAGCTTTCTAACTCTTTGGAGTTCATGTGGCCACAGGAAGGAGCCCTGGTGCATGTAGGGGAGCGCGACCTACTCTTCTTATGGATGGCCAGCATCAGTGGCCTGTCGCTGGGATGCAGCTGCAGGAGTACAGGCTTCTCAATCAGGTCTTGAGGTAAGTAGCCCAGGAGGGGAACTGCCCTGCAAGACAAGAGGCACGTGGTGAGGGGGGACATTCTGGAAGACAATTGCAGACAAACGGCCAAGGGGGCCACTGCCAGAAAGTGACAGACTCTCAGGTCAGACTCCAGATTCCCCAAGGGCACCGGAGAAGGGAAAACCCAGTCGTCTGCACTCCCGAACCGGAGGACCCAGGGTCCAAGTGAGGCTGCGCCCCACACACAGTGGGTTCTGCTCCCTGGCCTGTGTGCTGCCACTTGGTGTCTCATCTCCTGCCGGAATGAATCGTGGGATGTCTTCCGGTTTCCCTGCGTCATGTCTTTCTCCTCTCTCGTGTTACACATCAGGCCGGCCACATGTGGCTGCTTTCTAACAGACTCTGCCTGGAAAGCCCTTTCCATGCGGGGTCAAACTCAGGAAGTCTCCCCTGTCACGTGGATGGCCTAGTCCAGGCCTTCCCCCTGGCTCCCCAGGAGGTGGCCAGGTCTTTGCCTGGTGGCTCAGGCCTTCTCCGCCTGCCGCAGGCCCTCAATAACCCCAGGCCTTCTGCAGTCTTCCTGCTCTGCTTGGTGCAGAACTCACATGTGGGCCTGGTGTTATCCTTTCTCCTTTCTCCTGTGCTTTCCTTGGGCAGGGAGGACAGTGTCCCTGGCACCTGGCTGGAGAAGCTGGAGGGAAGGGAGGCAGGGGAGGAGGAGGAAAAAGAGGAGGCGCCTAGGACATGGCAGAAGACCAGCAGGGCTGGCCCTGGGTAACAGCCTCTGGGTGAATGAAACGCCTGGAAACTCCTGGCCAGTGCAGCTCCATGCTCTGCCCTGGTCCTGGTGCTCGGGCAGGGTGGGTGGAGGCCACACCTGGAAGCTCTCCAGAGCTTCTCCAAGGCAGATCTGCGGAACACACCGAGCCAACCTGGTCATGGGGGATGGCAGAGCACAGAGTCCCCACAGGTGGCTGGCCTGGCCCAGTGCAGAAAGAGGGAGGACCAGGCCCTCTGAGCATCTAGGAGGCGACCTGGCCCACTTCAGGAAGCCCAGCGTCTGGTCCCTTCTGCCCCCTGCCTGTGCTGCTTCCTGAGGACACGCTTCTGTCCTCTGCAGCTTTTATGTTTTCATGTATCTGAGGATAGCTGCAGAGGCACACAGGGGGGCAGAACCAGTGTACAGGCAGGAAGAACCCCAAGACTCCGCCAGGTGACCTGCAGCACCCCACCCCTTCTGCCCCATGAATTTAAACAGGACCATAAGGACAGGCTTCCCAGAAACCCCCATTCACATCACCCGTGTCTTACTGAGTTTGTTTTGTCTGTGTGTACTCATGTATTTTTTTTTGTTTGTTTGTTTGTTTGTTTTTCTCCTTTTTATCGGTACCGGGGATCGAACTCACGACTGCCTGCTTGCAAGGGTGTACTCATGTATACTAGAGGTCGGACCTGGGCCTTTCACCGAGGGCTGCATCTCTGACCCTCTTATTTTTGAGCCAGGGTCTCAGTGAGCTGCCCGGGTTGTGCTTAACCTTGAGATCCTCCTGCTTCAGGCTCCCAAAATAGTGGGATTACAGGTATGCTCAGCCAGTCAGCTTTAAAGCATTAAGTAAAAAGAGTATGCTATAAAATAATAATAATGGTAGCGTAGATACCAGTGCATACTGGCTTATCATCATCAAGCACTACCCAGCGTATGCAATACGATATGCTTTCACAGGACTGGCAGCACAGCAGGTCCACTTACATCAGTAGTACACAATCATGGGTACTTCCGAGTGTTATGACTTCACAGTAGCTAAGTCATCACTTGGTGATGGGAATTTTTCTGCTTCACCATGAAGGAAGAATTGAGATGTGTTATGTCATGTACAACTCTCCATGATGAATGTAATCATGTACTGTACATATATACTAACAAAAAAAGCTAAAAAATCATTTTTGGAACCACTGTCATACACATAGTTGCCACTGTTCACAAAGCACAGAATGCAAGTGGCATTTCCACCTATGATATAAGTGAAATCCACATGCTGCCCCAGCTTTGGCTAGAGAGCTGTAATATCCAAACGGCTCTGAGATTTATTTAGTGGTTACTAAGTAACTACCAATGCCATCTGACACTCAGGGCACTTGAGCCATCTGTCACTACAAAGATCCTAAGACAGAGCGGGAGGCTGGGTGGCCCCAGGCGTGTGATACCACTCACCTCTCATCCACATCCTGGAACAAGCAATTCGGCGTGTGTGTAGTTGTAAAAATCCTCTTCTCAGGAGGAATCCTAGGGGCTGAAAGAACAGAATTTTGCACAGATTTCAGATTCTCAGAAGTAGTTTTATCACATGTGGTAGAAAGTACCCGATGGTTTCAGAATTTTGGGTAACAATAGTGTTCAAGCTGTGTGCCTGCCGCCCAAGGGCAGGGCAGATCGAGGCCCCGCTCTGCAGTTAGTCCTGGTGAATGGGACCCCAGGTCCATGGGACCACAGGCACTCGGGCTCTTCTCAGCAAAGCCGTGCATGCTGGCCATATTCAGGGGTCTGAGTGTGAAACTAAAGTGTGCACACTTGGACTGGAGGTCTCAGCAAGGGCCACTGTACTGCAGAACGTCATGGATGCTAAGGGGGCTCAGCAAAGACTACAACATGGTTTGTGTAAAGAACGTCAGCTGTCTTTCACTACTGAATGTCTTTCACTACTGAATTTCAAACTCTACTGTTTTTGGAGACTGACAATTCAGGGGACTAACGTGCTGAAATCTAGGGGCTCCTCTAACCTCTCACTGGGCACGATACAGGAAACCACGCAGTTGCCATGAAACACCCTCCTATTGCTGGTGAGACTGCTTTGTGGGAATCACCATTAGCCTCCGAGGGGCACAGCAGACCCATAACCCAGGCCCCTCCTGAACCTGCCTCCAGAGAGGCTGGGTCCCCAGACCACATAGCTGCCACTACGGCAGATCTGAGCACTGGTGTGTCACAGCGTGGCAGCTGGAGGGATCACAAGATACCACCAACTGGGTACCCAGCGCTGTGGATCCTCTGGGCTGTGACGGAAAGACCTGGACCTCTTTTGGGCCACAGGCCAAGCTGCAGTGAGTGTGGGCAGAGGAAGGGACAGGGTGAAGCTTGGGGTGGGGGACACACTGCACCCATGGGATCTCCAAGGGAAGCCAGAGTGGGTTGGCAGGAAGGGAAACCCAAGGGAGGGCAGGACAGGCCCATGGTGGGGAGGACACCAACCAGCACTTTGTATTTCAGGGGCCTGCGAGGCCAAGGGACGAAGATGGGAGCAACACCACAACTGACCTCACTTTGCAGACAAAAGGAGAGTGGCCAGGGAAGGGCGGATGGAGACCTGCACAGGGTGGGGCAGGCCAGGCAGACCACCCAGCCGGAAGCCACATGTGGCCGAGGGCAGCACTTACCCTCATAGCCGGAGTGCACTCTCTCCGCCAGCAGCAGACAGCACAGCTGACTCTCAGCCCCCAGTGGCTCCTGCACCTTGACCAGGTAGGGCGTCATGCGGAATGGCTGGTAGCAGATCTCATTCTCATGGTTCTTCCCGACGCTGCAGGGTGAGGAGGGGAGAGCTGGAGTCCCACAAATGGCTGGTCCTTGACTGCTGTTTAGCCCACGGTCCAGGATAGCTGCTCATGGGACCCAGGACACACAGAGGGCAGCAGACGCCTGGGCCTGCAGGTTGCTGGGCCCTGTCCTTTGGATCCGGCACAGGAAGTGTCTGTGAGAGTCCATGCCTAGCCACTAGGAGATCTCTTAGATGATGTGGACTCAGATCAGGTAAGTTGCTCCTGCTGTGGGGGCCTGAGCCCCTGAACTGGCCCAGGGTCATTCCTGACTGGATGCTCAACTGGTCACCCTGTCTTGCACCAAGAGTCTATTAGAAAAACTGCAGGATCCTGACTGGAAACACCTGCAAACCAAAGGCTGCATGTGCATCAGGCCGGGGGCACACTTTTCCTGGCCATGTTCTTGTATGTGACACTGTCCACAAGGAACTGGGCAACTTACCCACTACCAGCTACTCTCTTAGCACCCTGAGTGCCTTTGAAATGTGCTTGCCCTGTGAGTTTCCAGAGTCACTGCAGGGCTGCACCTTGTGGGCCTGTACAGGGGTCAGGGCAGTGGATATAGGCAACCCTCGGCCCCTCCACAAGCACCAAAGGTGTAGAGTCAGCACCACGTGCTCAGTTAGGAGAACCACTCACCTGACACGGCAAAAGAAAGACTTCTCCTCCATGCATTCCTGAGTGAAGGAATCTGAAAGAAACAGCCCTAAGTCATCCATCAATTGGAACACCCAATGCAGACAGCTTGCTCCATGTCTCCAGTGGACGGGGAGCAGCTGGACAGCCGCAGGAAATCCTCACTCAGCAGGAATGAGGGGGTCCCTGAGTCAGGAAACTTTCACTGTCTACACTTCCGAAGTGTGCTGTATAATGAATTATGCAGAACCCATTAATGCTTCCCCCCAGGGCACATGGAGAAAGCCCTGAGCACAAGCTATATATTTTGGGGATATTCAGTTAGAATGGAAACAACTCAGTGCATCCCTGACCCCCATACAAAATCTAAAATGTCTAGTAACAACCTGACAGTGATCACTTGGGGCATCTCATCAGTACTGAAGGAGTAGATGTTCCCAAAAGGGCTTGAAGACATTTTACAAAAGGAGCCTTAAGCTCTGATCATTCACACAAAGGTTCCTCTACTCAAAAGAAACAAGAGAAAAAGCAGAAAGTTACAAGTGGAAGAAGAGGGTATGCAACAGCTGGCCAGGATCAAGGCCGAGAATTTACCCAGGCTCCTTTCATTCACACCACAATTTAGGTCACCACCCTACAGGGTGAACCTACAGGCAGAGCGATATACCCTTTCCACTACACAGCTCAACCATGCCTGCCCAAACATCCTAACCCATTGCAAACAGCCATGGTCTGATGGATGGGCCTTGGCTGCACTTGGGGAGGAGAGCACTGCCCTGAACCCACAGGGTGCATCTCCTCCTTGTGAGGTAGCCCCCTTAACTCATGGTGCACCTGCCAGGCATGCCTGCTTGTAGGGGTACAGAAACAGGGCTGCTGGGGAAGGAAGCAGTGTCCTTCCTAGCTCCCACTGCTGGTGGAATGGGAGTTGGCAGCAGGCACCGCTGGCCCCCAGCTTGTGAGTGGTCCCACACCTGGGAGGCCTGAGAGGCGAAATGGCGACGGCTCCAGGTTTAGGTCAGAGTTGGAGCCTGGCCAAGCTTCTGATCAGGTCAAGTTTGATTCGGGCGACTCAGGCCCTGCCCTCTGCTCTGTGTCTTCCTGGCTGCTCCGTAGCTCTGGATCCTCCGGTTCAGCTTTAGCTCTGACAGTTGGAGCGGAGAGGGGACCAACAAGTGCCAAGGGAGGGAGGCAGGCTTCCTGAGGGGCCTCCCACTGGCTGCAGGCTCGGTGAGCACATGGAGGTGTAGCAAAGGCTAAGTGGCCAGGCTCTTCCCTCTCCTCTCTGCTGCAGAATCTCCACCGGTCTGAACCCTCAGCCCCTCCATGCTCTTACTCAGCGCAAGGCTGTGCTGGCCCAGTGGGGGCATTGGAACCGTGCGCCTCAGTCTGTCCAACCGAACAGTGCAGAAGGCTGAAGATGCGACATTTAGCTACAAGAAGGTTGGGAGGCAGGCAGGGGGCCGGGAAGGTATTGGTGGCAGCAGCTGGGACAGAGGGGCCACCAGCTCATGGGACCCCTGGCTAGATGGCATCTTGGATGTTTTTCTGTCACTTAACAAAACATCTGAGAATAGATGGTGGTTTTTTCTTGCTTTTTTTTCTTTTCTCAGCCCTGGGAATTGAACCTGGGGGTGTTCTACCATTGATCTACATCCCACACTAGTTTTTTTTTTTGAGCCAGGGTTGCACTAAGTTTCCCAGGAGGGCCCTGAACTGGTAGCTCTCCTGCTTCAGCCTCCTTCAGTGCTGGTATTATAAGCATGCCCCACCTTGCTTGGCAAGACTAGTCGTTTATAAGAATCCAGGTTTGTTTGCCTCATGGTTCTCAGGCTGCAAAGTCCAAGGCGTGGCCCTGGTCTGACTAAATTATCTAACAGCGAGAAGGGCAAGAGGGTGCACTCAGAGACCAACAGGAGAGGAACCCCACTTTTTTTTTTTTTGTCTTTTTGAGACAGGGTCTCTCTATGCAGTTCAGGCTGGCCTTAAGCTCACTTTGTAGCCCAGGCTGGTCTCGAACTTGCAACGATCCTCCTGACTCAGTCTCCCAAGTGGGATTACAGGCATGAGCCACCATGCCTGGCTCTTGGGCAGCCCCACTTTAAGACAGCTGGCTCCTATGGGACACACTGGTCCCAAGATAGGAAGGTGCCGACGAATCCTAATGATCCAGCCACCTCTTAAAGACAGTCTCCAATGAGCCGCTCCACTCGACCAGTTTACCAAAACTTAAGCACTTCTCCTAACACTCAGGGCAACTGCTCCATCCCACAGCACTAAGTCTAAACCTACTCCAGAGCCAGCTCAAAACCCCAGAGTCCACCTGTGCACCTGCGAAGCCAAATACCTCTCTGCTCCCATACAGCAGCAGGGCAGGTGCAGTGGGATGTGCCCGTCCCCAGTGCGTGCAAACCCAGAGCACTGCTGTCTCACTGTAGGTTGCAGGCTGCCTCCTGGCCCCTGGGGCCAGCTGCTCCCCCAGTTCAGGCTGCCTGGCCACCAGGGCTCCGGTGGCCCCATCTACACTCAGGGTGACTTTCACAGGCAGTGTTTCTCCCTGCTGGTAACCCCACTGTGACACCTCCCAAGGGCACTGTCTGAGTGGAGCTCAGTGCTCTGCTCCAGGCAGGCATCTACCTGGGCCTGAGGGATCCTGAGACACCTTTTTTAGTTTCAGTGCAGGGAGCTAGGCCTCCTGCAGAAGCAGTAGTGGCCAGACACAGCCCCTGGTGTGGGGCTTATGCACTGGAGCCCTGGCCAGAACTCTGACAAGCACTGAACTCGGGTGCAGGGAGCAGGGCCCGAGGTAGCTCTAGGCTTTTCCTCTGGGATCTGCTGTGATGACCGGGAGCTTTGAAGGGCTGCTGGAAGCCTCCATCCTGCTGTGCAGATGGATGGCAGCTGCCCCCTTAGTGCTCAGAAATGGCTGTGCTCACTGCTCCGCTGTGCACAGCAGGCCAAGGCGCCTGCTCAGCTTCCCTCTCTCTTCCTATAACCTGGCTTGCCCCTCCCTGCAGGTAGGTCAGCACAGGGCTCCTGGGACGTTTCTTCCACCAGAATCCTGGTTCCTCGAGTGAGCTCCGCCTTTCACCAGCCCAGGCATGATCACGGTTCTGCCAGAGTCCCTGCTGCTTCTCCGAAACCACAGCTTTAGCTCTGTCCTTGAGAGGATGACTTCCTTTGCTGCCCGGGTTTCCATCGATGCTGCTGCTCTGGAAGGCGCTCTCTGCCCTCCTTACCTCCATCTTCTCCCAAGCTCAGCCCCGAAGCCCCCATGTGCAGTCTGTCCCAGATGTCACTTGGGACTTGTCAGCCACCAGTTACCTAGCTTCAAAGGTAGTTCTGTGCCGTTAGGAGCTGCTGCACCAATGCCCGCTTCTTGATCCTGACTCTCTCAGTGTGGTTATGCTGGTCTGGCAGCCGGTTCTGGAGGCTCAGAGGTCCAAGGGCACACAGCGCCAGCATCTGTCCAACCACGGGTGAAGGCCGAGTGCTGGTCTCACAGAGGGCAGAAGAAACAACGCAAGGGGCAGCCTCACTGTGGGGAAACCCACTCCAAACATGGTAATGATCCAGCCCCGAGATGGGGAGGACTGGACCCATGCGAAAGGCTCCAATCCCTCTTCAGAGCCTCACCTTGATGCCCCCAAAGGGCCACTTCGCCTGGATCTCAGAAGGTGGCATGGGAGAGAGCAGGGCCCACCAGCAGCAGGCAGGAAAGGTTGGAGGCAGCCAGGTCCAGAGATGGCCCAGGGGTGGGAAGACACGGGCCCACTGCAGGGCCTGGGATGTGAAGCTTGGACATGAGGCATGCAGCACAGCAGACACTGTGCAGGCTAGGCTGTAGGACGCTGCCACCCAGCGTAAGGACAGACTGGCTGTACTACCTGGAAACTGGGTGGTTTGCACCCAGAGGACCTTACAGCCTGGCCTCACATAGCTGCTTCCACCAAGGTCATCGAGAGGTCACTCTGCACCTGTCTCTTATGCTGCTGAGGCCAAAGGGAGCAGGCATCTTTCGGGCGCCCTGGGTTGCCGGTACACTGCATGTCTGAGATGCCAATTCCCCTCAACTTTGTTCCTGAAGCTGTTCTTGAAATCTTCCTTCTAGAATTTACAAAAATGCTATTTTTTTGTTTTTAAATTTACTCTGAAGAGACAACCGTTTACCTTTCTCCTCTGACAGCAGGGCTGGTCTCCAGCAGAGGTAATGGGGAGCTAGCTCCCAGGTCCCCGCCTCATCTGAAGTCCCTCCCCAGTTGCCCTCCCCACAACCTGCACAGGGCCTGGGCCTCACCGACTCCACTGCACATACTCCAGGACGGAAGCCTGCAGGGGGTGGTGCAGCTGTGGAACACGCTGACATCATGGGGCGCCAGGAACTCCACAAACTTGGCATCGCTGAAGGTGTCCTGCTTGCAGTGAAATATGGACGCCACCTGGCTAGAGATGTACAGGATCTTCCCCGAAACCAGGGACACGGCCACGACAAACATATCCTGGAAAGGAGGACAGGACTTGGGTGTCTCAGATGGACAGCAGGTCAGACGGATGGGGAAACCGGAAGGAGCAGGCCACAGGAGGTCAGAGATCTCCGGGACCTTGGCCTCAGCCCTGACCTGAACAATTCCACTTTCCCTGTTCCAGATATTGGGGTTCATCATGATGGCATCTGAAGCAACATGCTGGGAGCCTGGTGTCCTGACCTCTGTCGTCTTGAGGTGGACTGTGGCGGAGGGAAGCCCTCCTTTCTATTTGCCTGGCTGATTACCCTGGCCTCTGCAAGCCCTGGGACCTGGGCTGCCTCTGGCCCAGGACCAGGTATTGTCGGTCACACTGGAACAAGGACATGGAAAGGGCCAGGACCCTGAGCTGTGGTCACCTTTGCCACAATCCCAGCCCCTGCTGGATCCGATCCCACTGCTAAGCACTTAGAAATCTCCTGCCCCAACCTCAACAGAGGGCTCTGCAGTCCCTAATCTTAGTCCCTGCTGGGACCATGAGGTCTGGACCAGTGGAAGGACATCACACCTGTCTTCTCACCCGGAGGGATGTGGACATATGCAGCTGTGGTCAGGTCCATCCAAGGATAAGGAGGACCATGTCACACAGAGACAGAAGTCCAGAGCCATAGAGTGCTCCAGATCCCAGCCTCCAGATCCCACTTCCTGAGCAGTGGCCACAGAGGGCCAGTGCTGACCCAGGAAGAGCTTGCGCCAGATGGATCCCCAGCTCAGAGACACTCACTGAGTTCTTCCCCATATACTCGGAGGTGACGCCCTCCACCTGCTCCACGGTATAGGAGGGCACATCCACACTGCAGGGCTGGCTCTCGCTGGACATCAGCAGCTGGTAATACTCCTCATTAGCTGCAAGAAAACCATGTTCACACTCAGCAGGCAAGGCCCAGGGAGTTGGTACAGTCTGTCAGGGTTTAGATCTGCGTGGCCCCCAGTGGCCACCATCATATGCTCATCAGCAGAACCTTTTGGGGTGATTGAATTGTGGGGCTCACAGCTAACTCGCTATGAGGAAGTGAAGCCTGGCTGGAAGAGGTGTGACTGGGGAGGGTTTTAGTCCTGGCCCCCTCCTGCCAGGCCCTCTGCTGCAGGTCCAGCCTTGAAGCCAGCCCTAGGACCTGAAATGTGAGTCTAAATAAACCCCTTTTCCTCTAAACTGCAGGTGCCAGGTGTCTGTCTCAGGTGCCACATGTCTGTCTTACATTGAGGGAGGGGACTGGGACACCGCCCCTGATGCCTGCAGGTGAACTCCACCCTTCTCCAGTGACTGAGGTCAGTGCAGACAGTGTCTTCCCCAAGTGTCAAGTGGCACTCAGGTGACTGTAGAATGCACTGGGTCTCTGCCCCCCAACAGCATGCCTGGCTTTCCAAAGGTTTTAAAATAGTAAATACTCAGGTAACGTGAGCATTGAGTCCTTTCTCCAGAAGGATCTGGAATTGTGGTGTAACACCCGTGGGTCCCCTCATGCCTGATCCCTGGCTGGCCCTGTCAGACACCTCCACCTGGCAGAACCGACTGCTGTGCACAGTCAGAGGGGCCAGGTCTGAAAGAAAGCCATGTAAAGAGGCTCTGAGTGCCTGTGTCCTTGGGGTCATCCACAGGGCTCGGTGTGACCCAGCTGGTCCCTGTGTGTCACTGTTCGTAGGCCCTGGTGGCCCCTACTCCAAACAGGGGCATAGGAGCTGGCTCTCATCCACAGCCTTAGAAAGAGAGCACCCATGGCTCTGGTCTGGAGTTGGACCCAGGATCTGCCAAGTGAGGGCAGGAGTGCATGCATCCACGGGGTGGCAGTGAGGCCTTTGGATCCATGCAGAACCTTCTCTGAGTGACTCTTCTCCACCTTCAGAGACTGGTGGACATCCGTTCACATGCCCAAATCCAGACGTAAAGTGCATGCAGCGTCTGGATCTGGCAGGATTCTTAAGTTGTAAAGGTACTGCAGACACCAAGAATTTCAGACTCTGACCAAAGGAGTCACTTGTGCCAGAGATTACAGCTGCTCAAGCCACTTCCTCCTGCTGTCCTTTTCAGACAGTGTGTAGAGTCTCAGGCTTATGGGCCCTGAGCTGAGTGCCCTGGGCAGGGTCCGATGCCCAGGCATGATCCACCAGCCAGCGGTGGACAGAAGCAGCCTCTGCCTTCCTCGTCTGCAGCACAGGGCTCTCTGCTTGTGCTGAAGATGGTGGTGTCCGTGTTCTGCTGGTGGCAGGAGGAGAACGGGGTCCATCCAGAGGTACAAGGCCCAGCAGGTTTCCTGAACAGCAGGCACCCAAGATGCACCTTGCAGCCTCTGTCCAAAACCCTGCACTGTGCTTGTGAGTTCCATACCTGTTCCTGTGTGAGCCTTCAACTCATTCTTCACCAGCCAATACTAAAAGCCTCTCTCTGTCTTCTGCCTGACACGGGGTCCAGACACACACACACACGTGGAGCAGGTCCACCTTCAGAGGCCATGGCTGCACACTCAATGGCTAGCGTTGAGCTGCTCTGCCTCCGCAGGGTGGAGAGTCACATGATTTGGGTGAACAAAAAGTTTATGAGTTCATAAGCCTGACATCTGGCAATATCCGGCTCCTTGCTCTCCGTCACCTCTCGTGGTCCTCAGCTGAATGGCAGCCGCTTCCGCCCCACGCTGCCTGTTGCCTCTGACAGGCTACAAGGGAGATCTCACTGGACTTAGGCCCACACCACCCGCCCTGCAACACACCACATGCGCCGAGGCACAGCCTGACACAGCCCAGAGAGAGCAGGCACACGGATAAGCACAAAGACAATCGAAAGACATGGTGAATGTTTAAATTGTTACCAATGAAACCTGAATGTGGCAGAAGGTCTCACTGCCCAGAGCAGCGGGGTAAGTGTGCTTGGAGCGAGGGAGCAGCTTGAGGGACTCACAGCAATACGCCTTTCCTTTTAAACTTTCATTGCGTCCTACGACCGCCGCTTGTTAATCCGCTGTTTGTGGCAGTTTCTGTCTTGGAAAAACAGGAGGCTGCTTCCTCATGCACCTTATTCACCAGAGCTGGCACAATGTGGCTCCTGGCTCCTCCCCAAAGTCGAAATGGTCACGGAAAGTCCATGTTTTGTGTCAGTTCAGACATCATGGCAGCTACCATAATGCAGCCAGAAGCACTCAGACAGGAGTGCTCCAGAGCTGCTTCGGAAAGTGCCAAAGATAGAGGGGTGAGTGTGTTTGAAGCAAGGGGGGCAGGATTCTGAGCGCGGTTAAAAGCAATGAGGTTCTTGTTCTAAAAAGTTTTTTTAATATTTAAACACTGGGGGCTGGAGGTTTAGCTCAGTGGCATAAATGCCTGCCTGGCAAGCGTGAGGTTGTGAGTTCAATCCCTGATATCCAAAAAAAAAAAAAAATTCAAACACTGACTGTAGTTTCTGCTCATGACTCATAGTTCTTTTAGCCACAGGCTTTCTTCCCTAAAAATCCAGGGCAATCGAAAACCTTTAGTGAACTGAGGTTTCCAGCCAACTGCAGCCCCGTCAGGCTTTTACCACAGCCACTGTTTCTGGAACGGGCTCCTGAGAGCCAGCACTTCTGTCGAGTGTGGGGACCAGGGTTCACCCCCTCAGGTGTGGAGCTGGGAGAGGGGCACCTACCTTTCACCTGCTTTACGCTCCGCAGGGCGTACTTCAGGGTGGCCAGCGTGCTTGCCTTGCCCTTGGCCTTCTTGTCAGCTGGGAGGTGGACCTTCAGTTCCCGCAGTGTTCGGATCAGTTCCTTGTGTGTGTCTGCTTTGGGAGACCCTTTGCTGCTGTGAAAGTCAAGACAGAGCGATCAGGTGCGAACTGCATGGACGTGGTTTCTGGAGGAACAGGTAGGGGCGGCTCTTCACCTCACCCACGGGGCACAGCTGCACTCTTGTTAACTATGGTGGCTAAAAATGTCTGGGGACACTGCTGGAGATAGCTCCTTGGTAAGACCTTGGGGAGGTAGAAGCCCTCCCCAGCGTCAGACCTGGGTCTTGCCAGAATGGGCTGCCTGTCCCTAAGCTGTGCCTATCTTTCCCGTCCCAGTGAGAAAAGTATGCACGGTGGGCACAGAGGGCAGCACAGTGAACCAGGAGAGTGGAGGAGGGGAAAGGGGACTTCGGAGAAGGGCACAGTGAGGAGGACAGCACGACTCTGGGCATATGCAGGTAGAGTCTGGCCCACTGACGCAGAGGGTGCAGGGACAGTCATGGGAACTGTATCCCCGAGCTCAGGACTGACAGTGGATTTTGTGCCAGAGGTGATAGATGTCTGGCACATAAGGACAGCTGGTTATAAACACCCAGGGGGAGACTAAGCCTAAGGAATGCCCAGGGCTCAGGAGGGCCGGGAGGGGCTCAGCTCCAGGGAGCCACAGGACAGTGTGCACCTGCATGGCTGTGCAGGTTTGTGGCCCTGAACCAAGTGTGGGGATGTGGCCTCTCCCTGGATCTGACCTCCCCACCAGGCCCTGGTCCTCCGAGGGTGGTGCAGGAATTATGGCAGCCTCACCTGCAGCCACTGGTAGATAAGTTGGGCTCAGGCTCCGCCAGCATCAGGCTAAAGGCGCTGGGAGTGTGAAGGAGAAAGTGGAACTCAGGTAACATGCGCTTCTCGAACCTCCTCCCACCCAGCCAGCCGGAGAGGCCCAGGTCACAGGCTCGGTGGTGCCAGGACTGGGACACTCGGAAAAGTGTAAGTGTGGCTCAGGGTGAAGCACTTGCCCAGCAGGCACGGGCCCAAAGAGTGAGCCCAAGCACCAAGGGGCAAATCCCAGGGTAATAAAATGCATGGCAGTCAGTGGTCAGGAGAGCTGGGAGCCGGGAGCTGGGAGCCGGAAACACAAGGCCAAGTGGCCAGGTGCATTCTCCAATTGCCCATCAGTGAGAGCAGCCGCAGCCGGGCCTGCAGCCTCCCAGGACACCATCAACCACGGCATCCTTAGAAGAAGGGAGGGTCCTTGCACATTAGTTACTCTGAGTATTAAGGCTTTCAGAAGTGGGCCACAGCACTCAGGAGGCTGAGGCAGGAGGATTGCCATGAGATCAAGGCCAGCCCGAACTACCCAGTGAGTTCAAGGCCAGCCTGGAGTAGATGGCAAGACCTTGTCTCAAGGAAAAAAAAAAAAAAAAAAAAGACTTTTGGGAATCTTGGAAAACCCAGTGACCCTGACTGAAAGGTGCAGAAGCAATCCTGTCACAAGGGTCTTGACATGTGCAGAGAGGAAGCCGCCAAGGAAGCTGCCGCAGCGCCCAGCCACTGCCGCACCTCTGGGGGTTGGGTGGCTCCACTATCATCCCCAGCTCCTTCCTGTGGTCGTCGAAGTCGCTGCCCTGAGAGTCCTGCCCCGTGGAGCTGTTCTCAGGGGCCTCGTTTCCACTGCAGCCGCTGCTCATGTCCATGTCCTCCTGCATCGAGGCCTGGCCGGCCTGGGGCTCCATGGGCTCCTTGGTGGGGCTGGGAGGAAATTCCACGAATCCATCCATGCTGGAGCAGCTGCCAGACAAAGATGGGCAAGCATTAGAAAGAGCAGAAAGCACCTTCGGATGCCCAAGGGCACCAGCCTGGGGCATCTTTCCTGCATTTTACTGAGAGACACTGGCAGCACCAAGCCCTGGCTCCCATCCGCTGGGCTCCCCCTAATGGAATCAGCTCTTGGCCTTGGCATGAGGGGCTGATGGCTCAGCATCCACTGACAGTCACCCCCAGCTCTTGGGAGATTTGTGAAGAACAAACTCGCAGCAAGGTCTGGGAGCCTGTGTTTTACAATCTCCCTACACATGGGCCCTTGGGCCCAGCCAGCGCGGCCACCTTGGTACCGAAGAGCTCCAGGAGACACCCTGAAGGGGCTCCACAGATGGGGCGGGGGTGTGGCGCCCTCCTGCACCTGGGCTCCCAAGCACTGCAGTGGGCTTCAGCCCAGGAGCAAAGTGACAACATGTCCTTCAGTTACCCTGACAGGGGCCACTGCTGTTCCATGCCACCATAGTCATATACTGTGACAGCACTGCTTCCACTGCCTGCAGCTCTGAGCACCCAGCACCTATAGGTCCTCATGGCAGACCACAGGGAGAGGTGTCTCCCACCCGCACGAGGCTCATCTTCTGGGTGTGTGGATGTGGAACATGAGCCGGAACTCCTGGACTCAGAATGAGTGCCCTGGGGAAAGTGCAGGGCAGTAGCAGCCCAGGCCCCAGGGGCAGTTTCTGGGGACAGTCCTGCATGCAAGGGGCTCTGACCCAGATCTCCGGAGAGAGATCGTAGGCCTCAGCCCCTCCAGGGGTCCTCCTGCTACTCTGGACCTGGGCCAAGAGCCACACCCTGGGGGCCTTACCACCCTAGCTGCTGCCAACAGGGTGGAGTGAACCAGGACTTCGGGAGACCAGGAACAGAAGGAGCTGGCTGCAAATCCCTCCCACCCCTCCCTGAAAGAAAGAGTGGGACACCTCTGTTCCCTCCTTGCCTCCGCTTGTGGACAGCCTTGGCGAGGAGGTGCCTGTGACAAGGGCCGTCATCTCAGGAGGGTGTCCGATCATGTGCCACCAGGCTGTTCTTCCCCACTTCTCTGTCCATCCCTCTTGCCACCTTGCAACTGTCCCTTCAGGAAAGTACTGCCATTTCTGGTTGCCCCGGACTGCACATCTAAGACCCAACATCACCAGCCAGGAGAGAGCAGGGCATGGACAGCTGCAGGGGTGACATGCAAAGGTCCTGGGGCCTGTGAGTGCCTGGCCCATTTGAGGAAGACGGAGGCAGCTGGACTAGCATAGTTAGGAGGAGCCAGAACTGCTTACTCTGGGTGAGAAGTAGGGGTGCACTAGGTCTGACTACACTTGAGCATGACTGCAGTATAGGTGGAGAGCAGGGCTCCTGCCTGAGGCCCTCAGCACCCCTGACTCTGCTGTCTTGTCCCCAACCCCCTTCCCCAGACCAGCAGCTTTTCTGCTGTGACTCCATCACTGTGGCAACAGGAAGGCTCAGCACAGTGGTCAAGGGAATAGACCTCAGAGACCAGAGTTTCTGGCTCCTCTTCCAGGCTGTGTGACCCTGGATAAGTGCTCAGTCTCTAATTCACTTCCTCCTCTCTAAAAGGACTAAGAACCGCTCCTGTCTCACTTTGATGGCTGGGAGATCATATGATGAAATCTGTGGCCAAGCACCTGGAATGTAGCAAGTGTCCTACAAATTACTTCTGTTAGCACCGCTTATCACTACAGGAAAGGGTGGCAGAAGAGGAATTACAGTGCGGCTTGTATTTAAAGAGCTCAGCCCCACCTGCCCCATCTGGGGGCTCTCTCTGTCTGAAGCTTCTGGGGCGGCCAGGTCTCACTCCTGGGAGCCTGCCTGAGTAGGATCCACCAGGGCAAAGACCATCTTGGGTGGAAGAGAAATCATTTTGCAGAAAGGGTAGTGCAAGCCTGCCAGCCGATGTTCAAAAGCCCACGATCCCAGAAAGTGTGCCCCTCAGCACCAAAGTGCTTGCCGGCAGCCTTGCTTTGCCAAGCTGGCTGAACCCAGCGCCAGCCAGGGCAGACTTTGGGGTAGGAGAGGCGAGGAGGGCAGGGACAGCCTGGCTTCACTTGTTGCCTGCTGGTTCTGCCCCTGCAGAAGGGTCAGGGTGAGGAACAGTGCTGGGCTCAGCTCTGGGCACAGTCACTGGGTTAGACAGCGGCTGAGATCCAGTGGGGTGGGGAGCAGGACAGAGGGCTGGAGCTGCTGAGGCTAGCGCTGGATCCTGGGAGGACAGGGCGAGGTCCCCTCAGTGGGACAGCTATGCATAGTTTCTGAGCCTAACAGTCGGAGAAGGCAAACAGCCTGGGCCAGCTCAGTCTTTGTGGCCACCACCGAGGCTCGAGAAGGTTGCTCACACCCTTTCAGTCTACATCCCCTTGAACTCAGAAATCTGCAACTAATCTAGTGCCTGTGAGGATCATGTCTAGAGAGAAAGTGTGGTCACTCGCAAGCAGTGGAGGTCACAGCCTGATGTCCGCCTGAGGCTGCCCGGCCCCTCACTAGGCTGGCTTCCCAGTTGGCTCACCCTGCCGGTTTCCCACCTTATGTAACAGCACCAGACGGCCTGGTCTGTGTGTCTGCCCTGTGGTGTTCTACAACCCCAACACTGTAATATGTTTCTACTTCCTACTGCAGCCAACTCCCTGGGGCCAGCCTGTTGTAATCTGGAGAAAATGTTTGTCCTGGTAAATAAACAGCCACGCTCTCCATGGTGACGGTTGGGTAAGCGAGGAAAATGTGACCAGGGCTGTCCAAATATGGAAGGGAAGGAGGCCCACAAGGCATCTCTCAACCCCGCTAGGTGCATTTTGTCCTTACATAGGGAGAGGGACCCCATTTTAAAGCAATAATGCCAAGCAGTGGCCCCCAGGCCAGGTCTGAGCTGGGATGCTCCGCATGTAGGGTTCTAGGAGCCCTGCTGCTCCTCAGGTCTGTGAGCTGTGTTTACCCTGCTCCCCAGTGTCACAGTGAAGGGCTGTTGGATTCCTACTATCACTCTAGGGAGAGCCCTTCGGGACCCAGAGGGCACTGCAGCACCCAGCCCTCCCCCATGCCAGCCAGTGATCCTGTGGCCTTGGCCCATCCTCAGCGCTGTTGAGCCCTTCCTGCCTCTGCTTTGCTCTGGATTTGAACTCCAGTGGCCAGCTTGCAGTGTGGACGTGTACAACCAGTGCAAAATGAACAGAGGGCCAAGCGTCCCAGAGAAATTCGGGGTCAGGGGAGAGCCAGCAAACACCCCTGCTGTTCTCCCTTGGGGCTGAAGGGCAAGCCGGAGTGGTCTGTAAAGCTGCAGGTTCATGAGTTTCTAGTGGATTTACTGAATACAGCAGTTTTACAAAGCTCAAAGCAACCCACTCCTCTGATTCCACACCGGAGGGCCTGCCAGCTGGTGTCCCAACTGGGGCCCCTGTTCTGCGTGGAAAGCAGCAGTACAGGTGACAGGGACACTTCCCACTTCTTCTGCAAACAAGTATCACAAGGAGACGCTACAGGAGACCAAGGCAGGACTGTCAGCAACCTCTCATCTCCTGCTCAGATGCCAGGGAAAGCCATTTGTGAGTGACAGGAACCCAGGACTCTGGAACTGAACAGATCCAACCCCTTCTTCAGAGGAAGAAACCGAGGTCCAGCGCAGCACCGAGCCACTGGCTGGCACAGGGCTCCCTCCACGCCCAGGGCTCCAGCCTCCACAGACAGTAAGCCTGCTGCAGCTCTGTGCCAATGAATCACAATGACAGTGACAGGAGTGTGAATGCTCGCAGAGCCATCCCTGGGTGGCATATCACACAGCTGCCGCTGACAAAGGGAAGACCCCTGCTTTGTCACAGCGCACTACTTAGGAAAGGGGATTAGCCTTTCTGTGAAAACTCTGGTTCTATCAGAGCCACAGGTGCAGCCCTGTCTCTCCTCAGCCACAGCAGCAGAGATGGGACCATCCCCATCCTGGGAGGGGGCTGTGGGCATCTCTCCTTAAAAGCCAGGAGGCCAGTGGCTCAGCTGGGCAAATACAGGAGGTAAAAAACCTCTGTGAGGAGGGTGCCCACCACATGCTGGGATTCCTAACATAGAGGGGAGGGCACACAAGAGCCGGATGCTGGGATGACCCTGAGGGGCCTTCTGAGGTCCAGGGGTTGCCTGGCACAGTTTCCAGGGACCTCCTGGCGCTGCTGTTTTGTGCTTATGAATCAGCCTCCAAACCGGCTCCTTCTGTGTAGGCTTCAGAAACCCTGGCAACCAGGGTGTCATCCCTCACCCAGACCTGCAGGGGGGCAGGCCCGCCCACACCCTGGTCCACGTCTGTACTTGGCAGCGGAAGGATGATGTGACTGCTCCTCTCAAGGTGGGCCTTCAGTCTGTCCCAGAGGGGGAACCAGTTCAGGTGGTCCAAGGTGGGCAGAGGGCAGGAGCTTCACAGGGTCTCCCAGGGGCTTTCTCTGCTCTCTGATCACCTGCACCAGGAGACCCAGATAAAGTGCTCAGCGCTGACCCATCCTTGGCCCTTCACCGGGCACAGATTTGGTTCTCAGCCTCTGAGCAGAAAGCGGGCTCCCCAGGACTCACCAGGGCCCAGGGGCAGTTGCACTGACCCTCAATTATCTGGGCCTCCCCTGGGGTTAGGGGGGTGTTGAAAAAGAAAATCGTTTGAAGAAAGACAGACTGGGGTCAGTGGTCGGTCAGCAGGCCATGATCTTGGACAAGTTGTTTAACCTTGCTGCACTTCACTTATTCAATCTGCAAAATGGGACCACTAAGACCCACCTTGCTAAGCTTCAGTGCGCACGCCTGGACGACACCGTCTGCGTCCTGCACGCCTCTGCCAGCCCGGGCTGGGTCGGTCCGAGGGCGTACAGAGGCCCAGAAAGCCCTGGGCCGGCGCTGGACCCCCACCTGCCCGCCCGCCAGCCAGCCGGCCAGCGGTTACGTAAGAGGCCCGGCAGTCTGCGCGCCGCCCTACGCACCTTCCGTTCACTCACCGCCGCCGCGTCCGGCCTCGCGTCTGTCGGCCTTCAGTCGGCCCCTCGGTCGGTCCGCCCGGCACGATCGCGGCCGCCACCTAGAGCAGCTGGTTCCCCCCGCGCCGCCTGCGCCGAGCGGGTCGCCGCTGTCACATAGTGGAAAACGTGACCGCGCGCGCCAAGCCCGCCCCCCGAGTTAACCATTGGCCGAGGAGCCGCCTCATCTGCATACAGCAGGGGTTGGGCCTGCCAGAGCCGCCTGCCCATTGGAGGCGGAGTCTGTCTCTCTCTTTACATAAGACGCACATGGAACTCCATGTTCAGCGCCTCTATTCCTCAATGAAGCCGCTACGAGCTCGAGTCCCCCCTCGTCCTCCTGAGTGGTCCCTTCCACTTCCGGTCTCGACACTTTCCATTCATTTCGCCCGGCTGCGGCCTGCTCGCCGGGCTCGGAGTGGTACGTACCACTGCGGGGCGGGGGAGCTCGGCCCCGGACAGGCTTTCCTTGAGTTCCTTGAGCTCCACCGAAGTCCAAATCCAGGGGACCTGCCACTTTGGGTGACGGGCCTGAGGCTGGCCCCCGGAACCGCAGGGAGCCTCAAGCGAACGTGCTTCGTTCACTCAAAAGTTTCATTCAATAACTGGCACTCTCATTCATTCATCTCTAGGCTTTGGACTGCAGGAACAATCAGGGCGACCTGACCAGCTGCAGCTCCCTGTGCACACCCACTCAAGTCACCGGGTGGCATGGCTGACATTTGTCCTAGATTGGCTAGGACAGCCGGCTTTCAAATAGTCATTATTTTTGAAATCATGTGTTGCAACTTTTGTCTTAGGAAATAGAGTCATTGTTACTATGAAGAGGTACAAAATAAAGAAAGATGTCCTCATCCCCAAGCACGTCATCAAGGACAGAAGACAGTCTTCTGAAAAGGGAACTTAATCAAATGCTAAATTGAGTCTTGTAGTTTTCAGTTTAAGAAGAGCTGGAGTTATCCTGAAAGCTCCATAGCAGAGGCCAATCTCCAGGAGTGGGAGGAATGGGGTAGGTATTCAGGAAGGAGCACCTTCCCCAGGGGCCTGTCATAGGGCTGGCAGGCTCCTGGGACAGTGCTGGTCCCTGGAGCTCTTGGGTGGAAGCTACTTGTTCTTTTAGTGAGTATCCTTTTGTGGTTCAAAAAGTCTCCATCCTTCTGCCTAAAGATCGATCATGGGAGAGCATAGACCATCCCCTGGGGATTGCGCCTAAGCCTGTATTCTTGCAAGACGCAGGAAACAGTTGGCAGGCTCTGCAGAAGTAAAGTCTGATGGAAGAAAGCCTGTCCTGGCTTGGAAGGGCCGAAGGGGCCCTAGGCCTGTCCAAGGAGCAGGGCCTGTGGTATCTCTTTCCACTCTTCCTGAGATTCTTGGGCTTTCCTAGGGAACCAAGATGGTAGGGAAGACAAAAATATCAGCCTGCAGCTTGAGGGCAAACAGCTGCCTCCCCACATGCAGAGAATGCACAACTTCTCGAGTGCAGAAGAGACAATACCTAATTCACGTGGCAACCTCTTGTTGGCTGCCACTGCAGACGGGCAGTCCCTCTTCTTGTCCCTCTGACACTGACTCCCGCCCCTCCCAACATGCACAAAAACACACACACTCCAACACAAATGCCAGGCAAATCCAGGCCCAGCTGCACCGTACACACACCCCAAAGTGCTTTTGTTTCTTCACTGCATTGACGTCAATGGCGGCTCCATTGTTCAGGAAACCAGAGTAAACAGACAGCTCATCCCTACCTCCCAGGTTCCCCTCAAGCTTGGCTTTTCTTTGGTCTTGCTCCGCATTCAGCCTGCGACCTAATGCCATATTTCCTCTCCTGATGTTGTCTTTTCTGTTTTCACCAGGCTAATCTATTCCTTCAGCAATTCTCCAATGCTGTGGGCGTCCGGAACTCTTTGCAATTTAATCTGTGCTTGGCTTCTTTTTTCATGTTATTGGCAAGTTTTCATTCACTCCACAAGTGTCTGTTGATAGCTGGCCCTTGGGGTTATATGTGTGCTACATGAATCACCTTTCTGTTGCTAGGATAAAATAACTGACATACATACAACAAGGGTTTAAAGGAGAAAAGGTTTATTTTGGCTCACGGTTTAGAGGCTTCATTTGGCAGGAGAAAGCTGCTTATATTACGACAGTTAGCAAGCAGAAAGTTCTGGAAAAAAACAGAGAAAGGAGGGATTCCAGAACAAAAACATGTCCTTCCAGGTTACATCCCCAGGCTCACTTTTTCCAACTGGGCCCACTCCAGACAGCACATTCCTCTGGGAACTCTTTGTTCGGTCAGGTTAATGTCATGTGACCCAATCACCTTGCAAAAGCCCTACTTCTGCACACATAAACTTTGAGGGGACTTTTTTTAGTTACACTGGAATCTTTGCACTAAGCTCCATCCTCAGTCCTTGTTTACTTTTTGAGACAGGAGCTTACTGAGTTGCTAAATTGCCCAGACTGAGCTCAAACTTTAGATCTCCCTGCCTCAGCCTCCCAGAGTTCTGGGGTTACAGGTGTGTACCACCACACTTGGCTGTGGGGTAGGCAGAGTTGATCTAAACTGTAACACATGAAAAAAAGTACACCTTTTTGAATCCCTGCTTGAAAGGAGTTTGTGTTGTAGAAGGAATGCTGGACGAGGCAGATTTGGAGGCAGTTTTGTCTAAGATGATATGTAAAGTCCTGTAGAGGACATATTTTGTTCTTGTTGTGGTCTGGGAAGTTTATATTTGTAATTTCATGGAAACGTTATTGGAATAGTGGCAAAATAATTTTAATCTACCGCCTCTAGTGCAACCCACAGCGAGAATAAAGACACTGAGACATACTTATCATTAAGGGCAGCCGAGTCTGGTTTAGACAACGGTTTATGGGACAAAGGTCCTTACCCGGGGCCCAACCCAGATTTTACTAGTTTGTGAAGAAGGAAGTGGCTGAGTGACTATGAGAGTGGCAGGAATTACATGAGCATCGTGAGCTGGGCTAGCCAGGAGGCCAGAAAGTACCTCTGAGATTTGCAGAGAGAAGGGTGTGCAGAAAGACCCATCTGTATAACACAATTGAGGTAGCTTTAATGTTTAGAAGCCTGGTGCTTTTGTTTTGATTTGCAAACCTTTTTCTGCCCTGGAAAGTCATAGCTTCTTATCTTGAGGCTCACACTCATTTGACAGCCCTAGAGCTTGTGGCTCTGCCATCCCATTGGGCTCAACCATTTAGAGGGAGACACTGAGACAAAAAACCAGGACTGTCTTGACTTCAAAGATTATTCATCAGTACTTCAGCCAACCCTATTTACATTGCTTTGAATGAATTAAAAAATAGTTTAGCCAGCTCTATACATACTAGTACTTAGAGGTAAGGTCAGGGTTATTTATGGTGGAGGTAACTGCTCTTCAAAAAGAGCCATCCAGGACCTCTACAAAGTCCTCAGAGAACAGGCCAGACTCAGGCAGAAACTTCCATGCATTCTTCCAAAGGAAGAGAAGGTTGTGGAATGTGAAGTCCTAGGAGCAGGCCAAATCCATGAATACATTCTTTCTGAGTCAAGATGGATAGAAGGAGAGATGCTTGGAGTGGGGGCAGCCAGACTGGAGCAAGGGGGATCCTTTCCCAGCCAGCCCACACTGACTGGCCATGGGATTTGGGGGAGGTAGGTGAGCCAGAAAGAGCCAGCCCTCCCACTGGGGGTGCGAGTGGGCTGACAAGTCAGTGTGTTGCCTGCCTGAGAACACTGCTGGCGGAAGCTGCTGGCCTCTGCCCCATCCTTCACCCTGCTTTCCAGCCAAGCCAGCCCTGCTATCCATGCCTGGACCCTGCCTAGAAGACCACCTTGCCTCCGGGCCTCTAGGCCCTTGCCTATGCCCTTCCTGGCTCTCTCACTTATGCATGCACTGAGCTAGGTGTTTTTTTTTTTTTTTTTTTTTTTTTTTTTGTCTTTTTCGTTTTTACCGGTACCAGGGATCGAACTCACAACTGCCTGCTTGCAAGGCAGGCACTTATGCTGCTGAGCTAAATCCCCAGCCCCAAGCTAGCTGTTCCTTAAGCACCTACCATGCAGCAGCCTCTGGATCCACGAGGATCTTCCTCTTATTGTAGGTTGCATGGTTTGTTGGTTGGCTCCCTGAGGCCCAAGCTGGAAATGGAAGGATAGGAATCCAGAAAGAGAGTTATCTCTCTGCAAGGAGGTGGAAGTGGACAGCAAAGTTCCTTCTAGGGTGGCAGGGGCACTGCCAATCTCTCTGGCCTTAGGGAACTGGGAGATGAGGAGGTTTGAACCTCATTCTTGCCTGCTTTGTGCCTGGAGGTTGGCACAGCGGAGCTCCAAAGCATGGGCAGTGTCCAGGCCCCCAGCAGGGTGAAACAAGACCTGTTTGACCTCGGAGATCAGGAATCCTTGGCTCAGGGGCAGGTGGCTCCTCCTAGACACAGGTGGATAAGAACCAACATGAAGAGCATGTCATGGTAATGCTAGCTACCCACTGAGAAGGGTTGGTTGATACAAGAATGCTGTCAAAAAGAATGCTGTGTTTTGAGAGAGACATTTGGGAATTCTGTGTGTGTGTGTGTTTCCGCACATGTGTCCTGTTCATATGTCTTCCCTCAGGAAGCCATGAAGTTGAGCTATCAACAGTAGGTGTGCAGCCCTCAACTTTCTTTACCTCCCGCTGGAGAAGCTGTGAAGAGGACTGGGTGAGCTTCGCACAGAGCTCCTGGCCTGGGACTTGCCATCCCAGCCTTGCTGGCTCTTGGGAAAGAATCACAGTCCTCACCGTCACAGTCACTGTTGCGCACAGGCCAGGGCTCTGTGCAATGTCCAGTGGAAGCAATGAGAGCAAGCGTCCTTGCTGGGTCCTCCCTGGAGGGACAGCATGGTCAGCCTTTCACCTTCCTGACACCTGGGTGTTTTGTGTTTGGCT